TACCATGTCCAATTTTGGATGATGTATCAACAAATTTGAGAGTGATTTCTTCCAAAGCCTTTCTGCTAGTTTATGGAACAAGAGACTTTCTCAACAAGACGATTCTCTTCTTTGGTCCAACAATACCTCCCTTGAGCATGAGGAAATCGTTTCTAATTTCACCATAGTGTGGGAAACCACCCAATGGAGTGATGGCCTTTGAAGTCAAATCAGCTTCGGTAGATGCAGTGTTTTTGTCTCCGGCAGCACCAATTCTGTAGATCTTTTTGTTCATTTCAGTTCTGTGATGGTAACCCAATTGACCAGTTCTGGCAACACTGTATCTGACATTGGCTGGATGCCATCCTCCGATACAACCAACTCTTCTCCAACCTCTATGGGTTTTCTTTTGTAAATGCTTAACACCAAATCTCTTGATGACACCAGCAACTCCCTTACCCTTGGTGACACCGAGAACGTCAATTTATTCGTTTTATTTGAAGACTTAATCTACTTTGACTTCCTTTTCTAATAATCCCTTGGCATAGTTAACTTTTTATTCTGTTGTGCCTCCATTGACTTGAACTTCAAAGACGTGATTCTTCTTTTATCTCAAGTTCAATTTGCTCATTTGAGTGTGAACAATGACTCTGACAACTTAGCAATATCTAAATAGTTTAATTAATATTTTTACTTAACGATTCTCTTTAATTGAGTTTCCAAATTCTTTGGCTCAGCATTAGCCTTGTTGTAGTTGGTGAAAGCCTTCTTCTTTGAGTTGATCCAATTCTTATAGAATCTTCTCAATGTGTCCTTGGCAATCTTAGTACTCCAAACAGTGGTCAAAGCTCTTAATCCTCTTGGTGTTTCGATATATCCGACAATACCGACGACAGCCAAAGGTGGGGTTTCAACGATGGTGACAGCTTCAACGACTTCCTTACCATTCAATTTTGATCCTGGTCTTTCAACAGTTCTCAAGATGTGAGTCATACCAGCCTTGAATCCTGCAAAGGCTGTCAAATGAACTGGGGAAGATTTATTGTCTTTTGGGAAAGCTCGGATTCTTCCTCTGTGATGCTTTGTTCTCTTTCTTGGTGTAAATCCAAGATTTCCATGTCTGGGTGCCTCAAACTTTCTGTGGGACATTTAATATATAAAAAAATCTTTAAAAATTTTTAAATCACTTTTCAAATTTAATGCTTAATTATTTATTATTTATTATTAATCTCAGATTCATTCAATAAGGTTTACTAACACTCTTCTAGAATCTCTCAAAACTTCTTTAAATGAATTTACATTAGATAAGTCTTGAATAAATTCTTAACCTTTCTAATCAGCATCATCAATATTGTCATCTCACTTTTCTCTTAGAATTAGTTGCAGAATACTTGATTCTCTTCAAACTTACATAATCATTATATTTATTTATTGAAATAATATAAAATTATGCAAGCCAATCAAGTTCAATTTCCCAACCAAAAGTACAAAACGCAACTTTGCAGACACTTCAGTAAATTATAATGTGAAATTCTAGTAACAAATGGAAATTGTGCTTTAGGAGCAAGATGTTAATTTGCTCATGGAAGACAGGAGCTTAGAGCAAATGCTAATGGATTTTAACCCAATTCGGAATTCATTATGCATCAAAATCCTCAAGGAGCTCTACCCCTCAAGGTGCAACCAATTAATCCCATGATTGCGAATTATAAGAGTATTTTTTAAGATTTACTAATTCTTAGCATAATTATGCAAGCACTTCAACCCATAAACAGGATTATGCAAAAATGGAGTCACTTGCACATTTGCTCATGGTGAATAGGAACTTAATTAAATGAATCCCTATTTCCAAAATCAATATATGTATTAGAATCAAATATCCTTATAATAGGCTTATGCAGCAGCAAATCAAATAGTAAAACTAAGCTTAGGTATAGGCTGAGCTCACTTAATAAATATTAATTATGATTCTGTCGAACATGGAACATATTTTTCCGGGCTAACTAGTAAATAATCCCAATAAATTTTAGGACATCATAAACGTGTTGAAATAAGGCCAAGAAAAAGCCAAGTAGGGTGATAATTAAGGAGCAAGCGAAATTATTAAATTGATTATTCATGATGAGCAGAGAACTAAGGAAGAGAAATAATAATATCAATAAATTTACAACAACGCATAAAGACATTATGATTCAAAATTAAAAGAGTACTTAAACCAATGATTTCATTGATATTTTATATTATTATATATAATAGCAGATATAGATTTCATTTTGTTATAGATAAAAGTATTTTATTGTCATCTATTGAATGCAATTAAGTTTTAATATCCATTTATTCAAGTAGTATATATGAATCAATTACGATCAAGATTTATGTATCCACACATTTTACATCTTGAATTTGACCAAATTCCCATAATTCAAGGCATAGCTGAATTTGATCATTTTGCTTTTCCTTACTTTTAATGTAAGGGAAAGGTAATATAGAATCATAATTCAACTCATCATTTATCACCGATATTTCAAAGATTCCATCCTCCTTAATTTGTAATTAAGTGCAATCTTCATTTCCAATAATATTTTAAATGTGAGATTGCAATTACACTAATAATGAATCTTCAACATCCACCCATTCCCAATCACTCTAAAGTATTTCTTTACAAACTGATGATAAAATATTCTTGTTTTCTTGAATCTTCAAAATTTAATAATCTATATTTTATTTATAGTTATTATAATTGTAAAAATTTTCTATTTGCAAGTCATTAAATGTTATTATTATCAGCTTCTTATTATTCTCTTTTAGATAATCAATCATTCTAAAATCCTCTTTATTACAATTTTTGCACAGGTAAATAAATACACTGCAATGACTAATCATAAAATCAATCCAAAATTTTTGAAATTATTAATGTTCAAAATTAAGTGTTGAGTTAACAATGATCTTTTCAGGAAACTATATTTATTTGATCATAATGTCTAACTTATAATTTTCCAAAAAATCATTATCATAGTATTAAACTGCAAATTAGTTTAACTCAAGATTTACTTATAACTCCTCATTAAATATGGCTTTTATGGTATTTTTTATTAGATTTAAATCTTACCCTAAGATCCCAATTGTTTATTTTTATTATGCCTCATGATCCTTCAATTTAATTAACCATTTGTTTGATGATAATTCTTCCAAACTGTGTTATTCACTTGTTATTAAATTATCAAATTGGAATTAACCTTATTCTTTAAGGAGTTGTTATAGAGTTGTTTCTAAATTCATTATCCTTTCATTTTTCTCCTAACACTCTCTTCTCAAGTCAACCAATTCTTCGTGATGCTCAATTACGGAATCATAGTCTGGCTTATTACAATCGAAAATTGATTCACTATCATTCTCTTAATCTTTATCAAACTTTAAATTCTATTTTTTAGTTTCATTATGTTATTCCTCCTCTTCTTCTTCATCCTTCTCAGTAATTTTTGAATTATGTTTTATTTATTTTATAAGGGATTCTCTATCTATAAGATCTGTTTGAACTTCTGTTGATATCTGTTTTACCTTAACTTGATTAATTTAATTACTTAAACTAATTGATAAAACTTTGCAAACTTCAAATTTCACTTCAATCTTCTCCGTCTATTAAGCTTAATTTTAAGACTTAATCAATTATGAAGTTGAAGATTGTTAATTTGCTTATTTAATTTATTTTTAATTTATAACCAGATCTTCAATTTGATCTGTTTATATAAGCTTTGATAATTTATTACTTATATCTGTTTACACTAATTTATGAGTTTTAGTAATAATTTCTGTTGTTTATGTTTATATATTACTTTATTTGGCTTTTGCATGTTCTTTAATTGTTATAACTTACTTCTCGATATTATTGAATTATTTAGGAGTATTAGGCACTCTGTATGGTGAGAGTGATGGAGCTGAGTTATCATTGATGATGCTAAAGAACTTATCGAAGATCTAATTAATTTTAGCTAAAGACTTAGATAAATCCTTTTATTTTTACAAATCGGTTTCGAGTATTTCATAATCTATCCAACTGAGATTCAACCTTTTTATCTTTGAATGTCGAACAACATTTGCTTAAATGTTGTTAATTATATCAAGCAGCATTTTAACTGAATTATCTTTTGGCGTCTACTTCGTTTGGACCTTGGTATTGTTACGTTGCGAATCTTGAGATATTTCAGACTATGGGAGTTTGTTTTTCTGTTAATCTTTGTCATTAGTTGGAATACTTTTTTATTTATCTTAAAATATTCTTGTTAGATGAATTGTTTTTGATTATTCCTGAAACAGCAATTGCTCTAATAATTAATTTTTCTGTTGATACTCATTTTCCAATATTTGATGTTGCTTAATTTTAGTTTAAATTTAAAGATTAAATGCCTCAATCATTTCCCTTTTTTCCTATTCATGTTTTCTTCGAATTAAATCAAGCTATAATATTAATTTTTCAATCGTTTATTCTCTGGTGAAATTTTCATTATTGATAGATTAATCTTTGCTAGAATTCCCAATTTTTGGTGATTTATCATTTAAAAAGGGACTTTTCGATTTTTTATTAAAATATTTTTACATAAATATTAATTACCTATTTTTGTGTTTGGGTTCTAAATTACCTTCCCATAAGTTAAAAAGTTATATTGATTTTGCTTTTTTTCATTCCACAGAGATTGGAAGTGAAATTAAAATTATGTTTAAGAGGGAACAAAACAGAATAGAATAGAATGGTACAGATTAGATTACAAACAATAACTTATATTAATAGCATAATTCAGATGTATTAAGTAATATTTTGTAATGTTGTTTTGAATTCAAAATTACTAGTGAATTTATTTAATTTTTATTTTCAAAATGTATCTTAATTATATTATGCATGATCTTTTCTATCAAAGTTTAATTGTGTTCAGTGAGTCTAGTTCAATGAATATACCTCTCATTTGTGTTAAATGTGGCATTCTTTTTACATTTTTATCGATATTAAGTTCTTCTTAAATTATTTATTTTAAGATTCAAATTACAAGAATTAAATGAAATCAGAGAATTCAGGCACTTAAAACAATGAAGATGTTGAACTTATAATAAATCAATCCAAATAATAAGATATCAGCAATAATACTAATGCGAAATAGGGACATTGGAGCCATGAGGAACACGAATAATATGTTTAATTCCTACTTAGAGTAAAAGGATCAGGAGATACATAGAGGAAGGGACAACCACTGTTCAAAAGGATGAGTTAGATTATTGGCACTAGAACTCCAAGTTAATGCAGGTACTATTTTTAAAACAAATAGATCCCACCACTAAAAATTCAATCCTTTTAATCCTCGCTTGAGAAAAAATCATAAGAAAAGATAATTGATAAAGACAGAAAAGCCATTTTAAAGAACAAAACAACTCATCAGATAATATCTTAATAAACATAAAATTCATTCCGATGATGAAAATCAAAAGGAATGAAAAGGCTGATTTTATATGATTAAATTATATGGTGTTAATAAAATCACTGAAACATTAATTTTTATTTATTTAATTTTTCTATATATAGATTAAACATTTTTGTGATGACTTAGATTATTTGATTTCAGTGTAATTTTAGCTTTAAATATTCACTAACTTGGGTATATTAACACAATAGTTAAAAAATATGCCCATCCTTATATACCTATGTATAATCAAATTTATTAGTATTGTAATTCTTTTTATGAAAAATAAAAACTTACATAAAGGAAATTCTTGAACAAAAGATATCGAAGCAACTTTTGTAAATGTCAATTTGTTTTGTTTTTCAAAGGTTCCTCCTATTATTAGAGATATAGTTAAGTTAGGTAAATTTTAGATACAGATATGATGATAAATACCTAAGTTTGATGAGAACATAATATGATTTTAGATGATTTTATAACAAAATATTGAACACAAATTAATTTAAATTTAATTTACGATCATCAGATGAGGCGTGTAGCTAGAATTGCTTAATCTACGATGAAAAATAGAATGCTATAATCTCTCCAATAGAAGGTTGTTTATCATTTTGATGATAATTACAATAAGTTTTACAAGGAGAAGAATGAGAATTTGGTATTTTTTTAAAGTTGAAATTCAGATCCATCCTACTTACACATCTAAACATTTTAAAGTGTCATCAAGTTCAATCGTTCAATACTTGGAAGACAAAAAGATGGAACACAAGATATAGGGAAAATATGTACAATTAAGATATTGTCCATTCTGTCCGAAACATAATATAGAGAATCCATCAAACTAGTTTGTTATGGGAATAAATTTGGAGAAGTAAATTTGATAAAAATCATTCTAGTGGGTCTTATAATTGTTTTAGAGCAACTTGTTAAGCAAGAGGGTCTTGGTTTGATTTTAAGAACTTTATGAATGGCAATCTAAATAGTTCACAACAATAGAATTAATAGAGTTTATAACAGCCAACTCAGAAGTTGAATATATTTGAATATCACTAATACTATGAGAGATTAAAGTTGTAAGAACCAAAAATAGTTTATGACTATTTGACAGGGGATGATTGGGAAAATGTAAAATATGCCTATTATTCACTAGTCAGAATTAAAGAGGAATTAAGGATGATGTGTTAAAATTGTATCTGATTGGTATTGATATAACTGAAATCTACGATCCTTAGTAGGGCAGTTATGTATAGGCTCCACTAATATACTTTCCAATGTTTCGATATAGAAATTAGCATGAGAGGAATAAATTAATATAGAAAGCATTGAAATAGAAAAAGGATGAAGTGCTAGCTGAATAGGTGATGAGCGAAGAAACCAAATAGAATATTAAATCACAATTAGATAACTAATTTGACAATTTATAATATGAATTGGTGAGTTGTAAGATCAGAGCAGCCGGAAAGGATTTGAAGCATATTCAGAAGATCGAACCTATGAATGCTGCTAAAGGAATATTTGGAATGCATTTACTAAAATAGGATTCTACTCAAGTGATTTTAACAGAAGGAGAATTTGATGCAATGGCTGCTTATTAAATGACCAATATTCCTGCTATCTCATTGCCATATGGTATAAATCATATTCCAGCCTATCTTATTGAATGGTATTCTATGATGGTTATTAAATAAGGTTGGATTAGTTTGAGAAATTGAATGATATTATAATATGGGTAGATGATGATAATCCTGGAAGAATTAATTCTTAGAAGATTGCTCGTAAACTCGGTAATGCCAGAACTAGAGTGGTCTAACCATCTTTACTTGATCCACATGATTATCCTAAAGATGCAAATGATTGCTTAAGATTTTATGCAGATAGAGTAATGAATTATATCGATCAATCAAAATGCCTATTAAAGAAGAATATCACTTAGTTTACTGATTTTAAATAATTGACTAAGAATAGAATCTTAAATTTTGAATTGTCTAAAGGAACTCAATCATAATCATTTACAACATATAATAACACAACTAAAGGGTTGCGAACTGGAGGTATGTGATTTATTATTAAATTAGAATTCACTATTTTGACTGGACCTACTGGTAGTGGTAAGACAACTTTTTTGAGTCAGTTGTCATTAGATTTCTGTAAAGAAGGCATAACAACACTTTGGGGCAGTTTTGAAATAAAGACTGACAGATTGGCTGAACATTAATTATTACAAGCATACAAGACAGATCTAATTAAGCAAAAGGATTTGATTGATGTAGCAGTTCAAAAATTTGAGAATGAAATGCCAATTGTAATAGATTCTATTTATGAATATAGTATTACATGAATTTTTATGGGTCAACAGATCTAGACCAAATTATTGATACAATTGAATATGCGATATACGAATATAATGTAACTCATGTTTGTTTGGATAATTTGTAATTTATGATGGGAACTTAAGTTGGAGGAAATAGGAAATTTGATTTTCAAGATGAAATAATAGAGAAATTTAGAAGATTAACTAGTAATAATGATATCCATTTAACCTTGGTCATTCATCCAAGGAAAGTTGATGAAAATGAGGATTTAACTATTGCATCTATTTTTGGTTCAGCTAAAGCCACTCAAGAAGCAGACAACGTCTTTATTATCTAAAACAGACCTAGATACAGAGTGTTTGAAATTAAGAAAAATCGATATGATGGAGAAGTAGGAAGAGTTGGATTAGGTTTTGATTCAAATGTGAAGTCATTCTTTGAACTTACATCTGCAGAAGTCAAAGAATTAAATGAAGAAAAAACTACTATATTAGATATTATTAGCAAAAGGAAACAAGAGGGCAGACATTTTAAATAAGAGATTACTATTAATGATAAAAATGGTAATAATGATGGCGGAAATAATGAAGGAGGATCTCCAAATAAAGGAGGAAATCATAATAATAGTCCAATTAATCCCAAAGTTTCTAAAAAAGATAATTTGAATGCTCAAAAGATAAGATTAGAAAATATCGAAATTCCAGATCCAAATATTTTCAAAGATATAAATGATGATGAAGAGGATCAAATGGCTCAATTAGAAAAAATGACTTTGCAATATGCAAATCAAGAAATCTCAGAAATTATTATTAATGAAAAACCTGTGAAATAGGCTTTGGATGATATTGATGGTACTGAACCAATTACTAAAGTGGATAGTTCAATTGTAAATTCAAGTGTAGAAATTAATGAAAAAAAGCAAGTCCATCAGGATAGTCACACCGATGCTTACTTCAACTAAGGTAAAGCGATTAGAGAATGTTAAAAATGCATTGACCCTTCTAATGATTATCTTGAAATATGGAAATTTGACTAAGATAGTGATTATGGACTACAACCCAAAATTGGATAATATGAACCAAAACAGGAATAATAAACATAGGCAGATAATAATTAAACTCAATCTAATTATAATGAATTTGCATTATTCAATACTGATCCATTAAATAAATTTGCTGCTCAAAAAATTAATAAGGAACTAGATTAAATTTTATAGAGTGATGAATTCTAGCCTGTTGATGATCAAATAGAACTCTCTAATTAATATACAAATTCAAAGAGCAAATCTAAAAGGGTTTCTTTTATTCACGTTGGATCAAAGAAGCCTTCTAAATAATAATTAGATTTATGAAGATTATTTAATAGTATATAAATATTAATCTTTTATATATTAAATAAATATTAAATTTAATGTCAAAGAAAACTTTTAAGAAATCTGAAGGTACATCGCTTGTATCTATCATTGGTGATGAAGTACTCAAATAGTATTAACATTTAAGGATACTGTTACAGGATTTCTATTAACAGGCATAGGAGAGAAAAATATCAAAGGAGAAACAAACTTTTTGGTTGTAGATTCAAGTATGTATGATCATTATTTCTCGAAACCGATCCTAAATTGATTGAAAATACTTTTCAGAATTTCTTGAAGCATCCTAATATAGCAGTCATCCTTGTTACTTAATTCGTTGCTGAAAATTATCTTAGACATATTATTAATTAATATGATGCCATATTGCCTACAATTCTAGAAATTCCAAGCAAAGAATATCCATATGAAGCAAAGAAAGTATTAAATCAAATTCTAATATCAGGATACAATTATTCAAAGAGCTCATAGATTATTGTATGGTACAGATATTTAATGATATATATTGAATAATAAAATATGCATTATCAATTGATATTTTATTAAATTATCAATATTAATGATTAATTGATTCTTTATTTTAAAATGATCTTGCTAGTTAAAAATTCAGTTTAAGTGGTGCATTTTAGAAAAAAATACATTAAAGAATCAAAAAATGATTATAGTCCTTTTCTATATTCTTCAATAATAAAACTATCTTCATTCAAAATAATATTAATTTTAATTTATTATTCTTATTATTGAGCTTTTGATACTGATTTTCATATTTATCATTTTCAAAAATTACCAAATGAAATTTCTTGTGTTCTTTTTCTTTAATTTAATTGATATCATAATTTAAGCTAATCAGTATTCAGAATTTTTCTTGTAATAAAAATAATTTTTAAGAAATTCCTCTTTTGATGAATAATATATGTATTACTTAAGTTAAAACCAGTCGCGGGGATACTGGGAATATTAATTCAACAGAAAGAAATGAGAAACACAGATAGGCGTATTCAAGAGTTCTCTAGTTAAAGTAGTTGAATTTGATTCAATCTGAAACAAGAATAGAAACTCCAGCTAAAGATATAGACGAAGCTGAACTTCCATTAAGAGAACATTATTATCGAGACACTGCAAAACGTTCGCCGACGATCTTTAAAGTGGCCTAAGAAGAGATGGGTAGATACTAAACAGAATGGCATTGGAAGTTTTTCTTTGAATTCCTATTTTATCATATTGTAAATCTCTTATATCTATTGTCTAGATGTTTTATAATCTTTTTGGACCCTTTATGGTTATATTTTTTTGGAAATGGCCTGGTATGCCATTGATGATAAACATGAGATTTTTAAAGCATCATCCTCAGTTTTATTTCTAATTGCTCTTATGGATGGGTTCTTTGGCAGGAGGTTATTGGTATGTGTTTGATCACAAAAATATTATAACTTTTACTGAAATACTGTTTACTTAATTTGCCCTCTTAATAAGGGCAGTTGTAATTGCTGCTAAATATGCTACCTTAAGTAAAGAAAGAATCAAATTATACAAATCATAAGTCTTAAGCGAAGAGGTTTTTACCTTTGATCTAATGATGTGGGATTGGAGACTACAAACTCCTAAAGTATTATTTCTGGAACAATTGAGATTTTTGAAAAGGAGAGAATTGGATCCTGATTTTTACAAAATTGATTTCTTGTGCTAACCACATATTAAGACATTAAGGCAAGTGATATAGGTGGAAGTGGGATTTTATTAAGAATGGTTAGAATAGTAAGAAGAATCATAAGTCGCACCAATTATAGACAATACGTTCAACTGCTTTTTTATATTTGGATATTTGGTCAATGCGTATCAGAAAATTCACACTCCTGGCGGTTTTTCAAAATATGTAGTTCTACAATCTTTAATTTTATCCTTAACGCCATGTTTATTAAGATTATAATACTTTTATGAAATAGAGGTGGGGGCTGTTGATATTGTGAGGATAATCATTAATTTCTTAACTACTTTTCAAGGATTCTTTGGCTCTTTTGTATTCCTGTAAATTGGGCTATATGATTTATAACGAAAGTTTTATATATTAGATTAATGTTGTTATATGTTGAATATTAAGGAATAAAAATATTCATCAGGCAAAAAACTATTACCAACAATCAACTTTAATAATCCAATCACTTTGTAGGCGTGGTCAATGTTGAGGGGAATGGCCTTTGATTATGGAAGAACCTATGATTTCAGAATTCAAGGGTTTTATTCGTTGATTTTTATAGGTTGGATATTTTTATTTTTATTTGGTATAGGGGTATTATTGGATTTTATACAAATAGATTACTTTTAAATTACTTTACTATCAGAAATGCTAGTTATTCTGACTGGATTTATTGGATATTATTTATGGCATGGAGCTAAATTAAATGAATATTATGAAACATTCGATATTTTACTTGAAGACGTTAGGAATATGTATGTGGATATGCTTAGAAAGAAAGAATAATATTTTATTTTAAACTTGGATGTTACTAACGCTATCCACAAAAAGTTTGTCTTTTTGTTGAAGAGTTAAACTAAATCTGTTGAAACCATTACCTAATATATTAATATTATAATTGAAGAAATAGATGATACAATTAGATAATTGAATTATGATGAAAGACATACCCCTTTTAAAATCTATGGTATTCGAATAACTTTAAACTTCTTGTAAAGTTTAGTGGTTGCTGTATGTACATTAGTTGGGTATGCTGTATAACAAAGGATGTAAAATGTAGATGTCGCTTGCCTTAAAAATTGACATTTTAATTTACTCCACAATATTAATAATATTTTTGGTTATTTATATCAAATAAGTAATTATTGATTCAAAATCAATATGGACAGATTACAGTAGTTAAAAGATTCAGTCCTAACTATCTGGTTTAACTTATAATTATGACCATACTTTAATATTTTGATAAGACATAGATAGAAGATTATGTTTTTTAATTATATCTTGAATATGATTATTAATATCAAAATCTCAATTTAAAATCATAAAATGGTAATATTAAATAACAAATTTTAAAAGTGAATTATATAAAGAATAAACAATAAACAAAAATTCAACCTATATAATCATCTCTTTCATTGTTGTATTGCTATGTTGTTTATTTAATTTTTGATGTATCAGACCAAGTGATATGATCTTCTTAGGATCTAGTCACTAAAGTAGCAGGATCCGTGATAATTTTAGTCCCAATTCTAATATGCCCTTATTCAATATAAGTGCAAGCTTCTTTGGGCGTTTAGGCAAATTTAAGCTTGCATAATACAATAGGGAGTCTTCTTCTGCAAAATGCTGATACTGCTAATTTCTCACAATTTAATATGTTATCCTTTGTTGTAATAATTCCCATGTTGTACATTTTCTCCAACAATTATTCAGTTAGCTTTACTCTAAACGGATCTTAAGATGACAACAATTTTATCTTAGAAATCATCGATGTAATGTGACCACACATCCTGTTATATTTATCATAATCTTCTCTATTAGATAAGTTGTATCTTTTGATTATTTCAGCTTCTCTATGATCCTTCTCTTTCTTCCAATTATACAAATCAACTCTCTTTAATAGCTTTTTCTCATGAAATTTTAGCTTTCTCATAAATTAAATTTTTAATATTTAATGAAGAAAATATTGCATTTTTTTGAGGACATTGAAACTTCAGATAATAGAAAATCATTTGAAGCATTTACTAGATGTAAAGGAAACATCATATTTGGTGCAAAAGTTTAATTATATCTAAAATATTTAGAATGACTTGCCTAATATTATTGGAACTTTTTTTTTAATAGTAGCTATTATAATGTTGTACTTAATTTTTATATTTCCTGCAGCACTCAATTATTAATATAATGCTTTAGCAATTACAATTGTAATATGCTGTTTACTTCCAATAATAACACTTTTGAATGTTACTATGACAGGTTGAATTATTTTATATTTTTTTATAGAACCTGGAGTGTTGCTCAAAGGGGATTTGCCTGATCCATAATAATATTAATAATAATAATAATAATAGTAATTATAATAAACAGTTGAAGAACTTGATTCAACTGCCTAATAAAATAAAAATTTTTCAGAAGTAGAGTCAATACGGAATGGATCAAATTAAATTTTATTAGTGGAAGGATCATAAAATTAAATTGAATTGAACCTTGAAGTACCCAGCATTTATTAGGTCAGATACTGTTCAACTTGCAAAATTATGAGACCCTCTAAGGCTTCCCATTGTAAGTTCTAAAAGCTAACTAGGCAAATTCTGCAACCATTGTGTTGAAGGTTTTGATCATCATTGTTTCTGGGTTGGTACATGTATAGGAATTAGAAACTAAAGAGCGTTTTTATTATTTTTACAATCGTCCTTGATTGTAGCTATTCTTGCCTTTTGTTAATGCTCATTAAATTGTAAAGATATTAATTCTATAAAAGTGTATCACTAATACTTAGATATTTATCATCTTTGGATATTGATGTTTAAATAAGCTAGTATTCCTATTATAGCTATTTATGTAATATATTTTTGTTGTGGTTGTTGGACATAATAAAGCTATTTGAATGTCATAATTATAATGATTATGTTGATTGTTCCAATAATTTACTCTGCTGTTCTCATTAATATTGAAGATGTATACAAAGATTACAGATATTATGATAATCCTTTTTTAACATTTTTGGTTACAATAATTTTACTAGTCTGCTGTTGCTTCCTTATTCCTTTTAATAGTATCAACTGCTATTATATTTCATTGGTATAATAATATCAATAATTTATTGTAGGGTAAAACTGCAAAATAAATGAAATCGGAAGATTAGTATTATCTAAGGAAATAATCCTAAATGAAGAAATCATTTAGTTCTTCAGAAGTATTTCAAAATTTAGTGAAATTTTATACATCTCCAATACCAATTAGTCGTAATTAATGATGATTCATTAATATTAAAATTCTTATAAAAATATTTAAATTATAAATGGCAATCTGATTTAGTTTGAAAGCATTATTTTCAAAAGACCATTCGATAGAAATAAATTATCTGAAATAAGTTGAAAATTACTATAAATTATATTTCAAAATCATTATATTCTACCAATATAATCATCTAAGCTTATGAATTCAGCTTCGATAATTTCCTCCAGGGATTATGGACTGACTTCCACTCTTTATTGATTTATATCAATTAAATGTTAGCATAAATACAATGCTTGTTATCTTAATTTAGATTCAAATTCCTACAAATTAACATAAAAATTTATTACTTGTGCTTCTTAGACATCTTTAATCTTCACTAAACGCTTTTTCTTTAATAAGTTCTGTTGATATTAATCTGGATATAATTTATTTTCATAATCAACATTGTAATTGGCTGTCATTGGAAATTGATAAGCCATGTAAGGAATAAATTTATATGGAGTTGTAATTTTTACTTTTTATTATTATTACTATTCCACTTACTAAAAGTTGATTGTTATACCGAAATCTAATGTTATTATACAATATTACAATCAAATACAAATATCCATTCATAAAAATAGAACTCTTCAAGTTGAAACAACGAGAAAAGTTCAATAAGCTTTAAACCTGAGATCAACAAATATGGATTGGCTTACTTTCCCTTTCTATCAAAAATTTAGATTAACATACTAATTAAATAAGGCCATATTTTGCGAAAGACTTAAGTTAATGAAGATTAACTTAATCTTAAAACTAAGATTCTAATACAAAAAATAATTAAAATTGTAATTGCTTCATGCTGTTGATTGATATCCTTAATAACTGTTAAGATTGCATCTAATAAACTAGACAATTTGGACTAGTATTTATCTACACCTCCTGAATAGATTATAAAGCAAACTCTTTCGAATCCTTTTGTTTTCTTTAATATCTCTGCAGATTTGCTCTGAAACAACCCAGTAAATCCTTAAAGGATCTTTGAATTATTTCCCAATTAATCTGTCAATAAATCAGTTTTGTCTGATATTATGTCAATGATTTCAGTCCAGAATTTTAGGCATCTTCCTGTGCACTTGAAAAACTCTTATTTGTTGAAAATATTTAAAATATCATTTAAGAATATTTAGGAGAGTTAATCTTTTGAAAGTTTGAGTATAGAATGCAATAATTCTGAGGCTGATTCCACTATAATCTAATTTTCTCTATCTTCAAATAATGGGAATATTAATGCCATAAATTCTTTAGTATTTTCAACTATTCTTTCTCCTCTTGATACTTCATAAGTGTTTATTAAAGTCACCTACGACAATCTTTTTAATGTTTTAAGGGCAATAATTGAACATTTTTTAGAGAAATCTTGTTGTTCTAATTTTAAACCTTTCTATTGATATGGATCAAATAAATTTCTTTATACAAAACATTCATTCCATCCTTCTTCTGTTTTCTCAACATCTTTTTATCTTAATTCATAATACTCAGTATAGAGTTCAAATATAGTGGGAGTGAAAGGCACAATAAGTTATAAGTTTTGATCAAACTAAGTTTAATTAAAGTTCTCAAGGGAAGAAGATGTAAATGTCACATATTGATATTGCATAGAGGCTATTTCAGCCAAAATTACCAAAATCTATCTTAATTGAGTATGCAACTCTTTTCTGAATTCTTCCAACACATCCTTTGGAGAGAATTTCCATGACATTAGATGAATGATTTCCAACAAAAAACTTATTGTATTAATATGTCTAGATTATAATAGGGACTTTGAAAATGACAGAAAGCCATTCCACAATCTTATCAGTTCTCTGTTTTTCAGATTTTAGAATAATACTGATGAAAAATAAGTATATAAAAAGAATAGAATACCATTCTCAAAGGTTGCTTGATCATAATTGAATTGATATGGACCCTTTTTATATTTATTTTTTTAGTAATACTAAATTATCCCCTGAACTTATTGTGTATTAATGAAAGCAGCAATAAAATCATCTGGGGATATTTAAAGAGTTATAGCGATTTCAATTAGCTTGCACATATTTACATTAATTTTAGGATCGGCATAGAAATTGACTGAATATTCATTTTACCATATGAACAAAAAGGATTAAATTAATGTAGTCGTAAAATGAGCTGAACAAGGTTTCAATAATTATAAAATTGATTATTAAATTTAGTCTTCATCTGAATAATCTTCTTCTTGCTTAGATAGTTAATCTTTGAGTTATTTATTAAATTAATCGAATTTATCATATTCATAAATATAACAACCTTTGGTAAAAAGATGATCCCATTTTAATGAACATCTCCAACATTCCAAATAAGATTATATAATTTGTGGAAATAATTTCAAAAGCATCTAACAAGTATCAGGGAAGTTTTCAAATTATAATTATTCTTGTTATTTTTGTAATTTTAATGTTTTATCAGCTTTTTTGAAAAATAGATTAAGTGTAAATAAATCTACTAAAACACCTGCTGCATTTGGTCTCTAATCAATTTCTTTAGAATCATATTTGAATTAGAAAAAATAACAAATTATTGCTCTTATGGAATTTGATAACGACATCACTTCTTCAAAATCATCTCCTGACAATGTAGTTTTGATTGAAAATTGCTCATTATTTAATTATTAGATATTAACTTATTAGAAATTATTATTATTATATTCTTATTTCTGATTCTTTAATATTTTGACATTTGATACACGTCTAAATGATTTCACTATTTGGCTATTATTGTACTCACATAGTTTTAATAATGCTAACAAAGATGTAAGAATCAATATAATTTTCTCATTTATAATCTTGGGAGGCAATAAATAACTAATGGAATAAATACCAACAACTATAGTATTTAAATATCTTTATTTGAGATAATAGACTTTAGCTAATTTTAATCCAATTACAAGATTATCAAAAAAGAGTTATTAATCATAGATATCTATCAATTTTACTTTATTTTCGGGTGACAAATCTTTCTATAATTCATATGTATGGAGCAAGAAAACTTTAACCAGATTTAGCAGTTGCAATTATAATACTTAATCTTTACTTTTTATAACTTAATCAAACTTATTTAAGATAGTATTGAAATATTGGATCAAAATTTAGGTCTTACTCTTTTCATTTATTGTATTATTAATCACAATTTCTAAAAGCTCTGCGCTTATAGCATTAATTTTTGTATATTCATTATTTTAAAAATCAGCTACTATAAATTGAATTAGAGTCAAGCATATTAATTTGTAATATGTGTTGATATTCTCATCTTCATAAAATGTTGGCTTAGTTTTTTCAATGTATGGTTAAAACCATTCTTTAGACGAATATAAGGATTGTAATTTCTTTATTGAATCAACTGCTAAATCAAGAGAAAATTCATTCTTTTTTTCAATATCTTTTTAAAAATTGATTAATCTTATCATAATAGGATCCAATATTCTAAAAAAGAAAGGAGCCGATTCAGACAACCATGTTTTTGTATTATATCTAATTAAAGGATTTTCATGTTCCAAAAAGTTTAACATTTGAATGATTCCAACTCCAGTATTTTTATTTGGATGTCTTTTGTAATATGTATTTGTTATTCTACAATATATCTAAAATCTCCTTTAATCCCCTTATTTTAAAGATGATTCTATCACATAAACAAAAACATGTTGAAAGTTTTCAGTTATATACAGAAGAAATTCAACAATCATTTAATCATGATAATTTTAATCTAAAAGTATCCACAATTTTTCAAAGATTTGCTTTATATAATTATGTTAATTAGTGTTATTCTAATGAGTATGCTAGGTTTAATCCATACATAAGGATAAGATATTTGGGAATGGTTCTAAATCTTAATAGCTGTTTTTTGTTATCATATCAGTTAATGACTGTATGTTTTAATGGAGTTTAGCTGACTTAAGTAGTTCTATTAAAATTTAGATGGAATATAAATTTATTTTATTTGTTCCTTAATCCAATGATTTAAATAGCTATTTAATCCAATTAGGTATCTCTTAGTATTGATAATTTCCTTGTTTCATTAAATATAATTATGATCTCAGCAAAATTAGTGATAAAATTGGAAATAATGTTTCTTATTCATTGTTTATTGAGTATTCATTAATTTCAATGTAATAATTGCAATATTAAGAGATGATATCAATGTCAATTTGATTTAATTACACTAATATTGAATTTTTGGATGGTTCTACTTATTTATTGTAATTGCTTCCCAAAACTGCCTATAATTCTTTATCATTTTCTAAAATCTCTAATCTTTTTCTAATTTTATTAATGCAATCCACTGTTTATTCCAATAATAATTAGGAAATTGAAGTTTCAAACACTTATTCACAAGTCAAATTCATCAACTCTTTTATTATTATAATAATAAATTCTTGTAAGCATTCAGTTCTTTGTTAAAACAATTAAAGATCCTCAATTTTAGATAAATCTGAAAACTATTACTTCATTAAATTATTAAGACAAAAGTCAAAAATAAGAATGCATTCCTTAATCTAATCCTGCTTTTGATCTTTCATATGTTTATTTAATTGCTCAAATAAGGATTTGATGATTAATTCACTGTGACTAGATATGCTCTCAATAAGTCTCTCCCCTCCTTTCAATAACTCTACAAGTTTTTCATTTTGATTCCCATTTTTGTATTAGACAGTCTTATGATAAATGTATTTAGCTAGAGAATATCCAATTTAAAATAGAGTTAATTGAACTGTTTCTGGATGTTGCATATACCAATTCTATAGTACTTTCAGAGGGTCCCCTTATTCTTCAATTAATATTCTTTTTAACCCTTCCTATATATAAAGGATATTGGGATTGTTCTCAGAGAGCTCTTCTTCTCCGATTAACCAATTGTTTATTCTTCTTATCACGGCATGATCTTATTTTTAAAATAATAGTAAGGCTTATTCAATCAGTATTAATTATTCCTGTTATGAGAAGACATTATCTTAAATTTTGCAATGCAAAGACATAAAATCTAATGCTGCTCTTTTTACTAATGAAGATTCATCATCCAAAGATGCCAAAAGTGCATTAATAACCAAAGCACTTTTATTGGGCATCTTATCATCTTCTTTTAATTCATTTTCATTAAGTTCAATTTATTATTATCTTGTCCATCTTTTCATTAGATATTTATATGCTCCTAACCTACTTCTGACTGATCTAATTATCGTTATCCAAAGCAATCCAAAAAACTGTTTCACGCCTACACTTTCACATGCTTAATCAAGAGAGGACATTACCTAGTGTCTATATAGAAATTACCTTTTTCATCATTTCCTCGTTTGTATCCTCCATACCAACAATTATGGAGTTTATCAAACCTCCCATACATGGTAATAATTCCTTCTTTAAGGGATAGTAATATTTTTCAAGAATGTTTAAAAACATAGGCTTACATTAAATGGATGCAAATCCAAAGAATGGAAATAGACCTAGGGAAAATAATGGCAAATCTTATATTAAATCGTACTCTGAATCTGAACATAAAATTTGCAATATCAAATCATAGAGAGTAAGAGCATTTTCATGAATAGCTTTATTCCAAATTGGACTTAAACATTGTGCTAACCTTTTGCATAATAATTTTTTCTTTGGGATATAGGTGCCTTGGTATGATTTAAAAATTGCTTATAATTTAAGTAACCACTAAAAATAAATCTTGATGAACTACCTATCCTAAATCTGACCATTCTTTTAGAGATTCATAGCTTTTTAATATAGCAACGATCTTGGACTTCTACTTCGTTTGATCTTCAGTCTTCACCTTTATAACAGCTTAGCTTTCTGAGTTTCTGTTTTGATATTTTTGATCATTAAACATTCTATATTATATATAATATTCTTAGCTATAATTAATTTGTTGATAAAAAAATTCAATTTTATTTATTTGATTATTATTTGTGTCTCTTAATTAGATCCTTAACACTTTCTTATTTTTTTTTTTTAATTGTTTCTAGCCTAGCATTTCGAGATTCACTTCTACTTTGACTAGATTTGCTCTTATTCCTCTTATTATCCTTATTTTTTATTTTTTCTTTTGAATCTCTTATTGGTCTACTCGCCATAACATTAGTTTCTGTATTTTAAGTCTCTTTAGTTATTGACGTTCTAAAATGTGATTACTTTTCCTTTTATTTAATTGAATATAAACCATTCTCAATTTATTTCAAATGATTTTTTGTTAATTCTTAATCTTATATGACACTATCTAAGACGATCTTCAGATCATTTAATTAATTTTGGTATACTTAACTATTATTTAAGACTCTGTCTGAGTCACAACTCTTTTAATATACATCCTATTTCAAATTGTGTTCCAATCTTTATAATCTTTATTCTATTTTTTAAAAGTCTGTTTTTAAGGCACTCTGTCTCACTTCATCCATGATAACATCTATTTTTTTATTAAGTATAGTTTCAAATTCCTAAATTTAGGGTTATTCTTCTCCAATAGATCTCTAAATTTCTAAAATTTATTATTCAATATTGAGATTTTAGTCTTTTAACTAATTGAGTTCTTCATTATATAACTATTCCATCGAGATATTAATATGATTTCTGATATTTTTATTTTCTTATTCCTGTGTTGTAGCAAAATGTTAAAGCAATTTGATTAATTTGATAAAGCTTTCAAACTTATCCTCATGCTCTGAGAGTGTTTCTTCAACAAATTTAATTCTATCGTCGTATTTTCTGCTTAAATACTATTAGATCTAATCACAAATGATTTTATACTTTTTCTATTTACTAATCCAGTTATATACTTTCCTTACATGAATTTTATTTAATTCTATCTTCACTAGTTGTTCGCAACACAGGAGAAGTGTTTCTTTTATGTTTATCCGAATAGCTCATTGTTCGATTAATTATTTTGCTGTTAAAAAATATAATTAATTTTCTCATATTTTTAATCAATCTTTATTTCCATTTTTTTGATAAATATTTAAATCTAAATAGAAATAGCCATGCACAAATTATTGAAGGAAGTTGTTAAAGTCTACACCCAATTCCAAAAATTAGGACCAACTTACCTAGACACCTTTGATAATCGTGCCATTACTGAAGCCACCTTCGAAGCTGTTAAAACGAAACAATTACAAGAATACATCAGAAAAGAATTCAAGCCCATTGGAGACGTCTCCATGTTGCCTATTCATCTAGAGCCAGAGCATCGTTTCACTATTGCTATGTTTGCTTTGAGACCAGGAGTCAGAATGCCTTTACACGATCATCCCAATATGTTCGTTTTGAGCCATGTTATGAATGGGTTGGGGGAAAGAGAATCATGGGACGTAGATTCTATTGACCATCATTAACAAATTGAGTTCAGAAAAAACAAGGGAGATTCTAGAATTCTGAAGGCAATTCAACATCCAAAATTACAACTAAAAGAAGGGGATAATTGCTACACAACTCCTAATAAGTGCAATTTACACAAGTTTTCAAATGTATTTCATTATTTTATACTTTCTAGATTCATGAATCTGAACTATTCATATTCCTTGATGTTATCTTGCCTCATTACAATGGAGTTGATAGGGTTATAAACTTCTATGAACCATTTAGTGAAAACTAATTGGAATTGATGGGAAATCCTAAAACCTATTAGAGACATCCCATCGATGTTGATGATATCAGAGAGTTTATTGTTTAATGAAATTAGACATAATACCTATGATTTATCATTACGTAATAAATTATCAACAATTTAAATCTTATTGTATTAATAATTATTTATTATATAATTGATTATAAATATTAATTTATGCTTTAACCACTAAAAGAAGAGGAATTAAATGAAATTTATACATGGGTCGATCAAATACCTCTCAGCAGACCAAAAAAGAATATAGCTAGAGATTTCGCTGATGGCATATTGATGGCTGAAATAATGCATTACTTTCTACCTAAATTGGTTGATGTATTAATGATTTGAATTTGATCAGATGCATAATTACAGTCAAGCTAATTCGGTCAAATAGAAAAAGTATAACTGGGATACATTAAACACAAAAGTATTCAAAAGGATCGGCTTTACTCTCTCTAAGTTCAAATTTGAATATTTAATATAGAGAATAAGTTGATAGTGTGATTTCATGCTAATCCGAAGCAATTGAGAGAGTATTGAAGTTTGTTTAAGCCAAATTGGAATACTATTTAGAAAACAATACTAATTCTGCTGAGAAACTACCTCAACAAGGAGACAGTCAAATTGCACCACCACCATTATTAGCAAATGAATGGCAAAAAGATTAACAAATTTTTGAATTGCGAGAAACAGTTGAGGTTACTATATCATTATTATTTTGCAATTCTAGGTGTTGGAATAAAAATTACATCGCATGGACGAACTCATGAAATAAAAAGATGCTAAAATATTGAGGTATTAATAATTGCTATAATAAAATGGTTTATTATGAAACAACCCATAAAATTAATATCATTATTATTTATATCATAATATAAGTATTTTACTATATTATTTAATATGATGAATCGTACAATGGATCAACCATCTGAAACAGCATTGATGTCAGTTTCAACGTCGCTATCTGATAAAATATAACTATTATTATTTTTATAATCAACCCAATTCATTAATCATAATAATTTAGCTTATCAAGATTTCATATACCAAATAATGCCCATATGCAATATCTAGAATTTCAGATTAAAAAATATAATATTGAAATGCATACTAATATAAATACACGATAATATTTTATTTGTTATCTAAAAGAAATTTGAAAACTAAGGTAAAATTTGATTTATTCCATGGGGGTATCTAAACTATTTATGATTTGAATGAAATCCAAATTGGAACTTAAGAAATACCTAATAGCTTAAATAAGGAAAAATTGTCGGAAGGATTTGTTTCCAGAACTTCAAGCACTCTTTGTTTAAACGATATTGACTTGAAAACATTACCTAAATATTTTTAATTAAACATTCTTATTTTCGATTAAACTATGCTAAAATTGGGAAGATAATCAATAATCTGACTAACTGACTGCAAATAATGTAGTGAAAGAGGAAAAATAATTAATAGACCTGTTCTGTATTAAAGTTATAAAAGGGAAAAAATAAAGAATCGGTATAAATTTATTTTTGATAATACTAATCTTTAATTAAAGTTAAATAGTCAAAGTAAAAAAGAAGTTAAATGAAAAAAGACTTATTAAAACCTTTGCTTCACATTACTACCTTGAGTAATTTATAAATAAATTCTGATAATATTTAGACTTATATATAAGCGAATTTGGAATAAATAAGATTAAGTAGATGATCTTTTAAATTAAAAATAATTATTTGATACAAAATCATTACGGTTATACTTAATCAGGTAATTCTTATTATTATTATTATTATTGTTATTATTATTATTATTATTGCTATTATTATTGTTATTGTTATTATTATTGCTATTATTGTTACTATTATAATTATTATTACTGTTATCGTTATTTTTATTCATACTATTATTATTATTATTGTTCTTATCTTAAAATTTATTCCGAATTAGATTATTGTAATTATTTTTATGACTCTTGTATGAGCTTTTCCAAAAAGTCATTTTCAGCTTGATATAATTTGGCTTCTGATTATTAGATAGATCTCAGGAATTTATGATAGTGATTGAGCCTTGTCTTTCTGTATTTTTCAATTTCTTTAGTGGCAATGATTGCAGTGATTATATTATACAATTATGATAGCTTGTCTATTTCTAGTTATCCCTAATTATTATTAATAATATACTTCTGAAATTCTTTATTCAACTTTAACTTATGAGGCATCTTTTGATTTATTATATGTAGAATTGGTTATAGTAGTTAAAGTTTATTGTTTTGCTGCCATTTTGGCTAATTCAGCTTAGTCTTCTCTCATTTTTTATTCTTATTTTGCTCTGATAATAATAATTTGATCTCTATAGGCTAGGGTTTGTTACATAGACTCAGCATCTTTCAATTCATAGCGAAACATGTCAGTTAAATAATTAATGCTATTAGTTTTTTTATTGCTCTCTTTCTATTAATTTATAGGTTACAATATATACAATCTCATCTAGAATTTTTCTATATTCATCTTGATTTGAAGGATTTGAGAGTACTAATTATTACTCTTTACCATAGACATACTCATTAAGTATAGTTTTTTCATAGAGAGGCAAAGATCCATTAAATAGGTTGACTAACGTAAAAATGTTACTATACCTTTTTCATCTTATAGGATCTTTCTAGCTTATGCAACAATACTGGATTGGTCGATGTAGACTTTTAGAATAGCTTAAGTTTTTCTTAATTGACCTGAGAAATTACTGATGGCCAACATATATTCACTGTTTTGTTGGTCTCTGACATCGAGATTTGGGAAGGCTGTCTTTAATTTTTCAATAATTTCGGGTGTTGTTGGTGCCTTTTACTGTTGATAAGTCTAATAATAATGAATTTGATGTTTACTTTAGCAATATCTTGAGAACTGGATCTTAGGAACAACTATTGAAAATCTTCAGATGCATAAATGTAGGGTAATGATGATATGGCAACCAAAAAGACTTCCAAAAGTCTTCTTCTGATTTACACAGTTTCTTAATCGTTGCCACTTGCTAGTGCTTTTTCAGGGATTGGTGGAATGTAGCATCCTGGCCATTTTTTGACCAATAACTCCCTTAATTCAAAGAAGTCATTATATCTTCTATAGACTTCAAAAGCTCCTTGATTGTCTGAGCCTTTAATCAAGTAGGCTGTGAATTTTTATCCAAATCCTGCATCTTTGATGATTACATCTTCGATTGAAATTGAGACTTATAAATCAAGAGTTTCGACTTCTTTAATCTACTGTTGTTAGAGGACTGTTTGTGGCAATACTGACTGCTCGTCGTTTTATTTTATCACTTGTTCCTGAGAATTTGGCTCGGTTTATTAATCCATATAGAAATTAATGATTAATTTTTATTTGATTGATGAAAGTGATTGCGATTGATGATGATTTCATAGATATATATTTTAATGAAAATGATATTAAAGAAGAAAAACTGTAAATACTAATAGTAACTTTGAGTGGATTTGATATAGCATTACAATAAAATAATAATTTAAATTATAATAATGGAAAAGAAAGTCCTATTTATTCGACATGCAGAGTCAGAGTATAATTTAGCTTAAAGAATTGCAAAGAATTCAGTGGCTGAAGTTAAATTAGAAGAAGAAGATCAGGATGTGAAATACTCATCGAAATATTGTGATGCCCCATTAACTAAATTTGGAAGAGAATAAGTACATACCAACATAGCTTATTAAACTTACTTAGTGTGAACCATCTAAATTTGAAGACCTTCGAATTGAGACAGTAGTTGTAAGCCCATTAAAAAGAGCAGTTGAAACGGCTGTCTTACTCTTTTAAAACCATCCCAATAAACCTAAATTTGTTGTGGAACCGTATTTGCGTGAGATGTTTTTATCTGGGTGTGATTTTGGGATCAGACTACAAGAAACCATGAATGAATATCCATTCATTAATTATGATAGATTGTTATCGAACCCCATAATAAAAGAACATCCGAACATGTGGTCACTTGAATTTATTTACAATCAAAAGAGTGCGGATGTTTTGAAACAGTACATTCAAGAGACTTAATATGGAAGTTAGGTTTGTATTGAGAAGGTTTTGGAGTATATGAAAAAGAATCCAATATAAGTTGAGACTTTTGAAGAAAATACCAAAAGGGTGGAGGAATGTAAGAAGTACCTCCAATTTGATGAACCTTTCGTATGTGTTTCTCATTCAAGAACTATACAAACTTTGACTGGCTAATTCATTCATAATTGTACTGGAATTGAAGTCAGTTTATGATGTGTGTGAATTATGCTAATTATAAAAATAAATCAATATATCTCATTTATTATCATCTTAAAAAACTATTTATTTATTTCTTAATTAATATATAATAATATGGATTAGCTTGATATTGATTCATCGAAGTTTGATTGCCAAAAATATGTGAGTGAATTCTTAAAGAATCATAGTGTTTAAGATCTAATACAAAGACATAATCAATTGTAATCAGAAATCAAAGAATATGATTAAGATATATAATCACTAGTTTTTGAAAATTATAGGTACTTGATCAAGTTAATTGTAGCAAATTCATTTCCTCAATTGATACCGTCAAAAAAATGAAAACTGACATTACCCAAATTGATTAAAAGGTAGAGACTTTGGCACAATCCATGACCAAAATAGCCTAATTGTCAAGAAGAATAGATTCTTAATTATCAATTAAAAGAGAAGAAATCATCAAACTGGATACTGTCAATAAGGATTTGAGTCGACTTAATTCGGTTTGCAATTTTCCTCACATAATCTAAAAAGAATTAGATCAATATAAATCAAGTAAAGGAAAGAATTATGATGAATATTTTAATGAGACTGCCTAGTATTATAAACAATGTTATTCCACCTTGGATCAATACAAAAATGAACCACTTATTTAACCCATTTATAAAGAAACCAATTAGAAATTAGACAATGCAAGGTAAATCCTTTGGAGTTCCTTAATTGAATTCAAATAATAAAATCCACTTTTATAATTGTATTCAGAATCCAAAGTGTCGATATCAACTCAAGAAGCCAGATCAGCAGTCAAGAAGTTGATACAAATAATGGATGATGAAGAAGCTGTGCTCAGACATTATCAAAAGATCATCAAAGAAAGATATTTGACTGTAGCCAAAGAATTGATAGATAAAGCAGCCATTACTAAATCATCTGAAGTTGTGAATCTCATGGACTACCTAGAAGAAAAGAGATATGATTATACTGTTGAAGAATTAGAGGAATACAAATAAATGAAAGAAAAGGAAATTGTCAATTCTGATTCTGCCATCTAAGGCTCAATTTTGTGGTTAATCAATCAACTATGTTAAATTATATTTAAAGAGTTGAAAGTAGAAGTTTCATTTTTATTGATTGAAATCAGAGGAACCCTCAGGGATAAATCATTAGAATAACTCTCAACTCAATGCATCAAAGAGATCATCCATGGAGTATTCTAAGGTGTTACAGATAAGATGAGTTAGAAGAAAATTAATAATGTTTAAGTTAACGAAGTTTTTGTTAAGTTACAAACTGAACTCCAATCATTATTTGAAAACAATTCAATTAGATAATAATTAAGGACGGAAATCATAGATAAATTTACAGAAAATGTTGAGAATATTTGCAGAGGCTAAGTTTTTACATCTTTCAGTCATTTAAGAGTTCAATTTTTAGAGTTGCTAGTGTTTGCTAAAAATGATTTATAGCGCTTGTAACCTACTGATGAAATCAAACGAGAGATCATGACTCTCATAACTGTAATCAAATAGAAATTAATTGCATTTACAACTATACGTTTATTAGATCTTAAGGCCTTTGTATTTTCTTAATAATAAAGTTATCTTCGAGAATAGGAGACTTATTTGAATCTTATCTAAGCCTCTCTAATCGAGTTTGTTAAATTTGTGGGTAAGATATTTGCCTTTAGATCCATTTCCATCTCTCAAGAGTAATTAAACCAATTGTTTAACGATAATTATATCATTTAGCAAGTCCTACCATTATTAAACACTAATGATTCTACATATTACTATTTGTTTTCAAACTAATTTTTATAGTTGTACTCAAAAACATTGAGTAACAAATTATTTGAACTTGTTAGTTAGGTCTTCTAAGGGTATAAAAGTAAATTATATAATTAATATATCAAGTCCGATAACCAACTGATTAAGAATTGAATAAACTCAAAACCTATATCAATGGATCTACTTAAAAGAATTTGATGTTGTTTGCACAAGCCTAGAGTGAGCATTGGATTAATATCATCTTTTAATATCTCAATCAAGAAAACGTTGTGTACCAACAGCAAATTACATAAAAGATTTTATTTAATGAAGTCAAAAATTTTATAGAAGCTCTAGGTCTTCTATTTCCTGATACAAAAAGAGGACTTGTTAAGAAAGTATCCATCATATAACAAAGCACTTTCAATATTTAAATGGAAATAGTCATGGTGAGAAAGTGCAAGATATTAGAAACTAATATAAATGATAGAAATAGTTTACTTATAACCGTTGTAAAGTATGTTTTGAAAGTATTATTACAAAAAGTAAGAGGAACTTATTTCTCAGATGATTTATTTAAATAATTTTAGGTGGATTTATATTTTGTTATGCAATTATTCTATGATATGGTTTCTGTTGACGAAGAAGGATTAATAGCAGGATTTTATATGGAAATTTTAGATTGTGCTGGCAAAAACTGTAAAAATGATGTTAAAATTGATCCAAAAATATTAGAAAGTTTGTCATTATAGGCCAGAATGTGATATTTATTAAATTATTTTATTTAATATGAGTGATCAATTGAAGAATATTAAATATAAATTTTAGTCTTCAAATTAATAATCAACACTTTGATAAGGAGAGATTAAATAAAAATGCTTGTGTCATTAATTTAGAGTTCTCATAATAATAATACTTTTTGCTTGAGAAATAAATCAAGAATAAAACTGTGAATTGTAAATTTAATTAGTCATAACTTACAATCTAAGTCAATGAGAACTTTTTCAATTAGAATTTATTTATTTATAACTCTTTATTCCTTATAATTTGCAAAGAGTAAAATAAGGTGAGCATAATAATAGTATTGATTATTTTATAATTATTTTAATTCCCTTAAAATTACTTATCATAATTTTAAAGTGCTTTGAGAATATTAATATAATCAAAAAAAAAAGGACTCTTCTTTTTAGATTAGATAAACACTCGTAATTGATTTGTAAACTCTTTCAACTTCAGTATAATTTGCCTTTTTAGCTGTTAGACAGATTGACCTTATCTTATCCTTAAGCAAGAATAATGGTTCTTCATTCTGTATTAATAGTTATTAATTTATTCCTGGGGCTTAGAGAAACAAAATTTAGCATGCTTGTAAAATTGGTAATGATTCATTAAGAATGGAATTTACCTTCTCTTAATGTTTTTTTTCTTAGGCCCTTCTTATTTGAGATCCAATAGATTTGATATTAGATCCAGAATGCGAATCCTTGGTGAGTTATCGGCCTCCTGCCTTTCCTCTTACAACATATCGATGATCACTTTTATGATAGATGCAACCTGTATTATCAAAAACTCCTAAACAAAAATAACCTCCATGGCATAAGATAATAGCAAATTTTTAGACTTAATCTAATTGATTTAAATTTGGTTCTTATTATTATTTTTATTTTATGACCTTTTATTTATTCTAATTAACTCTCTCAAGTATTTCTTTTTGTCTACTTAATATACTTTGCATATCATTTAATTGATAACTAGCAAACTCTGATGATTAGGCTATTTTTTCTAATATTTCTTTGGAGCAATCTTCATTTATTTCTGAGAATTCGTAATTCAAACCTTAATCAATCAATGATCTATTAATTACGACGTAGTTCTCATTATATTTAAAGGCTTTATTATCTTGTGTACTTAACTTACACTCTTCTGGAAGAATGGCGTTTATATTAATGGATTGCCAGTTTAGACTAAGAAATTCTCTTGGAAGATCTTTGAGTTAAATCTTGATAACTTAAACACCTAATTCTTTAATTTTTATATCCATATTTTTTGGTACTTTATATAGGTCCTTGGGTAGCACAGGAATAGTTTTTTTTCTAAAATTATAAATTTCCTTTAGACTCTAAATGGATTATAGAAATAAAAAATTACATTTATAAAGTGCACTAATCTTTATTCTAAATACTTTTTCAAAACGAAATTTAATTGATTTTTGAAATACTTATTACAAATACTCAAATTGGCTAAGTCTTTTGAATTTAGATTTGAGATTATTGTTTTACTTATTTCTGGTTAGTTGAAAAGGTTTATGATCATTATTAAATATTAAATTTTTAATTAAAATATCTAAGAAATATATTAATTTAGTTGATTAATATGTGTTAAGATCCAATATACTATTATTGTAAATCCATAGATATAGGATTTAGCCTGAGATATCAAGAAAGTAATAAATTAATATCAAAACAAAGATCTTTAAATAATCGTTATTAAAATATACTTAATATTTAGATTTACTTGAATGTAAAGAAATAGTCATTATAATTGATAAAATAACACAGCGCCAACAAAACCAAATAATGCATATCTATAATGTTTATTTATTGATTAAAACCACTTTTTCTATCTAAATAATATTCCAAAATAAACCAATATAAAACCATACGTAAGATTTTTTATTGTCTTTTTCTCTTAGTATTACTTACGAATTTATTCAACATATTCAGCGTCTCTCCTTTCTTGCAAAAATGAATGACTAATATCACAAGCTAACAATTAATTAATTTTTTTTTAAAGCAATTTCTAAGTATTGCCAAATCTAGGAATTCTAAATTTGAATTATTCATATTTCATTAATTATCTAAGTTTGTATGCAATTATTGTATATAATTTATCATTTATGGCTTCCAAACATAAGTAATATTCGCTGGCATCTTTATTCAAATTTTCCTTACAATTGATTAGTTCGATTAACACCAATTACAACAATTTCTCTAACTCCTCTTTTAACTCTATCGATTTGACTTTTAAGGGATGACCAATTTCTAAAGCTAAATGCAATAAGAGTTCTTTTTATTCTAAATCCTTATTATGTATTTCTGTAAGCACAATTTTCTCCACTTCCTTTACTCTTTCAAGGCTTGTATATTTCCTATTCGACCGAAATTTTTCAGTAACATCCTTAATTTCCAACTTTAGCTTCTTTAGCATAGAAAATTAAATAAAATATAAAATAATTTATTTATGTTCAAAATTCTTCTTATTATATCAAGAATTTTAATTACAAATAGTATCCAATTATTTATTCTTATTCTATAATCATTTGATATTAATTAAATATAAATATTTCTTAGATATCATTAGTTTAATAATGTATTTACATTAACATAATCACAAAATCTATAGTTCATTTTTTGCATCTCTTTAAGTTTAAGTATTATAATTTCCTTTTAAATTTAGATAAGATAATTATTTTGATTTAATTTGTTCCAACTAATTTAATTATTCAGATAATTCAAAAAGCTTATCTTTACCACATATTTGGTTTTCTTTTAATTCAACCAGCTTGTTAAGTCTCATTGATTAATAAGAATTAAAGAATTATTCACATAAGCTTTGTTGCAATAATTCAACTTTATTCATGAATTACTCCATGTTTTCTTCATCATAAGTAAATTCTTATTCTTCTATTGCCACAAATTAACAAATATGAAATTTCATCATTTCTTCTTATATAACACACCTAAACTGAATTTTATTGATAATGCCATTGATTTTTTTTTAGAACTCTATTTATTATTTAATCGATTCTATTTCTTCTTCTGTTTCTTAGACATCATTTAAGGTACATTCTTTAATAAATTACCCATCAGCTTAGACAATCTAAAAAGATTTTGTAAGGAGGTAATTAAAATCATTTTCATCAGACAAAGTGATGATGTCATTTTCTTCATCTTTATAAGTTAATGACTACAAAACAAATGATGGTTCAGCTTACTGAAGTTTTGATTTCAATTCTTCTAAAGATTAAACACATTCCAAATTAAATTTAAGACCCTAGCACTCTATTTGAAGATTCATAATTAATTTGTTTAAATTTCCCAAATTGCTTTTAATTCCAAAATACTGAATTATATCTGTTCATGGCATAATTCTATATTTTCTAAATTAATCAAAATGTGAAGCAACCATTTAATTATTCATGCGTGAATATAAAGGAAAATGAAAACACATTATGATACTAAAAGACAAAAAATATATTCAAAAATATAAATTTGGAAACTCTAAATAATTTTAGTTTAGATTCATTAAATTATTTTTAACCAAAAACTTTTATTATAATATATTTAACTATCAATTGTTGTATTTAGAATGCTTTAAGTATTAACTTTCTGTTACTTATAAATTTTTCCGTAGCAAATCTCCTACGACTATAGAATTCTTTTTAGGATTATTGAAGACTTCACACTATGAGTTTGCACTCTTGTTCCTTTTCCGTAATTCAATATAATCATCTACAACATATTTTAACCATTTCCATGCGTATTTAAGGGTTATTTATTTATCAGATGGGTGACAAACTCTCACCATATCCAGCACGCAGTTAAGAAACTTCGTTTCATCAGGGCCTTACCTGAGTTGGCTACTGAGGATTTCATTCTCCTACTAAGCCTCACTATATTTATAGTGCAAGTGCTCTAGTTCTTCACTCAGATAGAGATTTACAAAATACCTTAATTATTGCTAATATTTCATTAGTTGATTAACTTTTTCATTTGCAATTTGTAACTATTACTCTAAGGAAGTGGATTCAGTTTCATTTTTAAAAAACATCTCCTCCTTCATAGACAATGGCGAGAACTCTTATGAGTAACTCATTTAATTTTAACTGTTATATAATTTAATTAATTCAAAATAGAACTAAATATTAAATATATTATGTCTAATTAATAATGAAGAACTTAAATAGAAATTAAGTAAACAATTACTATTATTATTATTAAGTTTTTTTTCTAATAAATAGAAGCAATTTAATTCTTCTACTTCATAATGATAAATCACTCTTTATTAATTTGAACAGACTTGAAGTCTCTCCTATATTTGAAAATTCTATCGAAAATGCTTAGAGCTATATGATAAGCATAATTAACTTACTTCTGTGACTAAGTCTGATGTCTTATATAGTTTCTTGTTAATCAAGTGCTTTAGAAAAATGGTAAAATACTTAATCATTCTTACTTGTTAGCCTTTTTCCTATATATTAATAAATAGATTAAACTTTGATGTTTTGACAGAATTGAATGCAGTAGTTAATATAATAATTTAAATACTCCTAGGGAATGTGAAATTATTAAACGATCATGCACATTAGCTCTAAGCCATTAGGAGTTACATCCATTTAAACTAAGTTATCCATAAGTCTATCATAATATTAAATGATTACTCTAAAAATTCTGGATTAGGAAAGTATTTAGAAAACAAAAAAAATGCCAAATTTAAGTTCTTCTCAATTATTTCACCTAGATTGAAATTAATCAAACCGTTATTCTTTAAAAAATTGTAATTGTCTTTCTTTAGATATTCTTAAAATAACTAGAATTAAAAACTTTCTTACTTGCAATTCATATTCTGAGATCTATTCATTATGTGCCTTCTATATGATTTCTTTAATTTGACTCAATTTATCAGAATTTATTTGTAATGAATAATCCCAAATCGCATAAGATATATCATTTAAATCAATCCAATCAAACCTATTTTAGACAACATTTGGAATAGGTCTAAGATACTCAATTTCAAATCCATTTTGTTATTGTATGAAATCAATATTAGTATTTTGTCTTAATTTTCTAAAATGAAAGAAAATCTTACTAAGGTGGATTATTATTATTTAATGAAATACAATTTCTCATTTTATTCTGAGCAATTTAATTATTTGAATAATCTTTGGAGATTGGCCTATCATTAGATGTAAATTTATCTTATTCTTCAAGCAAGGTCTTAATTGTAATGGCAGCATACTATCTTAAATGTCTTAATAAATTCATATACAATTTGAGGATCTTAAATAAATTTTCTCTCAAAATCATTTAATGTAAAGTTATAAATATCTTATAGACATGATCTCAATTCTGAATTGTACAGTAAATAGATAGTGAGCAGTCTTTATCCTTTTGTGAATATCTAGACTTATTTAGATTCTTACATTATCACATAATCCTTAATAAAAATAAGGATATGGATTTGGTTCTGACTCAAACTTCTTAATGAACGTCCTCTATATATTGTCTAATGTCCCAGTTGCTTCCAACAAATACCTATTGATTGATTCTACCTCTGACTAAGAAATCATTATATTATAATTATAATATTTGATCAAATTCAAAAAATATATAAGAATTAAGTCTCTATATTTAATATCAAAAATACAATCTGAATATTGATGTAATTATAATCATTTATCAAACTATGCATACTTTTTAGCCAAATCATCCATCTACTTTTCTAGTCCATGATATCTATTTAGAAGTTCATTTCTTCTGATAGTAAATGTTTCCTCTTTTTCCATTAGTAAACTAATATATTCAATAATTAATCTTACTTTATTTCACTCTATAAACCATCAAGCATTTTTTCTTAAGATTCAATTGTATCTTAATTTTATTAAATTTTCTAATCTAATTCATTCATAAGTCCTTCATCCGATTATTATGCTAATTAATCAATTCCACTAATAGAGCAAATTCTCTAAAATTCATCCAAAAGCAGCTTTCTTTCCATTTACAATGACTCCTAGGCTTTCACTTCTTATTTTATTAATTTATCATAACTTTTGGTCTTATTAAATTCATCTTCAAACTCTTTTAATTAAATTCTTGACTATTGTAATTCATTATTTTTCTAAGTTAATTCCATGTCTAACTTATTTTTCAATTATTCTAGTTCCTCCAATTTTTATTATTTTTACAATAATTTAGGATCAAGTCTTTATTATTCCTTACACAATTTTTCAAATTCTTATTCGTAATGCAGACTGGCAGCCTGTAACTAATTCTACTTTTGTTGACTAGCTTTAATCTCCTACTATAAATTCAAATATATATTTCTTATTTGATTGCTTTAATTAACTAACTTTTAGTAGGATTAGGATAATTCCTAGACTGTGGCTGTTGCTCTTTATAATTCCTCTCTACTTTCATCTTTACAAAATTTGAATAAATTGTATACTTGCTTCTTCCTTGATTTCTGCTATTTTATTACCCAACAATTCCACTTCTTCTTAAGTAGCCCGCTGGTAGTGTTATCTGTCTCTCAATTATTATTCAATTTATTCGATTTAAGCTTCACATGTCTTAATTTCATATTTTCTTTATTTTATTTTATTTGTATTCTTTTTTCTTGGTTTCCCACTTGAATGCACTTTTCTAATTAATTCAGCTAATTATTATTTTAACTAAATCTATTCTTGGAGAACCTCTTCTAAATTAATCTAATAATTTTAATTTCAATCTCATACTTATTCACTTTCTTACTACTATATTAATTGAGTGAATTGTTTATCCAAGATTTTTCTATAGTTTCGAGGATCTAATTTCGTTTCAAAAGGAATCCCGTTCTCCTCAAACAATTATTATATTTTGAACATATAATTTAAATTATATAATTACTAATAGTATAATTTTCTTGAGATCTAAAATTCATTTAGAAAGATTATTTTCAATTAAATTTATTATCATAGAAACAGTTTTATCATATTAAAACTAAGCATTACATAAATTCTAAGAGGGATAGATATTTTTAAAAAGAACAACAATTGAAGTACTTTTCACCATAGAATTCAAAAAGGATACAAATAGAATTATTCTCTCATAATCATAGAGATAGCATATTACTTTTCATCTATTTAAAGGTACATTTTATATGTGATGGTTCTAATTATAGAGCACTAATTGATTATTCAAATATTCTAAGATTTTCTATTAAGTAGTTTAATAACGAAATAATTTATTCATTTATTTCTAATTTATTAAATCCTATAAAAAATATAAATGACTTATTTCAGACATAGAATCATAATTTTAGAATTAATTTAATTATATTTATATCACATAATTAATCACGATTATAAAATTAATGAAAATTAATGATAATAATGACAAGTCATTTCATTCTGCCTCCATCCATAAAGCTTCTTCTTTATTAAGCCTGATTGAAGATGTGAATAATCAATAAGTTCAAAATCAAAATATTTTACAATATACATCGAAAAACAAAGGATTTAATCCTTAACCAATAATTTCTTCCGCAGTTGCTAGAGAGGTAGAAGAATTAGAGTAAACCTACAAAAATTAGTAAATTAAAGACATTTAACCAATAGGGACTAAACCTTTTTATATAGAATATATGGCATACTATTCTTGCAGCTAATCCTATCATCTTTAAGAGGCCCCTTATATTTGACATTACACAAGAGCTCTATCATTAGAGCAGCTTGGAGATAAGGATTTACTGCTTTAATTTATCTGCCAATCAGTATCTATGAATTAAAAAACAACAAAAATTATATCATTTCATTTAAGGATTAAGAATTTAATTTACTAATGGCCTCTGTAGCCTAAGCAGTATTAATATTTAATATGAATTTGTAGATTTTTGCAGTGTCCTTATCAATATCTGTGACACATACTCATGTCTCATATGCCCTTATGTTTTATAATAGTTCTCTTCTATTTTATTGTGGATTCAAAATCATCACAAAACAACATTGCCATATACTGGAATATTTTGGATTTGGAGTTGCCTTGGTGTTATTGATAGTAATTTTCACAAACCATAGTTACACATTTTATTCGAAACAAGATGTTTCAATTTTAGATAAAATCATATATGGAGATTTAACTGCGCTATTTGGAGGTGGAGTTTCTACTTTATTTTAGTATTTATTATAATAGAGTTAGTGCAAAATATTATTCTAAATTGATATCTTGTTGTCCAACTTTTACATTATTCGCTATTATTAGGGCTTTGAGTACTGTGATGTTGATAGCGATGACATTTATCTTTGATAATCAGCACAACTTCTTTGAATTTTTAGAACCCGTTCTTTTTACTCAAATTTTCCTGAATGCCTTGTTCACTGGTGTTTTGATGAATCAATTATAATCATATGTGCAATTATTTGTTGATCCATTAACATATAATTCTGCTAACTTTTTTTAACCACTTTTTGGGAGCATTTTCTCTTATTTTTTAGGGCAAGTATAGAAAATCACAATATAAATAGGAATCTTTACCAGGATCATTATCTGTAATTTGTATGATTTTGTACAGTATCGGTTTATTGTTTATATAAATTGGAAGGTCTAAATCAGAAACCGAGGATCTAAACCTGGATATTGAAATGAGATAATTAGACACAGTGTGTCTTGAAAATAATCCTTTACTCTCAATATTTTAATCTACTTATAGGGAGAGAGACGATTAAATGAAAATATCACTATATAAAAGAAAGACCATTTAAAGACTGCAAACGAAATAATTTGTTGATTATAGTATGGATTAATGAGAGTTGGTTTAGTTAACTATTATAATTAAAATTAACTTTATATAATTATTAATTCTAAACCTTTGAAAGTAATTTGAATTTTCATATACCTAAAAATTGAAATACTTTAATTAACTAGCCAATATAGGTTTACAATACTCTTTATTCATAGTTAATAAATCATATAGATAGATTTTAAAATAAATTGTTCCTACATTTAACATTCTAAGATTCAAAAATGACACTCTATACCTTAAATTATATTAAAATTGAATCCATCATAGATTATGATAATAAGAATCAAATTAATTCTTAGGTTCCTTTAGTTTTTATTCATTTTCATCTCATTTCAAGTCTATTTTATTTTAGCTGAAATGATTCTAATAATTTATATGAAAAACTTTGTTTGTTGATTAGAGGTGATAATGAATAAATTATTGATTGTGATTTGAACATAAAAATTTATTTTGTAAATGATTATTAATTAAAAAGTTTTACATTAAAGAATTGCTTTTGATATAGCAATATGATTTTAAACTTTGGATTCATAAGATCACTAAATAAGCAGAATTTTATTCAACTAATGAGGTTCCATTTTTAATTGCAAAAAACTGTTGAATATGATTGATGAAAATAAAGAGTTTAAGATTTAATTTATAAATAAAACATCAATAAAATATAATTCTACAAATTTTTAGATTTCATGAGTATATTGTATTTAACCCAAAAAATGGAATTTATGCTAAACAACTGATTTTAATAAGTAGAGTGTAAATGATAAAAATAGATTATTAAAAAAGATTAATAGAGTTTCTAGTTATTCCATATAATTAATCTAAGAACAAAAATAGTGAACCTAAATTTGATATTCAAAAATAGTCTTGCTTCGTATAATAATAAATATAGATCATTAAACTTGGTAAATTTTCTGTTAGATTAGTATGGAAGCCTAAAATCGTAATTGGTTTTCAATTAAGAAATATATAGTCAACATTAAATAAGTGACTAATAAACATACAAATCAATCATTTTATTATGTACTATGAATCATATTTACAAAATTGTCTTCAAATGAACTTGGTTTTCTACTTCTTTAGATCTGTTGTTCTGTAGTAGATTCATCGTATTGAATATTGAAATCAATAACTGTTGCTTTTGATACCGATCTCGTTTTTTCTGCGTAATAAAATGCGTAAGGTATATAAAAACAGGGAAATTGTTGAACTACTGTAAAAAATATTTGAATGCTGATTTAAAAAACAGAATAAGTTTATTCTTTGCTTTATTAAAAGCAAAATAACTCTCTGTTAGTATTGTACATTAATAGTATGAGCACAATGAATGTTATCATTGTAATGGTTTAAGCCCAAATAACTAATTTAATCTATTTAAGTTTCATGGTTAATGTATTTTTAATCATTGAAGAGCTGTCAAGGATTTTGGAGTATTGGTCTTGATTTTGGTTTAAGGCTTCTTCCTTCCTTCGTATGTAGTAGATTAGTGATTGTCCGTGTATTTGCGTGAATATTGTGATTATCAGTATTTGCACTTCCAATAAATCGAGACTGTAATAAAAATAACTATTTTAACAATGGTAATCGTACTTATTGCAAGAAGAGTCATCGATTTTGAAGAAGAAGAAAAACTGCAATGAAAATACTACCAAGTAGAAAGCTCCCTTGCTGATCATTAACCTTATATATCGATTTTTTCTTTTTTCCACTATATAGATAAAATTGAATAATTACAGTCATCTGCATATTTGAACCGATATCTAAGGTTGGCTAAACTCTATGAAACAAGAATGAAGGTAATCAGTTGTAATAAGCTTGCTGAAATGATCATCCTATTCGAGTTGTAAATAGTGTATTAAATCAAATGGATGATCGCTTGCAAACAGCAGCAAATCATGGGAGCTATCTCATATCGTATTGATCCATTTGCTTTGTAGTAGTGGAATGACCAACTTATAGAGACTACTGCGATAATTAGAGACAGAAAAGCAAGTATAGAATATCTAATGCAAGATAAGAAATGATTATCACATTCTTCTAAAATTAAAATCATTCTAATAATAATATTATATCATTAATTTCATCAGTTTTCTTTAAAGCATACAATACTGAAATCTTTGTAGACTGGTGCTCATAATACGGATTATTAAGTGCTCATTTATTGTAATATAAATAGCAAATTTAAAATCATATTTGAACTAATTAGCAATTTAATTTACATTTCTTTATTAAGATCCAGAAATCATTAAATAATTAAGTTTCTATAGTTACAAATCAAATTTATTCATTTATCATCACATTTATTGATTTCACCATAAATGTCAAATGAATTGATTTAAATTAAGGATTTTTAAGTATTCTTTGTAACAAAGTTATTTATAATAATTACTGCTTCGAAAAATAATAAAAAATAAAAATAAAAAATATCAATAAATGTCTAATCAAAACGATCAACATAGCCAAGTGGAAGAACACATCCTCAAATAATTTGAAATTTAAGATTTCAAAGGTAAAGGAGCTTATGGAATAGTTTGGAAGGCTTTAGACAAACAAACGAAACAATAAGTGGCATTAAAAAAGGTTGTAACTACTAATATTTCTAATAGGTTTTTGATGCTTTCCAAAATTAAACGGATGCTTAACGAACATTCAGAGAAGTTTGTTTTTTGTAATAATTAACAGATCATGAAAATATTGTTAAATTATTAAAAGTAATTCAAGCTGAAAACTAGAAAGATTTGTATATGGTGTTTGAATATATGGAAACTGATTTACACAAAGTTATTAGGGCAGGTCTGTTAAGTCCTTTGCATATGCAATATATAATATATTAGTTGTTAAAATGCTTAAAATTTATACATTCAGGAGAATTAATTCATAGAGACTTGAAACCTTCCAATTTATTAATTGATTCTGATTGCAAAGTAAAAGTAGCTGATTTTGGATTGGCCCGTAGTGTTGCTTAATCTGAAAATGAAAATGGTATCTATTAACATTCTATAATCCTATTAGAAACACCAATAATGACAGAATATGTTGCTACAAGATGGTACAGAGCCCCAGAAATCTTGTTAGGATCTCATGGTTACTCAAAGTCGGTTGATATGTGGAGTGTTGGTTGTATACTTGGTGAAATGTTATTGGGCAAGGCCATCTTTTCAGGAGCATCAACTTTGAACTAAATAGAAAAAATAATTGAACTAATTGGAAGACCAAAAATAGAAGATCTAGAAACAATAAATGCACCCCTTGCTTTATAAGTTTTAGCTGGCATCCAAATGTAAAAAAGAAAAAGTTTCGCAGGATTCTTCCCTAATGCATCTCCAGATTTTATTGATTTCATTAGATAATGTCTAAATTGGAATCCCCAAAAAAGAATGACAATTGATGAAGCACTGAAACATTAATTAATGAAGGAATTTGCAAATACAGAGGATGAAAAAACCTTGAAATCAATAATTAAAATACCTTTTAGTGAGAATAAAAAGCTCACAATCAAAGACTATAGGGATAAAATAACTTTAAATTGTGAATAGATTCTACAAGAAATTGAATAGAATACATTTGATAAAAACATAGCCAAATAATATGTATCTACACCATAAAGTTTGGCCACTTATATGAATAATTTTGATTCAAAATAGAAACACCATACTTCTAGTCATTAAGCTTCTCAACCTGTGGATAAGCCTAAGAAACTAGATTCCTTTTATAAACCTGAAGCAGCGAATGTCTATACTTCTTAAAAGAAATCTGATTATTCTCCTACACTGAAACCAACAATGCCGTCTAATCCTTAAAATATTAGCACCCATTAGGTTCAATAAAAGTTTAATCCAACTTAGACTTAAACTTACAATTAAGGGTTAAGAAAGACTTATACCAATATTGTGAATAGACCTCATAATGACATTAATAAAAGTCCAGAAATAAAGAAAAAAACAGAAAATCTTATCACCAACGTAACAAAGTCTTATTCTTTTCATGGAGAACCATATGACAGACGTGTGAATAATGCAAGCTTCAGTACTCAAAATAAGAATGAAAATAAACCATCAACTTCAGTTAGTTATGTTAGACCAGTTCAAGTATAATAGTTATCAAATTATACTACAGCCTAGAATTTCTCTTAATAAAAAGAAATGTTAAGACCTAAAGATCCCATCATGATAACTCAGGCATAAAGAAGTAAATCATTTGAGAAGTCACCAATTAACATTAATCCAACAAGTCCATATCAAAGACAAAAAACAGAGGTTCCTAAGCCAAAATTTATTCCTCAAAGTACAAAACTTAATCCTATTTAGATAATATTAACAATAGTGTTGCTCAAGTATAGAAATTATTATAGAAATGCTGTTAAGTTTAGAATTACCAATAACACAAAAAAACATCAAGTGCAGTTGATCCAGCAAAATAATAATAACAATAAATTTAATAAACAATCAATTACAATTATTTTGACATTAGAAACTCAAAATTTATGTGATTACTATTTTTGTATTATTTATATTATTTATATTATAGAAGGATAGTTGATAAATTTAATCATTTACATCTTCAGAAAGATTTAAAAGGGTTTTTAAATTTAGGTAGTGCAAGTTCATATATTCTAAAAGAAATATAATGTATTATTACTATTAATTTATGCTTTCATGATGAGAATTCTTCAGTTCAGATAATTTAGTAAAATAGGGGTGAATCAAACATTATTCAACAGAAGGTCTTTAGCCTGCATCTTTTAGCATTTGACTGATAAGATCATGCAACAAAGGACATTTCAGATTTTCACTAATGACATATTGATTTTTTTTATTAAGTTCACAAATTTCTTTTGGGCCCAATTTTGATGAATAAATGCGTTTTCCAGTAGCCAAGATGTGTATGACAGCTCCTAAACTATATATGTCACATAATTGGTTATAAGGATTTGATTATTAATATATTTCTGGAGCCACATAGCCAGGAGTTCCGCATCGAAATTCCATATTCTTATTGTCTGAGAGAAATGTTGCAAAGCCAAAGTCAATTAGTTTTAATGATTTAATGTCTCCTTTGGTTTTAAACATAATATTATCTAATTTGATGTCTCTATGTAAAATATTAAGTGAGTGTAAATGCTTTAGAGCTTTTAACAGTTATTTGAATATTGTTTTAATTTCTGAATCGTCTAATTTTAGATGCTTTTGTTGCATGAATTCATATAGAGTACCTCCAGCCATATACTCATATATAAATATTGAAGTATCCTTCTCAGTAATTATTTCCAACAATTTCATTAAATTTGTATGCGGATATTTTTTTAAGGTTTTGTTCACTTTAATTTCACTATTGATTTCGAACTAAAATACCTAAAATATTTTTACATTTTGAGACTATAAGCATATTTTAGCCACTACAGATTCTTTATTGAATATATTTCTGCATTATACAATCTAATATTAATTTAAACAAGTTACTTGACATTATTTGCTCTCTTTTAAAATCTTTATTATTTCATATTTTTCATGAAATAATTGAGCAGTTGTTTATATAAGTTATGTTTGTGTTGTTAAATTATAAAACGAAACCCCAGATGAATTTTATTTAGATTACTTATTACTCCTTGCCAAATATTACAATTCTAATTAGTCAACTGGTATTGTACTAGGCTTATTGATCAATAATACTTTAATGTAGCTTGCAAAGGACTTTAAGAAAACTACTCTCCCTTCATTTCGTGTAGTTTAGAATTTGTATTCGATTTCTTTCTTTCAGTCTTCTTAAGCAACGAGTTTTAGAACTCAGAATCGAAAAATGCTATTGATTCTCTTCTTTTCATTATTTAATGTTGAAATATTAATATCTTAATTGTAGATATATATATTTAATTTAAAGAGGGAATTTAAGTTATTAAGAATTCCTAGAAAATCTTTATTAATTAACACTTTAAATGACATTATGTTTGATTTTTTGCATGTAACGTAATCAAAATGCCCTACCTCGTAGTTAACTCATCTTCTAGCATTTTCCATTTTAAAGAATTCTAATAATTAATTATTAAAATACTTACAATATTTAAATTACTTCAAGCTCAATTTAAGATTTTACCAATTACATAATATGGATAATAAAGTATTTAGAACCAAAGAAAATACCATAATATAGATAAATTCCAACTTTAATTGGTCCTTGCTGCTTAATTTTTGAATCTATTCATCTATTAAATCCTGTATCAAATATTCTTTGTTTCCATCCTGAATTAGACTGATACTTTAGAGTCAAAACTTTATTGATCCATTCATTTGATTTTGAATTATTTGATTCTAATTAATATATATAGCAAACTTTTTGAATTTCAATTATATGTTTAGTATCAATAATAATTGTTAATTACTGATAGCCTAGTTTTGTAATCATTATTGATTAATATCATTTAATATATTCTTAAGTTGGTTACTTAAAATTGAGTTTAGAATATACTCCAACCCTCTATTTAAAATTATTATATTGGCCTATAATGTGATTAGCATTTTTATACAATAACTATTTTGGTTACGCTATGCTAATTTCATTTTAACTACTCATTTTTTCAATCAATAACTATTTTGTTGTAACTCCTACTTCAAAAAACCTAAAATTTCAATATCTTAAACTTAAATTTTTACTGATTGGGGATTTTTTACAAATAGATTCTGGTTAATAACAACACATCCATGAGTTAATAAGGATGAAATGATAAAATAATGTTCCCATTATCATAGATGATAATTGATTTCTTTTTCGATTCACTTAAATACTACTTTTTTGTAATTAGTATAATTTTTTGATCCAATTTTGTTCTTTCTTGAGTATTTCTTTAAAAGAAATATAAATTAAAATCCTGAGTAAATAAGTATTTTTATTGAACCTCTTATAATTTAAGTACTTTTCATTAGGTAACTCAGGTATTTAACATAGAGACTTCATTTAATCAATTCTGATGTAACATATGTTGGTCATGTGTTGAATGGCTTAAAAAATTGAATCAGGATAGAAAAATCAATAGAAAAATATTAATACTGATATAATTTAAAATTTATTTCATAAAATAGATGTTTAATAAAAATTTAATTTCTAATTAATATAGAATCATATAAACGAAACATAAATTAAAGTTAATAATTTTTCAAAGGTTATTAAAATAATATAAATTATTTATTGATACTTATATTTGGATATCTAAGAAATAATTAGCAGATCTTCTAAAAAGCAAACAACAAGACCGCTAACTTGATATTTTTGGCATTAATATTAGTATAATTACTAAAAAAAACAAGGATTTATTACTGACAATTTCAAATTTGAACAAAAATAAAATTAAAATTTCATCAAAGACAAAGGAATAAAAAAATGAATTAAATGGAATGGGAAAAAATTCAATTTTCAAAAATAGTCTTTAATAATTAGAATTGTAATATAATATATTTTAGTAGTCTAATTAACATATTTAAACCATTGTTGCATAGCTGGATCATTTAAAATCTGCTTGAGCGAATATATAATGTAAAATAGAATCTTATAAGTCTATAGGACATAAAAATTAGATTAATGAAGTTTATTCTCAAGAAATACCCATAATTTATTTTACAACTTTTTTGATATAAGAAAACAAAAATTACCAAGTTATATTAATTAATTAAATTAATTTATTTATGATGAAAAAATTGCATGGCTTTCTTAATTAACCATGATGACTTAGACGCCTGATATATAAAATAAATTATATAATAATGAGTTAAGTGTTAACAAAAGTTGAATTTAATTCAAAATATTACTCTTTCTCAATTAAAATAATTAAAATTTTGTGTTTCCCAAATATTAATTATTTTCCCCTTAAATGCGTATGAATATACCACTTTGGACATTTTCTAGTTTAAATCTCATTTTTTGTTAAGTGGTCATATTTTAAACTATTTTTTATGTTAATATTATTTATATATTCTTGTGAAATAATGTTATAAGGATGTTGAAAGATAAGAATATAGAAATGCATTGGAAGTTTAGTACAAATAAATTTCATTTTTAATTAATGAATTTATCTTGATGGTCTTTTGAATGTTACTGTTCTTTCTATTTAACCAATTAGAATGGAGTTTTTAATAAAGGAAACTTCAGACATGTTAACCTAGAGTTGATATATATATTTACTACTGTTTAATTTTTGAGGTCTTCTCAAAATATTAATGATTAAGACATTATGTAGTATTAAACCTTTTTTCTGGGGTAGCTGTCATTTTTAAAAATAAATCAACAATGATTTCATTCTTTGTTGATTCTCTTATAATGGTTTATTATTTATGATGAAGTTGAGCAAATGTCTTAAATGAATGAGACTCAAATGCGAACTTTCTTCCTGTCAACAATGTAAAAAATATCTGAGCAAGACTATATATGTCTATCAACTCATCATAGGGATCTTCAGAGTAGAGTTCTGGGGCTATATAACCTGGGGTTCCACATCTTTCTATGATATATGGTTTGTCATCTATAAATGTAGAGAATCCAAAATCAATAACTTAAATTGAATTCGGATTGTTATTTTCTAATAACATAATATTATCCATTTTAATATCTCGATGCATTATATTGTGTTTATGAAGAAACTTTATTGCAAATAGCAATTTCTTCATGATTTTTCGGATATCAACATATGATGGGCAGAAATTCTTTTAGGCCATAAAGGAATACAATGTACCACCTTCACAATAATCAAAAATGAGTATAATCTTATTTTTTTCTTGATAAAACTCTCGTAATTTTAAAATAGATTCTTAGTTGAATTAACTTAAGTATTAGCATATTCTTAATTCATTCAAAACAAGTGACTTGATTAATTAAAAAACATACCTTTGAATGTCTTTCTAGATTTTGAGTAAAATTTAATCTCTTGGCAATAACCTCTATGTTCTAATGTTTACTATAATACTTGATAATCTAAACATTAAGTTAAACTTTACTTCTCCTTATTTAGTTTTTTTTAATATTTAAATTTCTTTGTATTGGGACATGAAATTACCATAAAATACCTTTCCATCAAGATATTATTTTAGATTTTAAATTGTTTACTTTGATCCTCTATATGTATATGAATAATTTTCAGTAATAACAATTACTTCGCATTAATTGCCATCACTAAGATTAAATCAAATTAATACTCTAGTTTCCACTCAAAAACAACATCTTGTGAACAATATTCAACCTTTAATTCATTAGCTTCTCCAATCTTTGAATATTATTATTTATTTTACTTATATAGTCAAGTAAGTATCATAAATAGTAAATTTCTATTATGAAAATTATCCTTAGTTTGAGAATTATAGATAACATTAATATATGTGAGTATCAGACGCCTTCATATTAGCAAATTAATATTTAATATATAATTGCCGTAGTGTTTATTACAAATAAATGTATTTTAATTGAAAAATTAGATATTTTCAAATGCTTAGTATTAATAATCATAGGTAAAATCTTTAAATTGTTTTTTTGTAAAAGATTATCCTTCTATTAAACTTGTATCGTAACTTTCTATCAATGATAATATTACTATAGAGCATAGAATTTGTTTTTAGTATTTTTTCAAGTAAGGTTTCTTATTTTTAAATCAAGTGCAAATTTTTAAACATAAATAATAATAATGGACAATTAAGAATGTACTTCCCAAATAATAGATTGTAATCTTAGATAATGAGATCCAACTGATATTTAAATTTCTTTTTATGTTTTCTTTGTTTTCATAATTAACTAACTCTCAAGTTTATTTAAACCTCAATTCAATTTAAAGCTTGACTGTTGATTTTAGTATAGTGATGTAATTTTCAGTTAACATTCCTAAGCTACTCAGAACTATAAAATGATTTTTTAAATAAAAAAGTAAATTAGAATAATTCATTATAAGAAATGAAATTTAGAATATAATATAATCAAAAATGAATACTCAAATATCACAAATTATCAAAGACACTTTTGTTTTTGTGAGTGCTTTTAAGATAAGAAAATGCGAGGATTGTTTAACTAATATTATAATAATCAAATTGAAAATAAAACAGAAAGGTTAAACTCAAAAATGAATGCCATCAAAAGCTTAAGTTCTACTTGAATATTTCTATAAACAATATATGCTCATTATATAAGGATATCTACTTTAATAGTTATTCTAATTCAAAGTGAGATTAAAGTGAGAATTTTCATTTATAATTCTATAACCATATTACGGTGTCTTTTAACCTGTATTAACAAAATAAACTCATCATTTTGAGTTTAGAATTACAAGCTAATCAAGAAATCAAAGACTAATAGAAAAAAAATCTGACCTCACATTTTTTGGTATGAAATTTTAATAATATGTATATAGTATACCATTGAAACAGGTATATAATTATATAAAACACTATCACAATAATGATAACGATCATCATTTCATTTTTAAGAATGAAGATTTCTATTTTGAATATTTTCTCTTTATTTAAAATTTGCAGTTGATTGCATAGTTTTTAGAAATTAAAATTTATAATTAACAAAAAATAAATAAGTTAATCTCTACAAATATATATGTTCTTAAGAAAATCCAATAACTTAAAATCAACCATCTACTGCTTATAAGAAAATTGAATTCTATTATGAGATTGAATTCGCATATATGAACTTGTTATTAAAGAATTATACAATAATTTAAAGTAATGCTTGGTTTTATTAGTTATTGTCTATTTAAATACATTATGTATGTCAATAACATTATAATTATGACTTTTCGTTAAAGTAAAGAACTTAAAAATAGTTATTTTAATATTCTTATGACAATTTAGTTTAGTATCTAGAATAGAGCATTAAATTACGAAAAGAGTAATTATATTTTAAATTGTTATATTAACATATAATTTTATAGTATGTAATAGATAGATGAAATTTAACAAAAGCCATTCTCAAGAGTAGCTTTGGCAGGAAGTACAAGATGCGGTAAAACGACTTTATTGGGTGTGCTAACAAAGGGATTGAGTGATGATGGAAAGGGATATCTAAGAAACATTATGGTTAATTATTCGCATGAAGTTAAAAAGGGAGGGTAAACAGAATCTGTTGTGTTTGAGCTGGTAGGATTTGATAAACAAGGTAAGTAGGTTCTATCAAATGAATAACCAACAAACAAAGGTCAATATTAAAGTCAAGTATTCTAATAATCGAACTCATATTTATATTTAATCGATACATGCGGAGATACCAAATATTTTAAGCATTCATTATCAGCGATCAATAAATGCTTGTTTAATCTTTTAATTATTGTGATAGCTGCTGATGAAGGTATTACGAGAATCACAGTTGAGTGTTTATTGATATGTCAATTGTATAAGATACCCTTTATTATTGTCTTAACTAAATGTGACTTAATCTAGAATAAGGAGGATAAAGAAAAAATAATATTTAAAATTCATAATTAAATCAGCAATAATTTTTTATATAGAAAATTGGTCATTGCAAAGGATCCCAAAGAATGCGCTAATTTGATGAATCTTAGACTCAAAAAATGTGAAAATTAGAAAGGGATGATCTGTCCACTCTTTGAAGTAAATAATATCAATCGGGATGGGATTGAACTTCTATTATAATTTTTGTTCCATTTTTAAAATTAGGATCATCTTCATTCTGAGATCAAATCAGCAGATCAACCATTTATGATGGATGTATTTTATACATGCAATGTCAAAACTATTGGTGAGATCCCATTTGGATTAGTAAAATCTGGAACTGTCAAGTTAGACTAAATAGTTTCTGTTGGATTAGACGAAAATAGGTAGATACAATGTGCAAAAGTTATTTCGATTTAGAATATCAGAACTTCTCTTAATTAGGCAAGATCTGGAGAATTAATATGCTTAATATTATAGCCAATAGCTTAATAAATAATTGACTTTACTAAAATCAAAATCATAGCTGACCCCAAGATCAACATTCCCTATGTAAAGTCATTCTGGGCAAATATAAGCATGCTTCCTGGTCCAACAACTGTAGCAGTTGGATTTAAACCTATTTTAGAACTCTCTAATATTACATAGCAAGTAAACTTATAAGAAATAATTGGCGAAACATAATTTCTTAAAAGTGGAGATTGTGCATTGGTCAAACTTCAATTTTTAGATGAAACCTATCAACCTGTTTATGAAAACTAGCAATTTATACTCAGAAGCAGTCACTCTATTGCTTATGGGTAAGTAGTTAATGTTTCATAATAAGATTTAATAAATGATGAATAATGAAGATTGTATTTAATATGTTCTATTTATGAGATATAATCTTTAATTTTTATACTTTATTCCTTCTTTCTCAAAATAACCATATGATTTTGGACTACATATCAGATCAATTCTGCATTCATATATATATGCATTATATGATGATTTTAGAAAACTATATCAGAAAATATATTGTTTACATTTAATTCAAAATTATTAATACAAAAAATAGGAAATTGGCATAAATTATGAAATTTTTGGTTGCTCTAATACTTCTATTGTCCTCGGTTGGTTAATGCGAGAAATTACAAGTGTCTGCTTATAGTATTATAAATACAATACATTTTAGTTGAATCACTTTGTCCTGACACAACCAGATTCATTTAATCATCATTATTAAAGGCATTATAAACACCATAATTTGAAGAGTTAGTTGAATTAAGACTAGTTCCATATGGGAAGGCATCCTAAGTGTTACAAGATGACGGTAAAATTGTATTTCAGTGTTAACATGGTGATCTAGAATGCTTTGGCAATAAAATTTAAGCATGCGGTTTTGATGCATTGAATGCATCTTAATAAGAGTAAATAAACTTTTTAACTTGCATCCAAAAATCTAGAAAACGACAATAGGATGATTTTGAGAATGAAATCAGACAATGTTTACCAGATTTATGGGAAGGCGTTTTGGAATGTGCAAAAGGAACTGAAGGAATAAAATTATTATGGGCTAATGGAGAAGAGACATTAAATTTAGATCCTAAATTAACTTACGTTCCATGGGTAACAGTGAATGGAAAATTCGACTCAAAAGCTCATGAACAAATAGAAAGAAATATTGTAAAATGGGCTTGTTAGATAGCAAATAAATAAAAAGATAATTATACATAAATAGAAGCATGTGAAGAATATTAATGAATAATTAAGATGAATATTATCATGTCAACATTAGTATCCAAATTAATCTGTCCAATTTTTGTACTCCAATAATTATTATTATGTAATATCTCTTTTTAGTTTTGGAAGTACAGCCAAAAAATCATTCTAAATCTTTAAGTATTAAGATTTACATATGAAATGCTTTCATTTAACAATAACTATTCTGAGGGAATGTCTTTTAATGTCATCTCCTCAGCCTCTGGATCATTTGAGCAACAAGCTATATATTTGATTTAATTTTTAGTAAATTGCTTTTTAAAATGAGTGGCCTTTTGTAATTCTCTCAACTATTCAAATTATGCCTCTTTAATATAATTAATTATGTCGGATCCGGAATATCCTTCTAATTTTTCTGCAAGCCATTTAAATTAATCCAAGTTTAAATTATTCGGTATTTCTTAAAGCTTATTTTAAAGTAATTTTAATCTTTCCTCATAATTTAGAAGAGAGATATATATTCGCATTTCAAATCTTTTTCTAACACTCAAATCTAAATTCCAAGGTAAATTTGTTTCACCAATCACAATCATCTAATCATTATTAAGACATGAAAATTCAATTAGAAGCTATGTTTTTACATTTCTAAGTTCAGCACTAGCACATTCGCGATCACTAAATAATTATTCGATTTGGTCTATAAATATGATACACGGTTTTTTCTGTCTTGCTGAAGAAAATAATTATTTAATTAACTTTTCTGATTCGCCTACATATTTTGATATTAAATCACAATATGATACAAACAAAAAAGTGCAATCACATTCAGTCGCACACGCTTTTGCTAAAATTGTTTTACCTGTACCTGGAGGCTAAAAGCTTAGATATTAATAAATACTCCATATAATAGGATACCTTTATAAGGCTTACGAAGCCCTTCAAATAATTTTGGGAATTTAAATGGTATTATGACAGCCTCTTGTAATAATTTCTTTGCTTGTTCTAAACCAACTATATCTTCCAATTTTATATTTGTCTTTATTGGATTGAATAAATCAGGTTATGAAGCCTAAGCACCCTCTAAATTTTCTAAAAACTATACTAAATTGTTGATTTAAATTTTCTTAATTATTATTTTAATTCTATTCTATGTTATCTTTTTTCTCAAGCGAATTCAATTATACTTTTAATTTTTCAAGTAATTCTAAATGCGTTTTGATCTGTTATTTAACCAAACTCTTAGATTCCTTATTCGTCTCTTGCTTTGCATATTTAAATAGTTCCTCTAATCCTTATATCATTAAATTATATCCTTCTTTTTTTTTTGGAAATGTTTAGTCATTCAAATATAATGTTTTGCCTATTAAGAATAAGCATAAATAGTAACCTTTATCAAGTAATTAGAGGCCATTCAATCTTATTTATTCTAATTATTCAGTATTCATTAATATATAAAATAATTAATTCAACAAGAAAATAAATCCATTCTCTAACTCATTAACAGAACCATCGTAGATATTCCCTTATTTTATTATTGTTTTTTAACTTATATCGTACATTACACTTAATTTAAGAACTGTTAAGAACTTGAATAATTAAACTGAATATTTATAATAATTACACATACTGTTACTGAAGCATATGAAATGTCTTTAACCAAAATTCTTATCTAATAAAATTATATCAACTTAGTAAATATTTGACTTATAATCGTTAAAGTACAGGATATATGCTCAAATTAATAAATATATTAAATATGTAATTGAATATCAACATACCAATTAAGTGAATTCATTCCAAAATCTCATCACGCATAATCTAGATACTCATTTGCCTACCAGAGTTGCTCATGCATAAATTATTGGATGGGGAATTGTCAGATTTGTTTCCAGTCTAATATGTTAAATCTGAATTTGTTAATGGGATGAATTAAACAGAAGGTTTCTTATTTATTTCACTTTAAGATTCATTATTGTTGCTATGAATTTTAGCAAAAAATTATTGAATTTCTTCTTCTTTTAGTCCTTATCTGCATATTGGACATTAACTATTCTTTTTAGTCCAATCTTATAAGCACTGATCATGAAAGATATGATTGCAAGGAGTTATTCTGAACTTCTCCTTCTTCTCAAATTACAACAAACAAATAGAGCATTCCTTTGTTAAATATTCCTATAACATTTTCTAGGCTGGCATAAATTTGTTCAAATGTGCAACTTCCAACACAGGCTTTACATAAGTAATCTTTTTGTATTGCTTTTTATATGAAAAATAAATTAGTATTGAAACTATTATACCTGATAAAATAACTGCACATATTGTTAATATTGCCCACAAGGGAAACTCATTAATTTCTATTTGACTAATTTAAAATAAGCACATTACTTCAATTCCAGTATCAAACTATGTTCTCTTTCTATATTCTCATTAAACACTCCAATATAAATTATGAATTCATCCTAATCCTTTACATTTGAAAAGTAGTTCTTTAGATTAATATTTACATTCTCTTTTCTATCTATTAGTTAATAGCCTTGAAAAAAGTTAGGCTATTAAATAAATGCTTCATAAACACCAGATAGAAGTGAGATGCCCATCTGAGAATTGGAATTCGATATTTTCAACTATTCATTTCAAAATTAAGCTTACAATGTAATCCAAATTTGACAACTGATAATATGCAAAAAACCAACTCTATTTATTCAAGTTAATTTAAACCAGCAAATCTACATCTATGTAATTTACAGATTGGTCACAATTCAAACCATAAGCTGGAAATCTACATTTCGGTTCTTTCTATTACTCAATCTAATACTTATCAAACCTCTATAATTTACATTATCATAAATAGTTAACTTGAAACTCATTTTTGTTTCTGTTTCAGTAATATTCTTGTAAACACTCTCCATTTTAGAATATATAAAGATAGTTAGGTTTTGATCTATTTCCCTTTAACTTAACCACAATTTGCGAATATGTTATTTTTAAGCATAAGACTCATAACTTGAAGTTTATATTGAATTGTTTTTATCAACTATTTCAAAAGTAGGGAAATAATTTTTGTTTAGTGGAAACTGAATAATTTCAAACTAATTAACTTAATAGCTTAATTTTGTTACTTATATGATATATCCATGATTTTATTAGAATAGGTATTCGTATTTTAAATCTATAAGTGTGAATTATTCTTCAACTAATTTCTTTGAAAAGCCTACAACCAAGAATATTAATATTTAATACATTAATTTAAATTTAATGAATTTGGAATTGAAACAAAAATCAATATTTAATATTTTACTTTCTTAATGCATTCATATTCATCTAATATTCTTTTAAATCAAATATGGAACTATTTCAAAGAGCAGCAGTTTGTTATTAAATTATAATTTTGCATATCACTCTAGTTACAATAAAAAATGGAATCTTTATTAAATAAAAAATGCAAACTAACACTTATCTTATGCTATAAAGGTTTCTTTTATATATTTTTATAAAGAGAATGGTTAAAATGAAAAAATTGGATAAAAATTGTAATTGCAATTAATATATTGCTAACAGCTTTACTAAACTTTATTTTCATATTTATATAATATTTATTCTCAATATTTAGGACATAAATTGATGATTAACTTAAAATAATAGATGATGATAGTAATTAATATTAAACTACTAATTGAAGTTATCAATTTATAAAACAATATTTAATATTTACATCAATTTTATTTAGTCTTATTTATGATATCTGCTAAGATTGTTTGATCAAGATATTTAGATTTTTAGTTTAATTCTTTTTCAAACTTTTTTGTGTCGTCTTAATCTACTCCTAACTCAAGTCTATTTTTAAATTAGTTTTTACATTTGTTTAGGATGTAGTTTTTATCCATAGTGTATTTATAATTCAAGTGGCAAAAATTCAATATTCTTTTTGAAAAAGGTATTTAATTCATTGTTCTAAGGAAGATCTCTAATTGGTTAATAAGGTTCAAAAGATGGATAATCCAAAAATGATATCAATTTCTATTTGAATTCTTTTGATAATGAAATATTTTCTACCTGTTTAATCATCTAGTAGTAATTTTTATGCAATACGAAATCTTTTCTCATACGCCTTTTATATTTATTCCCTAATTTAATTTCCGATTAAAACAAAGTTTTCTTTGTCTAATTTATTTTCATAGCAATAAGCATGTACGAATTCGTCAATGCTAATTAATAGGATGATTATCAATACTAATTAAAGGCATTCTCTAAATCCCACTAAATCGTCTCTTTGATTTTGGATGTAGTTATTTGTAAATTAATCATCGAATCGTTTTTATCAATGAATGATTCAAATGCCAAGATATCTTGAATGTGTTTATACTTCCTATGATCCTCAATGGCTTATTTTACTTAAAATTAACAATCCTCAATAATTTCTAATTTTGATTTAACAAATTGTTATACTATGTGTTTCAAATGCAGTTAGCTTAGTAATTTTATTTGGGTACTTTTCTTCTAACAAGTCAACAATAATAGCAAAGAGATTTCTATATTATTACTCGTCTGAATAATCATCTTCAAAGTCCCACAAAATCTATTCTTCTAACATAGTCTATTTAATGTTCAAAGAAGCCAAAGGGATACTGAGTTTGATAGGATAGAGATTTTGAGCCATTATTTGCATTCCAGGCGGGAATGGACATAATTTTATGTTATTTTGCAATTTTTCATTATGAGTCTTAATTTTGTGAATTTTCTTTTAAATGCAATCAAGATAAGCGATTGATTCAGATAGTTTAGTGTTCTGCATTAATATTAAAAACTTAAAAATTAAAAATATTTAAAATCTTTTTATAATCTCAATTATTTAAAGATATTGCTAAAATGATTGAATAGATTTACATCTACATACTAAACCATCTTTTAATATTTTCATATTAATTATACTATCAAATAATTTAGGTTACATTCATTTTTAACTTGTTTTACTCTAAATCATGGTTTCTAATCTAAAATTTCATCACCTATTGATATCAATGAATTTGGTATTGATTTTTTAATTATCATATAACTTATTCATTCTAATTTCTTAAATGATGACTGCTTACGAACAAAGAAATATGATTATAACAACAATGAATGCAATAATTAATCTATAAAATAAAAATAAAAGAATTTGAATAATGTATAGATTATTAACAGTTTTTATAAAAGTTTAAAAACTATGTATAAATTATAAAATGAATCAAGCAAAAAAAAGCATGGAAAATATTTAGTGTTTTTGATTATGTGGTTTTATCACAATTTACAACAGAATTAGTTATGAGTTTATTTGTGAAACTTCATAGGCTTGTGCTAGCCTAAATGATATCATAATTAATTTAGGGATTTCGAGGAGTGAGAGAAATAAAAGTGACATATATATATTAAAATAGCGATCCAAACAATAATAATAAATAATTTTAAATGTTTAAAGCAACTAAATAAGTTTTATAATATCAAAATGGATATTCGCTGATATGGGAAATTTTATTAGGTATATTAGGTTTATTGTATTTTCGTGCATAATCTTAAAGACTTTTAATAAATTGTTAAAAAATATTAGATGAACTAACAAGCTACTTATCAAAGTTATTAAAAATTTCTCTCTTTATGGCATATGCTAGTTACTAAGAGAATTTTTTTATCAAAAATAAATGGATTGCTGAGTGTACTTAAGAAAAGTTGCTAAAAGGAAATGCAGAGATGGAGCATTCAAATATGGAGCTATGTTTAGTGAATGGATTTGGATGTGCTTAATGAGTACAAATTATAATAATAAAAAGGAACGTTAGTTACTTAATTGAATTAGAAAATACTATAATCATTAAATTCGGAATTTGATTAAAAAATAATGCTTAATTTCAGAGTATCATCAAATAAATTAAAATTTATGTTTAATGTATTATTAGAATGATAAAAATTATATATAATCTTATAGTGAAACAAAATTTCAAAGTTTCTAAAATTTCCATTTTTACTGTGCCAAATTCTAATAGGTTAGAATGTATGTTGATTTACTCTTAATAACTCTCAAATAGATTTATGATTGTTTGAAATTCATGATAAGCATCGAACATTATAGCCTAAATAAAGAAAAAAAGATTTAATTAATAAATAATATCTGCAAATCCAATTTGAGTTTTAAAAATACAAGAGAAATACTTATAATGATAATTTATAATATTTATTACCATGAAACTCAAAAGTATGGCTAGGATAATTTTGGATAAAGTTATGATTTATTTTGTATTCATCCAAACATGAATTCTTTTTAAGATTATGATTTATTTTTATACAAAATTCTCCTATGTATATTACGGTTATTTTGTCTAACGAGATATACTATCTAGTTAAATATATTTAATAATTAGATGTATTTAAAAAAGAAATATATATTATTTTATATAAGTAATACTCCATATGCAGTAATAATAATAACAATTAAGATCATCTGAAATTAGGCAATCTTCAACTTAATCAAATAGTGCAATGGATGAACCATTCCTAAAATTTTTAGCTGAAAGTAATTATTTGGAAAGTGAATAATCGTCCCAAGAAAAACATTAAAAATTAACCAAATGCAAAACTGAACATTCTCTTCAGCCAATCTAGTACATCAATTCAAATTCATTTACTGTTAGCGATAAGAAGGTATTCTTAAAAATTAAAAAAATAGTTTTCATTTCCAGCAAATGAAATTCTTGAATGGGAAACCTTATAAATAACCTTGCCACCAGAAGTGTATCAGTTCTTACTGTTTATGAAAACCTAGTGCAGCAATGGTATCATCGTTTACACAAACGAATAAATATAAGGTTTGTTAGATGATAGTAAAGTAATCATGTATAGATAGATATATTTAAAATAGTAAAAATTAATTAGAATTATTTTAAAAATTGATAGACAAAGGATGGATTTCAAAAACAACAAGATTATTTAATGATATTGCAATTAACTTTTATTCATTATCAGTAAAGAAATTAACTTATGAAAATTTGGTTTGGATTATTAGATCCATTAAAAGAGACCTAATCACTCCAACCGAAAGATTAGTGCAAAGCAGAATCAAAGAATGTTATGGCTTAAAGTACAATAGAGTTGAATGGGAACATATTATGAATTAGTTAAAATCTCAAAAACACTAAATCAAATTCCGTTCTTCCAATGGAAAATTAATAGAATTGCCATTACTCCAGGTCAAGAACATCAAGGATCCCTTAATATAAGAGGAAACATATGGGATTTATATTTATTAATAAAATTGGATTGTTGAGGATGAATTTCAACCAGAATTAGATAAAAAATAGGAGTGGACTATATTTATAGAGTTTTTGATGGACTTTTTTGCTAAAACAAATGCTCAAAACAACAAAATCTTAAAAGGAGGTAGATATGGCTGTGCCTAATNGTTGATTTACTCTTAATAACTCTCAAATAGATTTATGATTGTTTGAAATTCATGATAAGCATCGAACATTATAGCCTAAATAAAGAAAAAAAGATTTAATTAATAAATAATATCTGCAAATCCAATTTGAGTTTTAAAAATACAAGAGAAATACTTATAATGATAATTTATAATATTTATTACCATGAAACTCAAAAGTATGGCTAGGATAATTTTGGATAAAGTTATGATTTATTTTGTATTCATCCAAACATGAATTCTTTTTAAGATTATGATTTATTTTTATACAAAATTCTCCTATGTATATTACGGTTATTTTGTCTAACGAGATATACTATCTAGTTAAATATATTTAATAATTAGATGTATTTAAAAAAGAAATATATATTATTTTATATAAGTAATACTCCATATGCAGTAATAATAATAACAATTAAGATCATCTGAAATTAGGCAATCTTCAACTTAATCAAATAGTGCAATGGATGAACCATTCCTAAAATTTTTAGCTGAAAGTAATTATTTGGAAAGTGAATAATCGTCCCAAGAAAAACATTAAAAATTAACCAAATGCAAAACTGAACATTCTCTTCAGCCAATCTAGTACATCAATTCAAATTCATTTACTGTTAGCGATAAGAAGGTATTCTTAAAAATTAAAAAAATAGTTTTCATTTCCAGCAAATGAAATTCTTGAATGGGAAACCTTATAAATAACCTTGCCACCAGAAGTGTATCAGTTCTTACTGTTTATGAAAACCTAGTGCAGCAATGGTATCATCGTTTACACAAACGAATAAATATAAGGTTTGTTAGATGATAGTAAAGTAATCATGTATAGATAGATATATTTAAAATAGTAAAAATTAATTAGAATTATTTTAAAAATTGATAGACAAAGGATGGATTTCAAAAACAACAAGATTATTTAATGATATTGCAATTAACTTTTATTCATTATCAGTAAAGAAATTAACTTATGAAAATTTGGTTTGGATTATTAGATCCATTAAAAGAGACCTAATCACTCCAACCGAAAGATTAGTGCAAAGCAGAATCAAAGAATGTTATGGCTTAAAGTACAATAGAGTTGAATGGGAACATATTATGAATTAGTTAAAATCTCAAAAACACTAAATCAAATTCCGTTCTTCCAATGGAAAATTAATAGAATTGCCATTACTCCAGGTCAAGAACATCAAGGATCCCTTAATATAAGAGGAAACATATGGGATTTATATTTATTAATAAAATTGGATTGTTGAGGATGAATTTCAACCAGAATTAGATAAAAAATAGGAGTGGACTATATTTATAGAGTTTTTGATGGACTTTTTTGCTAAAACAAATGCTCAAAACAACAAAATCTTAAAAGGAGGTAGATATGGCTGTGCCTAATTCATTAAGTTATTGGGACCAAAGAAATTAAGAGATTTATCTCTTGGTAGATTGACACTTTATGTCTAAATGGCAGTTAATAAGAATTATATTCGGTATAATAAAACTATTCTAATACAAGAAAGCAGAGAAAAGTCAGAACATACAACTGATAGTTCTGTTGATGGGGATCCTTAAATTAAAATTAGAGTAAAAGAACTATAAGAGTAATTGATAGAGTTGCTATTGGAAAATCCTGATGGGTATGATGTTATAATTAATTAAGAGTGTATCGTTGGCATAAATACCTACATTGTTAAAAGAAAGAGTCAATTTTGAATTGAATTTGATTGAATTAGGTTTTCCAAAACTAAAGAACTTTATAGAGAGTGTTAAGGATGTGATTTCTATTGAAAATAGTGGTAGGAATAATTTTATTGCTAAATTAAATTATTCCAAGTTACCAAAAAAATTTTAAAGTAATTTTCTATTATAAAATATTTAGAACTTAAATAAAGTGAGTCATTTAACCAAAAATATATTTATACCGTCTTATAAATGATTAAAAGTATTTTAAGTAAACATAAATATGGAATCAGCATTAATCAATTATACTATGACTTATCTTAGTAATTAGGAGAATGGTTTAATTATTAAAGATTTCAATGCTAAAGCTTTTTCTAGTTTTTGTAGAATTATGCTGAAAATATTCTAGTGATTGTTTGTCAAAAAGGAAATCAATACTTAATTTATGAAAGGGATTTAAGATTTCTACCACCTCCACAACCACAACCAGCTTAGGATATTAATGATCAATAATTTGAATACATTTTAAGCGAAGCTTTTTAATGTAGTTTAGGTTTATCAATACCACAATCTAGTTTCTCTAGTAGTTGGCTTGGAAAGGTTGGAGATTCTTAAATACGATAAAAGTCACCTCCTCGAATTGAAGATTCTCATTAAGAAATTAAAGATAATCTAAAATTCATTGATGAATTATTGGGTATTATCATTCATTAAGTTTAGGAAACGAAAATAAATAAAATGATACTTATTCTATTTAAGATTGGTCTGAAAAGTCCATGAATCCTTTGGGAATGATTAGTTCTATTAATTATGGCCATAGTGAAATTTAAGATTTTGATCTAACTAAAGAGTTGCAATTCCCAATCTAGTAATAACAATAACAACAACAACAACAATAATAATAACAACAATAATAATAATAACAACAACAACAACAATAATAATAACAACAATAATAATAATAACAACAATAATAATAATAATAATAATAATAACAATAATAACAATAACAATAACAATAACAATAACAATAACAATAACAATAACAATAACAATAACAATAACAATAACAATAACAATAACAATAACAATAACAATAACAATAACAATAACAATAACAATAACAATAACAATAACAATAACAATAACAATAACAATAACAATAACAATAACAATAACAATAACAATAACAATAACAATAACAATAACAATAACAATAACAATAACAATAACAATAACAATAACAATAACAATAACAATAACAATAACAATAACAATAACAATAACAATAACAATAACAATAACAATAACAATAACAATAACAATAACAATAACAATAACAATAACAATAACAATAACAATAACAATAACAATAACAATAACAATAACAATAACAATAACAATAACAATAACAATAACAATAACAATAACAATAACAATAACAATAACAATAACAATAACAATAACAATAACAATAACAATAACAATAACAATAACAATAACAATAACAATAACAATAACAATAACAATAACAATAACAATAACAATAACAATAACAATAACAATAACAATAACAATAACAATAACAATAACAATAACAATAACAATAACAATAACAATAACAATAACAATAACAATAACAATAACAATAACAATAACAATAACAATAACAATAACAATAACAATAACAATAACAATAACAATAACAATAACAATAACAATAACAATAACAATAACAATAACAATAACAATAACAATAACAATAACAATAACAATAACAATAACAATAACAATAACAATAACAATAACAATAGCAATAACAATAACAATAAAATTAAGATATTAAAAAAAAATGAAAGCTTTTTATTTTGTTAAATTTTGAATTTATACTAATTTTTTAAAGGATCTTACTTTTAAAATTAATAGGGATGTATCATAATTTAATAATTTCCATTATAAAATTTTCATACTTTATTTTCATTTCAAATCATTCATCAATTTTAATATTTTTTTTTTCAGTTAAAATTCCAAATATTGATCTATTTCTTTTTCTAAACATATTTATATGATTTATTAGATTTTTTGAAATACCTTCATTTCATTACAATTAAATTTTGATAATTCATAGGCTAATAATATTTTATAAGCACAAGCAATCTATTCATTTTATAATATTTTTAATTAAGTGTTCCATTTTTCTTATATTTTTAGCTGAAAGGATATCTATCTTTAAGCAAGTTGATCAATTTGATTTCCTATTTGTTGCATCTATTATTCATTTAATTATTAATGATGTTAAAAATGAATTTCCTTAATTTATTCAATAAGATCATCTAATTTAGTGTCCTAATCAGATTCGTTCAAGATTCCAATACTTTGAATTTAAAAGATTGTAAATATATTTCTTTAATTTTGAGTCAATATCAATTTATAAATCTCTTTAAGTTAAATATAGAATGGATGATCTTAAGCAATATTGAATCTGTTATCTAACCATGTTTCTATATGTAATTCTTATTATTGATAAAAATCTTGATAAAATTCTAGAATAGAATTTAAGCAATTTATTCTTTTATCTTCATCAAAAATTAACTCATCATTTATGAGTTCCTAAGTTTCTATATAAATATATCTAAGCAATAGAATAAAGGACATACTTTTTCTTGAAATTTTCTAATAAATCTATTATAAGACCCAAGGAATTGGTTTAATTTAGATTATCTATTAAATCTTTAATTTAACTTATTTTTTTATATTAAGAAATCCAACTTACAATAGTATTTCTCGCATCTTAAATATCTTTAACTCTATTTAATTAGAATTGTTTTTAATTTAGAAATTTATAATTCACAAAGTGAATTTACGCTATTTCTACCCTTATTGGAATAATATTAAATTTTTGATCATCTAAACGAATATATATATTATTTGAACATAAATTTCCATGAGTAATTTTTTGGACAAATAATTATTTTAAATATTGCAAAATTCTATTAGCAATCATTATTACTTATCCAATATAGATTCTAAGATATTGTGATTTCTAATTAATAAATGATATTTACTGTTAATTCAATTAGCTCTTCTAAGCAAATATATTCATCCTATGGAAGAGAAATCAGATAATCATTATTACAATTAATAACCTTTTTATACTTTTCAAACTCAAGTATTTTATCTAAATAAGGGAAGTTTTCTTAAGCAATGTATTAAATCGTTTGATAATATTCCATCCAAATGTATCGAATAACCTTCTTTATAAAAATTATTTTATAATTAATTGAGAATTAAAGAATAAATTCATTCATTTTTTTTTAGTCTTATAGAGTACTAATTGTTTTGGTAATTCATCTAATAGTTCCTTAGCCAATTCGCCTTGGTCATTCTTAACTTTATTGTAATGAACATATTTAACTAAATCCCTTTCTGCTTATCTTCCAAGAGTATCCCATAATCCATTGTTTCCATCCAATTTATCCATGGCTTTCAAGTCGGCCGAGTCTCCAATGCCAACAATAATAAGAGATAAAGGAAGATTTCCTGCATCGACTATAGACATAATTGTCTAATCCTCATCCATATACTTTCCATCTGTTAGAATCAATAATACGAAGTATTGGTTTCCATTTGCATTTAAATCCTCTTGTGCCCATTTCATCACCTATCTAATCATAGGATTAAAACAAGTCGGACCATCTAATTTAATGTTCTTAACTGAGAATTCATATATTCTTCTGATATCCTCTAAACTCTATGCTTCTCCTTACAATGGAAAGCAGTGTTTATTATAATTTTATAAATATCTTGGTACTCCTCCAAACCCATACATAGGAACCTTTTTGTCGCTATCATAATCCATCAGTATTTTTGCTACTTATTCTATTGCTTGTAAGTATTGACTTTCCTTTGTAATTGAATGTAATGATTCATTGTTGTATGGGTTTTTATTGCTCTCAGTAAAATCAATTGCAATAATCAAAGCTAATTAAGTTCCCTATTCTATTAATATATGGATGAAATATACATACAGATAAAATTATAAAACTGCCCTTCAATATCATATTCAAATTAATCAATCATTGATCTTCCTATAATCTCATTATTGAGGTTGGTGATATTAAATAAACACACATTTTTATCTATTTGATATTTCCAGAATTCAAATTCACCAAGACTTTATTAATTAAATCCTTCATGTTGAATCACTATAAGAATTATATAATTTATTACCTTCACAAAATATAGATTGCAATGGATCGTTATCACAAAGAATTTCAAAGGAAGTCTCAATTTTTTTCCAATTCAATTATGATGATTTAGGTTTGGCTTCAGTTTATAGAATTACCTATTTATTTGGTATCTTTTTATATAAAATCAATGACAAGGACTATTGTTCTTTAAAAAGACTGAGTAAGGACTAAAATAGAGAATTATTTAGTTATAAGTAAATCTAAAGACATTTAATGAATATATACGTCGAACTTGATTTTCTAGATATTTTCTTGGCTCCTTTCTGTTTTGAACGAAATCATTCCATTCCTCTGATTCATTAAATCGGATAAATAAAAAACTCTTTGTTTATCTCCTAATATTTCACCCAAATTCGCTTAGCATTATCCTATCATACTACATCAAACATACCTATAAATTATTAACCTAAATAGAGATCGAATTTTAAAGGCTGAACCATTTCGAACAAATATTTGAGACCATAAAATTTAAACATTACATGATGATCATTAGAATAATTCTATTCTTTAATATTCATAGTACATCAATTACTTTGAATTCTTAAAAAACCCCATCAGGATCCTTAGTAAATACAATTAATTAATAGCTTTATCCATAACGTAGTCCATTTAATTGTTTACAATAAACTTAAATATTAATCGAATAGCCTGGCTGATTTGATTAATACATAATTTAAATACTAATTATTTTAATCGATCGAAAATATCAAGCTTCTCATGAACTTACACATCTATATTATATCATGTATATATAATAATATAAATCATACTGGAATAGATATTCATATCAGATTATAAATTAATTCAAATTTAGAATGCAATTTTATAGGTCTTTTATGAATAAATAATAATAATCATAATTTATTAAATATTAATGTTCAAAATTAAGGTATATTTTAGTTATTGTTTATTAGGCTGAACAAAAAATAAACTTTATTAATTTGAAAATAGGTAACTCTTTACATCCTTAAATTATGTTAAGAAAATCATGCAATTAAGGTACTTGATTAAGAAAATTAATAATATGTATGTTAATACTAATAATTAATAATAAAATACATAAAAACCTAAGATATTGATAAAGCAAGTGATCATTTCATAAAAAACTTATGATTTTAAAAGTAGTTAATAAGTATTCGCATCAAACTACCATAAAATATACTTTAACTGTCATTTTATAATTACAAAATTTTGTTAAGAATGTCTAAAATTATCACAGTTTCCCAAACAGAACTCTATGAGTTGAAGATAAAATGATTATTTTATACGATTGTGATTGAGATATTACAATCAATTATTATATTTATTTAAATTATTATTAAATCAATGGATCAAATAAAAAATGTTGAATCTTACTTGGATAATTTACTTGGAGATTTTTAAGCTACTAAATGCACCAAATATGCTCAATAGTTAGTTTCAAACAAATCATAGAAAATTTTTCAAGAATTAGATTCTCGTTAGTTATTTATCAATCAAAACCAATAACATTTAGATATGTCGTTTCGGTCCTAAACAGCCTAAATCTCCATTCCATCTAGGTACTATATCAAAAATAGTAAGAAAGATTGATTGCTTTGGTCAAATTGAAGTGAAAACATTTACAAAGGAAGAAATAGATTCGTTGAGAAAGGAACGAGGTCAGAGAGCATAGATAAAAGTAAGACAAATTTAGGAGGCTTAAGAGAAGAGAAAACAAGATTATATAGAATCTTGGAAAAAAACCTAATAAATTTAACACCAGAAACCATTATTTTAATTATTACAAGAATAAGAAACTGCCCAGATTAAGTTGTAATAGGAAATAATACAAAAAAAGTTAGATTTAATCAAACAAGAGAGGAGACCTTTAAATAAAATAGACTTTGAAGAGCATAGAAAAAAGTTTTGTGATTTAATTATTCAGCCAAGAAACAAATCTATTGAATCATAACTATACAACTAAACAAAATCCATAAGTCCTGAGAAATCTGTTTACTACATAAAAGTAGAACAAGAAAAAAATAAACAAAAATTATTAGAACAAGAAAGAAAAAATCATTTATTGGAATTATAAGAGAAGAAGAAGAATTTTTCTGAAGAAACTAAAAATAGATTTAAGCCTAAGTTGAGTTTAGATAAGTAAAATGAACTATTAGAAATATAAAGTAAATTGCATCATAGATCTGATTTCTAAAAATATTAAGTTTTAGCTAATAAAGTTAGACAAAAAAAGATTTCCTATTAAATTTAAGACACTGATGAAGATTCTAAATCGTTGAACACTTTTTCAAAAAATAAAGACTAGAATACTTCTTACGATATTGCCAGTTAGGATACTCAATTACCAAAGTTTAAACATAAGAGTTTTGTTATTGATACCAATACTCAACAATTAAATTAGAATTATTGGTAGAGAGTAGCTCTAAATAATAATTTATCAGTTAAAGATAAGAACTTACTAATAATAGAAGAAGCCAAAAAGTATAAAAAATTATAAATTTAGGTTAGAAGAGTTGGCAAAAAAATAAGAATAATTAGCACGTGTCACAGGTTATGATAGTTTATAAGTGGACAATCTCTTGATTAGTTCTATTAAAGCAAAGTTGACAGTTTTGCAAAATTGAATTTTTACTTATTCATAACAATTAAATTGATAATTAAATATTTGATTATTATTGAAGCATTAGTTTATCTTTGTAAGTATAATTTTGGGGATTCAAAAAAATATTAATAAAATAAAATCCAAATTATCTATATAATTATTTACTAAGAGTAATTTGTATGATTACACTATATATTTATAATAATATCCAGTAATTCTAAGATGATTTCTTCATCAGATTATTTAATTTATTTATTGAATCTTATTTATAGTAAATAAAAAAGATAGGACATTACATCTTTGTGAGAGAAGGTATAGTTCAAATAATTATATAATGAGTCTAGTGTTAGTAGCGATGTATCTATTTCTTAACAAAAAGCAAATAATTTTATAATTATTTACATATTATTCTTATATTATAAATGAATAGAAATGATAAGCAAATTGAACATTACCGTTACAATTCCAAAAAAGGTCGGATTGGCAAAGGTTCCTATGCTACAGTTTACAAAGGATTTGATACCAATTTAAATTAAAATGTTGCCATCAAACAAATTTATAAGGCAGATCTCTAAAGTGCAGGTTCTATTACACTTCAATTATTTTAGATAATGAGTAACATTTATTGAATGAGATTAACATGCTTAAAAGGATTAAAAATCCTAATATAATTGAAATCCTTGATGTTCTTTAAACGAAGGAGCATTATTATATTATATTAGAATATTGTAATTTTGGAGATTTAGACTCGCTGCTTAAACAGAAGGATAGTATAAAATTAGATGATCATATAACTTTTTTGTAGGACATCTTAAATGCCTTTACAACATTAATTAGATATGGGATAGCACATAGAGATCTTAAACCAGCAAATATTTTAGTGCATCAGGAAGGAAAAAGAAGGATTTTTAAATTAGCTGATTTTGGTTATGCAAAGACAATATGCAATTACAATGCATAAATATTAAAGAGCAATCTGGGAACCCCTGCGTATATGAGTCCTTAATTACTTAAAGAGGAATAATACACAACAAAAAGTGATATTTGGAGTTTTGGAGTAATTTTATATTAAATTATATACAATACTTGTATGTATATGAGTTAATTTAGTGCCTTGGGTAGGAAAATCAGAGTATGATTTGATTTAAAAGATTGTTAATATTCCAATAGCATTTCCTTAGACACCGAAGATATCAACAGTCTGTTAAGATTTAATAATAAATTGTTTATAAGTTAACGAAGAACAGAGATTAAATTGGGATGACTTATTTAGACATCCATATGTAAGTCATTATTTTGGATAAGTGAATATTCAATAGAACAGTAGTTTGAAAAAGATGTATACTCTAACCCAGTGGCTTAGATAGAAGATTGGATCAGAGGAAAAAATGGATCAGTTCTTAATTAAATTAAATTTAAAGAATAATTAATGGGAATTAAACAACGAAGAATTCAGTAAGTTAATTNTATAATTATTTACTAAGAGTAATTTGTATGATTACACTATATATTTATAATAATATCCAGTAATTCTAAGATGATTTCTTCATCAGATTATTTAATTTATTTATTGAATCTTATTTATAGTAAATAAAAAAGATAGGACATTACATCTTTGTGAGAGAAGGTATAGTTCAAATAATTATATAATGAGTCTAGTGTTAGTAGCGATGTATCTATTTCTTAACAAAAAGCAAATAATTTTATAATTATTTACATATTATTCTTATATTATAAATGAATAGAAATGATAAGCAAATTGAACATTACCGTTACAATTCCAAAAAAGGTCGGATTGGCAAAGGTTCCTATGCTACAGTTTACAAAGGATTTGATACCAATTTAAATTAAAATGTTGCCATCAAACAAATTTATAAGGCAGATCTCTAAAGTGCAGGTTCTATTACACTTCAATTATTTTAGATAATGAGTAACATTTATTGAATGAGATTAACATGCTTAAAAGGATTAAAAATCCTAATATAATTGAAATCCTTGATGTTCTTTAAACGAAGGAGCATTATTATATTATATTAGAATATTGTAATTTTGGAGATTTAGACTCGCTGCTTAAACAGAAGGATAGTATAAAATTAGATGATCATATAACTTTTTTGTAGGACATCTTAAATGCCTTTACAACATTAATTAGATATGGGATAGCACATAGAGATCTTAAACCAGCAAATATTTTAGTGCATCAGGAAGGAAAAAGAAGGATTTTTAAATTAGCTGATTTTGGTTATGCAAAGACAATATGCAATTACAATGCATAAATATTAAAGAGCAATCTGGGAACCCCTGCGTATATGAGTCCTTAATTACTTAAAGAGGAATAATACACAACAAAAAGTGATATTTGGAGTTTTGGAGTAATTTTATATTAAATTATATACAATACTTGTATGTATATGAGTTAATTTAGTGCCTTGGGTAGGAAAATCAGAGTATGATTTGATTTAAAAGATTGTTAATATTCCAATAGCATTTCCTTAGACACCGAAGATATCAACAGTCTGTTAAGATTTAATAATAAATTGTTTATAAGTTAACGAAGAACAGAGATTAAATTGGGATGACTTATTTAGACATCCATATGTAAGTCATTATTTTGGATAAGTGAATATTCAATAGAACAGTAGTTTGAAAAAGATGTATACTCTAACCCAGTGGCTTAGATAGAAGATTGGATCAGAGGAAAAAATGGATCAGTTCTTAATTAAATTAAATTTAAAGAATAATTAATGGGAATTAAACAACGAAGAATTCAGTAAGTTAATTAAGTTAATAATTGGAGATGAAAGCATCAGCAATAATGATATTCATGGGTTATTTTAGGAATGCTAAATTGATGGGAAAGTGTGTTATGAGTAATTTAAAAATTGTATATTTAATGGGGATCCAAAGAGGATAAAAATAGTAAGACATTTATCAAATTCTAATATTAAAATACTATCAAAATTGGATGTAGCTTTGACATAGCACAATATAAAAGAATTATTTGAGTAGTTTGCGACTACTAAGTAAGATACATTGGAAAGACATCAATTTTCAAAAATGATCAAGATGCTTGCACATACTAATTAATTAACAAATCAAAATGTAAGTATTTTCTATCAATTAAATTTAGATCAAAGAAATAATAGATTTTTTCGATGATAATGGAGATGGTATGATTCAATTTTCTGAATTCAATAATGTTTTGAGATATGTTCAATAAATTGAAAGGAACAAAAATAGCGATAATAGTTTGGATACAATAACAGAATTGGATGAAATGTCATTTATTCAAGATCATAACAATTTCAAGAACGTTAATCAGAAGTTTGAAAGGAGATCAGATTAAAAGATCAGTTTATGCGAATGTGTTAGTTTTTGATTTTTAATCTCGTTATTAATTAAATAAATAGAATTTTAATGAATAGATCAACAAATTTACATTTTCAAATATAAATAAAATTTAGCTGATCATAACAGTAAATTCAAAATTGAATAATTTATGAAATATGAAATGTATTTATATGTTTAGAGAGTGTATAAATAAAAGAAAAAAACATATAATTATAAATTACACATCAAGGCATTTCAATTTCACCATATTCTAACAATCTATTTTCATAGACTTGATATGATTGTTCATCAATAAACAATTCATAATTCATATATTCTAAGAATTCTTATTCCAATTTATTTATTTCCTTAACATTAATTCCTCCAACCTTTGCATAGTACTCATTCTTGTAGTAATCGTCATCTTAAAATTTAATTGCAGTTACAATTGCCAACAGCAAAAATCTAGAAAAGATATATACAATAAATATACCTATGTATACAATGAGAATTTAATACTAGATTTGCGTGTTTTTCTTAAAGTCTGTCCAAGTAAATAAGAGCTATGACGAAGCATTGTTCGCTGCAATGTGTGTATTTGCTTATTCTTTGCAAATAATTGTGGATTGAGATTGCTGGAGCTGCTATTGAATGAAAGATAGAATTAGATTCTAATTCAAGAGCGTCAGTTTCTTTGATTATTTCATCTAGAATGTTAGAGATAGTCAGGAGGATTGGATTGGACTGCTGCATTAATTTTATATAAACAATAATATTAATAATAAAAATATCCTTTTTTTATCAAATAATGCTACATTCGCAATCGCAATCATAAACTGGACATTTTTGATATAACTCAAACCATTCTTCGATATGAGATTGATGTCCTCCATGTTTGCAACTTAAACACCAAACCATAGCTTATTCTATTTTTAATTGGTCCAATATCCTTTGTTAATTAGACCCTCTCTTCCTATCAATGTCTTAATTATTTGGTATTGTAAAATACTATGCACAAACAACACAATTTGACAATGCATGATTACAAGACGCACAAAGATTTGTTCTTGGATTATCATCTCTGGCCAGATTTCTAAGTAATTGATTAAATATTTCATAATTATTACCCTCTTCTTGGATTACCCCTTCTTTGAATTTCTAAGTAAGGTTATCCAACTGGATTCTGACAGAAATTGCAACACATTGAAATTTGAGGAGACAGATACTATTTGAAGGCCTCATTGAGAAATGCTTTATTGTACTCCAATTCAGTTTACTTAATCCTACACAACAGTGAATTAATGGGTATATCCTGTTTCAATAAATAATCAATGTAAGAATTGAAGATCTTGATTAGTTTATCTTTTTGTGGATAATCTAAAATATATAAATATATCGAAATAATCCCGCATAATTGAAGATCCCCCTTGTCATCAAGGTATTACTACAAATATTAGATAGAGATCTCCGATTTCCCATTTAATATAATATTATCCAACATATTCTAGATTTGTGGTTTCCTACCTTGACAAAATCTTCCCCACAATCCTATTCGATCAAAAATACTTATTCTATGAGCACCATAATTTAGATATTCAGCGAATTTATCTTTTTTCAAAAATTCAGCAATTAGTTCAAAATAAGGATCAGTAAACTTCTTATTTTCTAAAAACACTTTGCAAATTTCAATGATATTCTTTAAGACTTCCTTTTAACTAATATTTGTATACAAGGTTTTCATTTCATCAATACCTTAAAGAGCCATTAAGATTTGATTTGTTTCCTTATCCTGATCGGGTAAGAATTCCCTCAAAATTTAGATTGCTTTTTAGAATTGAAAATGAACACATGCTATGGCTGCTGCTCTGATGTATTCAGCCCTTGAGATGCACTGTTTACATATATCCTCAACATTGAAACTCTTATGATCGTCTCCACTTTTCCAACCGCATCTGTTAATTAATTTACTTATCTGATCATTAGTATAGTATTCATAGAAAAAATACTCATTAGATTTTGCTTGACTTTCAGGCTCAAGGTAGATGCCTTCGAGTATAGAGTTATCTTTTTATTTCAAAGTTAGATTTTAACTTTATATTTATAGGTCCTATTGAGATCGAATGCCTCCTGGTCTTGGTTTCTACATTTGAGTATTATTGATTAATTATTGCTACTGCGATTACTTGATTTCATCTAAGCACAATTGAATATATTAGAAGATGTCAGGATTAGCAAAATAGCAATCGTTTACGTCGAATTGAAATCCTTTTGCTAATCTCTCTTAGACTAAATCGTGGAAATCCTTTTCATTTTCACACCCTTAGATTGTATAGATATTCCATTCGTTTTGTGTTCTCGTTAATAGTTGATCCTTTGAGATATATTACAAGGAGTCCTTATACTAAATCAAATTAAGATAGTTGTATAATTCCTAATAAGTGAATTCCTACTCCTCATCTATGTCAATATTGTTTATGTTATATTAATGCAAAATGTTCTGTAATTCACCCACAGGTATCTTCTTTTATTTTAACTCAGAGTCCTTGCTTATCTTTTAGAGAAGAGTTTGCATTGAAAATGGTAAATAAAATAATTATAATATTGAAATAAAGAAATTGAAGATCATTATTTTTATTTAAGCAGGTAATTTATAGTTTCGATGGTGTTTCTATTATAGGTCTGGAATGAAAGCAATTCCTCGTGTTGCAACTAATTTTAATTTTGAATATACTTCATCTATAAACTCCTGATTATTCAATAATACTCTTGGCAAAGTGTTATCAAATCGAAGTATGAAATATTTGGTAGTCTCACAAACCACATCTCTCAAATCTTTAAACTAAGTCCTTATAGATTTATTTACTTCTATCTTCCGATCAAAATGTAAATACAAGTCTGATTAGTCTATAAATTATCTGAATATTTGATTATATTCATGATTTGAATCAAAGAAGCATTTGACTTCCACTTATGAATTAGCCATCTTTCTATAATCCTCAAATATCTACAATGATTTTGCAATTACTAAATAAATCAGACTCAATGCAGTAATCTTCTCATCCTTCTTGAATCTATAATCAATGAGACAAATGTCAAACAATTAAACAAGTTCTCTGTATCTATAATAAGATTCGTTGGATCTTTCCTTTAATGAAACTTTCAATTCTTTGTCCATAATGTACTCATCCCATAGTTTAGTATAATAATTCAACCAGAAAATTGGAGTATTTGGATTCATTCTGAAATCTAAGCATTTCAATATTGCAACTTCCATCTCCTCAATCTCTTGTATTGTGTATTAATCTTAAATGAGTCTATGAAAATCCTTCAATGTCTTCGGATAGATTTCCTCACATTTATGAGCTATGAAAATGGCTGCTACTCCAAGTAGTTAGAATTTAGCTCTTAAGACATTTGGCTGCCTCAGAAGATATCTTTCAACGTAATTTCTAGATAAATAAAAGGTTTCTCTTTTAAAATGAAATGAATGAGCCACCTCAACCAACCAATCAAATAATATAGCCACCATATGACTTTAAATTTCATTCTAGTTGTTTAAGTAATTTTTTTAATAACTATAAATTTCCTCAAATTTTACTTATTCTCTCATAAACTCATTCAAAGTTTCCTACTCCTCCTCTTAATTATTATCTAATGAATTATTAAAAGTAAATGAAGATAAGTCCTTCCCAAACTCATTGCTTATCAAATTCTCTAACTTTTAGGAATTTTATTATGATTCAATTCTTTGCTCTAAGTTTGGAGTTTCTTCTGTAATTATGGGAGAAATAGTATTTTCATTCTTCACTTTCTTTGTTGCAGTTTATCTAACTTAGATAAATATTGAATACTCATATTCACATGCCGCCTAATTGGATTTGAATTTAACACTATCACAATTAGTTTTGATTTCTAAATTTCTTTATTTTTGACCTTTTCTAGCCCTACTGTTTTACTTTTTTACATTGCTTTACATTTATATTCTCTTGGTTATGTATTTATGCTATTAATTATTTTTATTACTAATTGTAGGCAAATTAAAATATAAAAATATCAAAGAGTTTCTAATTTTTTTCTAGAGAATTTTCAGGATTAAATGACAGGATTTTATTAATCCTGGATTTAATCTAGAAAAATATATTTTGATAAATTTTATATTTTAAAAAAAAACAACTCAAAATCATTATCCTCTCTTTTGCTTTTTGAATTTTGCAATAATAGTTTCAATTTCATTTGGTGGAACTGGATCATGTCTTTTGTATTCAAGTGAAAATTCTCCTTGACCTGATGTAAATCCTCTCAATTCAGTTGCATAACCAAACATTTGAGACAAGGGCACATCTGCATTCAATACAAACATATCTCCTCGAGATTCTGTATTTGTAACTGATCCTCTTCTCTTGGCAATACCAACCATGGCTTATTAATAGGAAGGAGCAGGAACCATGATTTCAACTGCCATAACTGGTTCCAAGATTTCTGGTCCAGCCTATCTAAATGTTTAGGCGAATGCATATTTGGTTGCTGTCATAAAAGCATTAGAGGATGAATCCACAACGTGAGTCTCACCTCCTTCTAGAACAAATCTAACATTAACAACAGGGTAACCAGTCAAAGGACCTTTGTCCACTGATTCATAGAACCCTTTTTCAACAGCAGTGATATATTCATTAGGTATACTAGTACCAATGACATGATTTTCAAATTGATTAGAGAATTGACCTTCTTCCAATTAGAGTGGTTCCATGTATCCAATAACTTTGGCATACTGTCCAGCACCTCCTGTTTGTTTTTTATGTAAATAATCAAATTGTTATTTTTAAGTGATAGTTTCTCTGTAATTAACAGTTGGTTGACCCAATTGAACATCAATTTCAAATTCTCTTCTCATACGTTCAGCATAGATTTGCAAGTGCAATTCACCCATTCCGGAAATAATGATTTCCTCACTTTCTTTATCCATATCAACATTGAAAGTAGGATCTTCTCTCTAAAATTTAGATAAAGCCTTTTAGAATCTTGCAGAGTATTCCTTCTTAGTAGGTTTAATGGATAATGACATGACTGGTTATGGAACAAACATACTAGAACATAATACTTGATAATTCATATCTCCATAGACAAGAGTGTCACCACTTGAACAATCTACTCCAAATACTGCAAAGATATCTCCAGCTTCAACATCATTGATTTCTTCCATTTAATTTGCATGCATCTTAGCCATACGAGCAACCTTTACTCTCTTCTTTGTTTTCATATTATAGACATAATCTCCTTTCTTTAACTTCCCTTAATATACTCTAACATATGTTAATTATCCGAATTTGTTCTCTTCTAACTTAAAGGCATAACCAACGAATGGCAATTTAGGATCTGTTTTAAATTCAATTTTTTTCTCTTCCTTTTAATCTTGAGATATTTGGAATCCAAAGTTCTATTTCTCTTCTGGAGCAGGTAAATAATCTACCACACCATCCAAAGCCAATTAAACTCCCTTATTTTTATATGCACTTCCCATAAACACTGGGTAGAACTTGTGATCTTAGCAATTCTTTCTAATAGAGGCCTTTAGTTTCTCTTCACTAATCGGTTACTCATTCAAGTACAAATCCTCTATCTCTGGATCGATACTTCCCAAAGTCTCTATCAATTCTTATCTCTTCTCCTTTGCTTCCTCCATGTATCTCTCTGGAACTTCAGTCTCCTTTACATCCTCTCCCTTCAATCCTTCAAAGAAGTAAGCCTTCATTTTAATCAAATCTACTAACCCATTGAATGTTTAATCCTATCCGATGGGTATTTGTACTGCTGCGACTGTTAATGACAATCTCTTTCTGATACTCTATATGGCACTCCAAGGATTTGCTCCCATTCTATCCAATTTATTTATGAAGATGATTCTGGGCACTTTATATCTTGACATTTATTTATGAACTGTCAACGTTTAAGGTTGGACTCCTGCCACTCCACAAATCAACAATACTCCACCATCAAGCACTCTCAATGCTCTTTCCACTTCTATGGTAAAATCAACATGTCCTGGTGTATCAATCAAATTCACCTAATGTCCTTTCCATTTCAAATGAGTTGCAGCACTTTAAATTGTAATTCCCTTCTCTTTCTCAAGTTCCATAAAATCCATTGTTGCACCTGCTGAATCTGCTCCCTTGACTTCATGAATTTCATGAATTCTTCCACCGTAATAGAGCACTCTCTCTGAAAATGTTGTTTTCCCAGAATCAATATGAGCTGAAACACCAATGTTTCTAATTAACTTGTGCATAGGTTGACTAAACCAAAACAAAGGAGTTCGCATAAATGACTTGAATCGGAATATATTATTCATCTCTTTAATTTTTACGAGAATTAAAAATTTAATTTAATTTTATTTTTTTTTTCTTTTTCACACTCATCCTCACCCTACTCCCCATACTAACTCAAATCTACCATTACTTTAATAATCCTTATTTTTATTCAACTAAAATTTATAAATAAAAAAAGCCATTAAAAAATTATAAATTCTATTCATTATCATTATAATAATTGTAAATTCTATTCATTATCATTATAATAATTGAAATATCTTCTGTTGGTGATCCTGAAATTCATGACTGCAAAAAAGAGAGTATCTAACATCAATAAATGCAGCCTTCTCTTCCCTTTGAATAAATTGAAACAATCTTCAAAAACAAAGACTCTCTGTAAAGATGATCAAAAGAGAATTGAAATTTAGCATTGCTTGTAAAATAACTGTTTAGATGAAAATAATTGTAAGAAATGATCAAGTAAATTCTTCCTCCAAGGCTTCAAAGTTTATATTATCTAGGTTAGCTAACATTGATTTTTCATAAACATCAGTATTATATTCTTGTTCCTCATTGGCTTTTTGTTCCAATTAATATTCTACATATTGTTAATCTAATATTAGTCTTGGATGTACCAATAACATTGCATTGCTCTTCGAAATCTTTGATTAAGTCATCATATTCTAATTTGGCTCGTAATTCTCTAAAGTTATCTAATGTCTTGAATCTCAATTCCTTTTATTGCTTTTAAGCATTTAATTCAATTTTCTATTAATAAAAGATACAGATACCAACTTTGTCATCTACAAGGTTTTTTTTTCCATTTTATGTAATAATTAGTTTAAATATTTTTTAAATAAAAAATAAATCCATTATTTTTGCATGGTTCAAGTGAAGAGACAAGACAGAAGAAAAGTTTATGAATACTTGTTATTGGAAGGTGTTATTGTGATTAAGAAGGTAAATGATGAATTTATTGATTATAGGACATGGCACTCCCATTGCATGCCGAAACAGGAGTCAAGAATCTTGAAGTCTGGATGCTCTTGAGAAGCTTAAGAGATAAGAAATTAGTGGATTTAGTATTCTCATGGCAATATTACTATTATTATCTCAAGGCAGAAGGAGTGAAATATGTAAGAGACAAGTTGGGTATGTGTTTGAATTTGACATTTTCTTAGGTATTGTAGAAGATGTCATTCCTGCAACATTCAAAAAGGCTGATAAGAAATTTGAAGATGACGCTCCAGAGACAAGACAAAGAGGTGGAAAGGGAGGAAGATCATTTGGCAGAGGAAACAGAGGAGCTCCTAGAAGAAATGAAGAAACAGAATAGCCAGCCTAATGAATATAATTACATAAGTATATTACATTACGCATCTTAATAATTGGGTATCTGATTATTCTACACAGCTGCAATAATAATATAAATTATTAATATAAATATATTCAAGAGCCACAATTCAAGCAAACCTCAACTTCATCGCCATCTTCAGTAACAATAATTTGAGGTTTACCCTTCTTAACCGTTTTACCTTCATTAGTAACAATCTTTTTGGATGCACTTTCATCGATTAATTCTTATTTGGATGATTGAATTTTTATTTGTCCACCTTCTTTTAGTAATGCCTCAACATCTACTGTGAATTTAATGGGATCTGCTGCAGGTCTGGTTCTCAGATAATACATTCCTTAAATAATTACACAGAATATGTACCTGTTTTCAATCCCTTCTCCCAAGCATAGAAATGCATAGAAGTCACTTTAGACATAGTAGGTTCAGCCATGTGGATATTTAAGGACTGACTCTAATCAATAAATGGAGCTCTGGATGTGGCCAAATTTAATATTGCTTTTTAGGAGATCTCCCAAACAGTCTTATATAATGATTTGATGTTATTCGGAATTTCTTCGATATTCTAGACAGAACCATTGTTCATGATTAATTTGTTCTTGATTTGTGGTGTCCATAAATTCAACTCAATCAAATCGTCAACTAAATGAGGATTGATGCAAACGAATTCTCCAGCCAAGACTCTTCTTGTATAGATGTTAGTTGTATATGGTTCAAATGACTCATTATTTTACAGAATTTGACTGGTTGAGGCTGTTGGCATAGGTGCGATCAATAAAGAATTTCTCATTCCATATTTGACAATATTCTATTTGAGAGTATTCCAATCATATAATTTTGGACTTACGCCCCACATATCAAATTGCAATATTCCTTATGAAGCTGGACTACCTGTAAAGGTTTCATAAGGTCCAAACTTCTATGCCAATTCCAAAGATGTTTGACATGCTCCATAGTAGATAGTTTCAAAGATCTTTGCATTCAATTCTAAGGCATCTTCCGAATCAAATGGAATTTTCATTCTTTGTAATGCATCTGCAAATCCTTAGACTCCAATTCCAATAGGTCTATTTCTTTTATTGCTGTATTCTGCTTATTTAACAGGATAAAAGTTCAAATCAATGACAATGTTCAAATTTATTGTGATTATTTTTGTAATCTCTAATAACTTATCAAAATCGAAAGTTTTATCTTCTTTGATTAACTTTTACAAATTAATACTAGCAAGATTGCAAACAGCAATTTCATCAGGTGAAGTGTATTATATGATTTCAGTGCATAGATTACTACTTTTGATAGTACCAAGATTCTTTTAATTGCTTTTTGAATTACAAGCATCTTTATACAACATATATGGTAATCCAGTTGATATTTGAGCATCAATAATTTCTTACCATAATTGTCTGGCCTTCATTGTTACTCTGCCCATATTTTTGGATTCATATTCAGTGTACAATTTGTTGAATTCTTAACCATAACAATCCTAGAGACCTGGACATTCATTTGGACACATCAAAGTCCAATCTGAGTCATCCTTCACTCTTTACATAAATAGATCAGGTATCCATAAACCCAAAAACAAATCTCTTGCTCTTTATTCTTCAATCCCATGGTTCTTTCTCAATTGTAAGAAACTGATAATATCACTATGCCATGGTTCTAAATAGATGGCAAATGATCCTTTTCTTTTGCCACCTCCTTAATCTACGTATCTTGCTGTATCATTGAACACCTTCAACATAGGAACCAAGCCATTGCTAATTCCATTGGTTCCTCTAATATAACTATCTTGGGATCTGATCTTTGACACGCTTAATCCGATTCCTCCAGCCGACTTACTGATTAGAGCACATCTCTTGAGAGTCTCATATATGCCTTCGATTGAATCATCAACCATATCCAACAGAAAACATGATGACATTTAAGGATAGGGAGTACCACTGTTAAATAATGTTGGTGTCGCATGAGTGAAGTACTTCTAGGACATCAAATGATAAGTTTAAAAGGCCGATTAGAGATCCTCCTTGTGGATGCCAATGCTGACTCTCATTAATAACTATTATGGTCTTTCAATTGGCTTTTTCCCTTCCTTTAGTAAATAGCTTCTCTCTAAAGTCTTAAAACCGAAAAAGTCATATTGGTAATCTCTGTCATAATTTATCTCATTTTGAATGATATCTTTATTTTCCATTATTATTTTATAAACATCATCAGCTATCAATGGGGCTGGTCTACCATATTTATCCTAGAATTTAGAGTAAAAATTTACTGTGAACGAATGTAATTTAGAAGCCACTTCACTAAAGGATTCGCTTGTTTCCTTGTGGAGGTTGTTGACTGCTATTCTTGCAGCCAATAAAGAATATTGTGGATGAACCAAATTCATGTAAGCACATGTTTCTGCCGCCAAATTATCCAATTGCACAGTTGTTATTCCTAAAATAAAAACTAGCAATTTTAATTACCCTCATACATCCCTTGAATAACCTTCCACATTATCAAGTTTATATTGATATGCTACAGATTTGAAGCTAAATTTTATAATCTCTCTGCTATTTTTTAAATATCGATATTCTATTTTCCTCCATCTCTTTTTAATACATAAGATATATTTTTTTATTTTGCTAATTCTTATAAATGCTCAAAAGAATAGTCATGATCTTGATCCATTTTTTATATATAAATATATTTTTAAACTAGACTTTACTTTAAATTATACAGTATTTGGCTCCAAAAATTTTAGTTTGAAAATTATTTATAATATTATCAATAACGCTAACCCGGAGAAGTAAATCCACTACTATAAGTCAATTAAGATTCTGACAAATCTCTTGGTTCTATATCAACCTCTTATTGTGGTTTATAAAGAGAGAATTGCGAAGATGATCCTGGACTGTAATATTGCTATTACTTTTGGAATTGTCCTGTGTTATATGCTAATAGACATATTAATAATTTTATACTTGAATTGTTTTTATTTTCAACTTCTTGATTGATTTAATCTCGTATTTGTTATGTTCTTTTGAATATCTCCTATTCCCTTTCTCTCAACATAGATTGCAAGTGCTCATCATGTTCCCTTTCTCTTATATTTTGCATCTCATCTCTTAATTGATTACGCAATTAATTTATCTTTTCTCTTTCATCTTCAACCAACATCGAAGGTGAAAATTGTTACTATTTCTGACTAGATTGAAAATCATACAAGGCACTTGATAATTTCTAACTAGTCATAGGTTCTCTGATATCACCAGAACTTTACTCAAAATTGTTCTAATAATTACTATTTTAATAGTAATTTGGTTAATATTGTTAATTTGAAAAACTCTATGATTTCTTATATTACTCCATTAGTTATTATTCCTGCATTCTCAATTTCTCTTGATGCTATTTGGCCAATCTCTCCATCTCTTGCTCAAACTATTATCTTCTCTATACACTGCTTTATCTCTTCTTGTCTTCAACCTATTTCTTGTCTCTCAACTACTACTCCTCTTTGCTGATCTATTCCGAAAACATTTGATCTCTCAACTTTTTCTCTCTCTCTAACTAAATCATCTTTAAATCCTATTGAAATTGATGTATTCTCTCATGATATTCAACCTCCTCTATTTATGCTTCATTCTCTAATTCTTGTAACTGCTGCATCCTTAATTACTTCAATTATTCAACTTTTATTTATTGTTGCTAAGAGTCCATTTTCCATTGTTCCTACTTGATTTAATCTAATAATTCTTTTTCCTTCTATCTAAACTCCAATTATGATTGAATCTTCCTCTGATTCTCCTACTTTGCTCTTTACTCCATTTGTTGTTGAAACTTACTAAATATCTGATACTCTAAGTTCTGTAAGGCCTCCTCTTCCTACAAGGAGACAATCCTGAAATTGTCAGCCAACTAAGTCTTCCTGAATTATTTATTTAAATATTCCTACTCCTATTATTACAAATCTAATTATTTCTAGACTGCTTGATTCATATTCTTCTCTAAGTTCTCTAACTACTTAATTCTTTGCTATCTAACCTATTGATCTTATTAAAACTGCTTTTGAGCTCTCATTTCAACTTGATAATCAAACATTTCTTGTCTGTCCTTCTCAGCCTACATAGTCAAAAGCTGCTTCTCCTAAAACAACTAATCCAATTACTCCATCTATTGAGCCATTTATTAGAGCCTTGAGATTTGTTGCTGCTTCTATATCAATCTTTATTCGTCCTCTTATAGCTGTTCTCTCACTCTCGCCTAATACTACACACTTCCTTTAGGATAAATACTGAAGAGCTGATATTAATCCTTTTGCAAAGGCAATAGAAACTATAAATTAATCTAGTATTAATCCATATCTAATGATTTGCTGAGATTAATTGTGCTCTCTATGAGTCTATCAATTTCAACTGTATTGCTTCTAGCAAAGAAGAGATCCAATTGATCCTGATCATTCATTCTCATAATAGTATTTTTAAAATAACTAAAGTATTCCACCATGAACAACACAATCATTTATGGTAAATCATTATACAATATCAGATGATCAATTAATTAGATCCATTGATTCTTATTCATTAGATTCGTATATAGCTATCGAATGGAAGGCCAAGCATATTTAATAGGCGAATATCCCAAGTATTATTTCATATGTTAATACAATTGAGGATCTACTTAATTGAATACTTGATCGTGGAATTGCAACAAAGAGACAGGAGCATTGGGGAAATTTTCGAAAAATCTTTGGCAATGCTATATCAACAGGGAGAGTGTGGCCTCAAAAATCAACAGTTCCTCTCCTCTTTTAAACAATTTCACAAATGGAAAGACCAATTAGGGTAGATAATCGATTTCAGCGAATAAAGGACAGTAGTATGCCAGACAAGATAATGTTCTTTGCAATCTAGAAAACAGAGATTCACTCTATAGGGGATATTGATCAGCCAATTTTTAATAGGCTGGATGAATTCCTTAATTTATTAGATTATTATAGGCTTCCTAATTCATTGGTAGGTTGAGTAAGGATCTCCAAATTAAACTTCTTTTATCATCTGGAAAAACATGGTATTAAGTTAAGAACTATTATAGTCTTTGATAGTTTAAGAGTTCTTTCAATGGATCTTCGCTATTCTTATAAATTTTGCCTAAAGTATGAGAGTTGATTGGCTAACTCATACTATTGGATTTGCTGTTCTTCTTACTGACAACTGATTAAGAAAACGAACCTTACATAGTATTAGTATTATTTCCAACTTTCTTGATGTCAATATTTGTTGTAGTATTATTAAAATTAAGAGTATCAGCATAGTTCTCTTTGATCATAGTGCTCACATTTACACCAATAGTTGAATTAAGATTCTGATTCTACTTGGCTAATTTATTAAGATCATACAAAGCAATCTCCCCTGTATTTAGAATAATAGCAATCTTATTTTGATACACATCAAAGTGAGTAGGTGTCTTCCCCTATAATATTTCAATGCATTTGATGAGATTACCACTACTATCTATTTAAATAATCATGAAATTCTTAGTCAGCATCAATACCTATTATTTTTTAATTGGTTTGACTAATAATACACCGTTGCCATATCCTTGATTTACATCTTAAGTGATTAAATTATTATTATTATCTAAAATGTAAATTTTGTTAGAGTGACAATTAATTATCAATCTCTATCCATCTATTGAGGGAACCATTTGACAGAACTTTATATTAAATTATTCAGGTAATTAGATTCTGCTTATGATTTCAAATGATGATAAATTCCAAATTGATAATGATCTGTCTGCCATTACAGTTGCTAATTCTGTTGAAGAAGGCAAGAAACTGGCTCCTACGAAGATACTTCCTTTGGAGAACAACGAATGAACTTTGTCAAATGAATCCAGGGAATGTAATATGCATTAATCTTGACTCACTGAAAGTAAGAGATTTTATGTGTGATTAGTATGCAAACTCAGGATGTGATGTTCATGACCTTTGAGTGTTTTCAAATTTCTTCCGTCTTAATTGTTAATTTAGATATTTACTTTAGCAGGAGACAATTTGAATAGATTTATTTTAGAGAGCAATTGCTAATTAACCTCCCTTGTTATCTATGTATGATATCATTTGAGCTGGACTAATTGTAGGTATATTGATGTATCTGTTTTTATCATGATAAAAGATGAAGGGATTTCCTGATTAGTCTATGCAAACTAAGAAATCGAAATAGTAAACTATTTTTGGTTGGCTCTTCAATTTAATCAAATCAATCAATCCATTTATTGTTTATCCTTCTGGATTCATCAAGGATCCATTCTTCACTGCCAGGGTGTGTTATTATTGACCTTTATTTTTCATATTAATTTAAAATTTAAAAAGTAAGTTATACTCATAAAATTAAACAAATGCATTTTTATTATGAAAAAGAAAATTAATTAAATCTCATTCATACCTCAATCTTGATGTTTATACTGCAGTAACTGAATAAACAGGCAGAGTTCGTTGCTTTACTATGAGGCAAGGAGACTTTTGCCGATCTCTAAGTAATTGTAAAGCCTTGGCTCTACTAAATTTATAGGGACTATTTAGTCTAATTTAGGCTTTTTATTTTATTTGATTGCACTCTATCAAATCATTAATTTATAAAGACGAATGCGATCTCAATGTATTTTACCTACTACTCTACTTTTCTCTGGTTATCAATCTCTCCCTTGGACTGACAAGTTATTTTCTTGTTTCTTCACCGTATTCTTCTTTACTTGTGTAAAATACATTGGTAGCCACCACTTCAAGTTTTTTTTTATTGAAAAGTTGTTTAATAAATGATAAACTTGGTTTTTGTTGTGTTGAATTCTTATTTTTAATTAAATTCATTTATTGTATTGATTAAATTATAAAATGACTTTTTATTATTCAGCATTTATTGTTAGACAACAGTAACTATTACATAATATTGTCTTTAAACACCTCACTTACGAGTCTAAATTCAAGTAATGAGCACTCCTTAAGGTTTTTCCATATTACATAGATCATTGATTAAAACTTCACAGATATATTTTAAAGTCTAAATTTCTTATTAACATCCTGGTTATTTCATTTAACTTCCTTAACTAATTGTTTACTTCTTAAAATATCAACTATCTTTTTGTTTTTCATTTAAAATTTCTAAAGATCTTAATCAAAATTTATTCACAAAAAAGATAAAGTAAATATTAAATAACTATCAATTAACTTTATTAATATTAATTGTAAAAATTGTATTCATAAGAGAATATTGTTGCCATATTGCCTTTAGATTGGTAAAGAAAATATTCAAATAAGGAATGTGTTGAATATTGATTCAATCCTTATCTAACTATATGATGCAGAGAGGCCTGATTGGGAAAACAATTGAATATTATTTAAGTTTAGAGATTAGGACTTAAAATGAAATAAATAAATAAATAATTTAATTAATAATGCAAAAGGCTAATATCATTTTTTTCTATGGACCACCTGCAACTGCAAAATCTTATGTGGCATAATAGGTAGCAAAATAAACAGGCTATGTTTATTTCAACTTGGATGAATTCTATGGCAAAGTGAAAGCATAATCAGAGGTGGAAAAATTGAATAAATTGATGTAAGTGTTCTAGGCTGAACCAAAAAACTATGTTGTTGATGGATTTCTAGATAAAAAGGCTTAAGCTGTTGTATTCTTTGAGCATTATCAAAAACCCAGATATGTCGTATATTTCCAATCTAGCAAAGATGAAGTTGAATAGAATATCAGATTATTGAGTACAGAGGATCAAAAGAAACATCGTTTTTAGAGATTTAGCAACTTCCTCTAAAATCGTGATGAACTGCTGGCTTACTTAAAGAAGTTTCAATTCTTTGTAACTGTCGATGCAGTATAAAAAGGATTGTCAAATAATTTTTAATAGTCCTCAGATTTGATCATTCAATCGATCATGAGTTTTTTAAAGCCAAAGGTCTTGGTGGCCTTGACCTATAATAACGAGGAATTGGCGGAAGTTTACTTGAATAAAGTGGAGACAGAATTGGGATTCAAGCATTTGCATATGGAAACACTATGCGAAGAAGAGTTAGCCAAAGGAACTCCACAAGGAAAATAAATGGGTGCATTCCTCAACTCAGGTTAGGTGGTGCCACCTTAAATGCAAATAGAATTGTTGAGGAAATACTTGTATGAAGATCCTCAATAAAATAAATTTATACTTACGAGCTTCCCTGAAAAGTATTAGGAATTTAGAACCTTTGAAGACAAGTTGTTCCCCATTACAGGATTGATCAATTTCTTGAAGGAGGGTAAATCAGTGTCATTTTCTGCTAAAATAAACCCAGTATTGCATTATTCAGCCGAAGGCAAGAATCTAATAATTCAAAATGAAGATTTGGGACCATTCCAGTCGTATTTAACAAAAAGAGTAAAGTATGGTGTTGTCATTGGTCCTGTAATGTCAGGTAAGTCAACATTTGCTAAGTACATCTCATAAAAATTTGGCTTTAATTTGATTGAATGGGGAGAAACTGCAATCACTTAATTGAAGGAGAAGTTAAGCACAGTGCCTGGAGAACAAATAGAAGAATTGACTCTGCCTATGATAATCAAATATTATAAGGATTTCTTTAGTAATGTCACAAATGAAAAGTATGTGTTTGATGGGTATTGCAAAATATTAATTTTATTAGATTCCCTCCAGGATGTGAAAAGCCAGAGTAGATTTTATAGTTTTTAAATTTGGGACAAGCTAGTTGGGTGTTAAATATTGGATTAGATTAAGCTAATTAGTGGATTAGATTTAAAATCAAGAGCGAATTAGATGCAGCACAAGAAATGACAGATGATGACAAAGAGAAGATGATTACTAATGCAAAAGCACATGAGGAAATCTTAAAGTAAGTTTAAGTGTATGTATAACAACAACCTGATTGTAAATTATTTAAATAAGATACGAACTATTCCTTGGAATAGAATTTTAAAGCAATCGATTAGATATTTGGAAAAAGAGTGTATTTGGCATCAATCTTAGCTAATTTAGATTCAGACATCTACGAAGCATTGAAATTGATATACGTCAACATTGCTGCAAAACACAGAATGGCATTTGTTGATGTTGAATAATTAATTGCTAAGAACTTTGAGAAACTCTCTAACGATTATGAGATGAGATGGACAAAATAAAATTGTAAAAACCCATCCAACTTCACTCCTGAAACTGTGATGAAATTAGTTAAGTAATACATAGATGAGTTGCCTATTTAAAGCAGGTAAGAATTCATATTAATTAATATAATAGAGATGTATTGTTGTGGGGTTACATATCAGCTGATTAATAGGGGGACAAATAACAACAAGAACAAATATTCCCAAGAGCCACAGATGAATTGATGATGGTCGAGAAGTCCTTGGGATAGATAAAAGTCTTGTATGCCATCACTGAATAACCATTAAATTCAGAAATCAATGATCCTGAGTGGGTTTTAGAAAAACCAGAAGTCCCACCTCCTAAACAAGAAGGCGATGGTGGTGATGAAGAGCCTAAAGATGGTGGAAATGCAGATGGAGAAGAAAATGTTCCAAAGTTTAATATTTATAATTATCAATGGACTAAAAGTGAGGTTCCTAAAAACATGGCGTAAATATTCATGAAGGTCAAATAACCCAATCCTGTAACTATTATTTATTCATTTTAGGTCTAACTTGAAGTCAGTGATTATAGCTTTAAATTAATTTATGATAACTTTGATGAGCTTGTCTAATCATTTTAAGAAAATAGCAATCTTACATATTATGCTTAGATATAATTACAATAACCAATTATGGATTGAATTATTCATTAAAAATATATATAATTCAATGATTAAATAATTTATGATAAATACTTGATGAATTTTCAAAAAGCTGATTATTAGATTAAATCATTTAATGATTTTAAATCTTCCATTAAATTTCATTTTTATTTTATAATTTAAATTGATGTAAACAACTAATCACAGATTATTAAATTCTCTAAATTTTCACCACTTACTTAAGAAGGTCGCAAGGCTCTATTTTTTTACTAAGTATGAATTTAATATTTATTTTTAATATTAGTTACAATTGATAAACAAAATCAAATTGTGAAAAATTCGAAGTTATTTGAATTGATTTTAGAATGAGCGAAGGATTCAAAAATAGAATTAACAACAAGAGAACTTACTTATAGAGAGGATAGAATTGAATTGATATGAGCTATTTATTGATGATTTTTTAAATATAATAAAATAAAATTAATTTAATGGGAAGTTGCTGTTCTCATAGTGAAAATAGGGAGGGTAACCATCATGGAGGTCATGAATAATAGAGAATGCCTAGGGCAATTGGTAGATAGTAATAGAATGGGAATGCAATTCAGGATGTTAATGAATAATATAAAATATATTTTGATATTTTGGAATAACAAGTTAGTGGTAAGGGTTTAAAGAGAACCTAAGCATATAAAAGTCATATTGATATTGGTTAGATCGAAAAGTTGAGGACTGTTTTTTGGGGTAAGTAATGAATTATATAATTGATTTAAGAAACCAGAGTTGAGGGAAAACAAGAGATTTGGTAGATCTTAAGGTCGATCATACATGAAGACGAGGGTACGAGAATAAAATTATATTAGAAACTGCTCGTTTACTAGTACAGGAGGCTGAATTGAAACCAATCAAAGATTCCTTATAACATGTATATGATAAATTGGGACAAAAATACGATGTACCAATATTTTGCATAAATGATCCAATAGAGTATTCAAATGAGAAATTTGAGGACAGAGGTTTGATTTAAAATTACGGTAATGATTCTGTAAAATTAACGATCCGCAGTGTCAATTTGAATGGTAAGGATATTGTGGTAGAATGCAAGCAGAATTAGAGTGTAGTGGATTTGAAAGAAATAATAAGTGTTGAGTTGCAGAAGGGTCATTAAATTTAATTGGAATCCATGAAACTGTTTTACAGAGGAAAAGAAATGTAAGAGAATTATCAAGTTGGAAGATACAATTTAAATAAAGAAGCTATAGTTATAGCTTATCTAAAAGTACTCCAAAAGACATGATTAAAACATAACATTTATAATCAATATATCATAAAATGTATTGTATGAAAATTTTTAAATTATATAATAGACGATCTCATTCTCACTTAATATGTAAAAAACAATCATCTAATTAGATTATGAAATCATAGAGATTTGCCACTCGAAACCCTTATTTTATAGCCACAAGGTTGATTAATTTAAAAATTCTCCAATTATTAATTATATTGATTAATTTCATTTTAAAGTTATATATTGATTTTACTTCAAGGAATTCAGTTAATATTCTAGCAATGATATCTCTATTATAGTTGTAATTCTATAATATTATGATATCTAAAAGCATTGAATGATGGTATTTTAATAGTTTCACTAATAAATATCCTTGTTTATATAAATAGTTTAAAACATAAAATACTAAATCTTTTGTTATTAACATAAAACAATTATTTGCAATCTGCTAACCATATTGACATATAATATTACTGAAATAGATAATATGAATGTTTAAGAAATTTGAAAGTTTTTGATTAAAGACAAACATTTTAATTTGACCAATTTAATTATATTTATTAAAGACAAACACGTCAATTAGACCAACTTAATAGCAATCATAATATACAATATTACCAAAAAATCTTAGATTAATATATGAATATTAGAATTATGAACAAGATAAAATTTTGAATAAAAATGATTTTAATTCTTCAAAAATATCATAATTTTTAGGGCATTTTTGATTGAACTTCATCAATTTAAACCTATTGATTTTCTTTGCAAACCTTAATACTCATTGGAACTGCTCTTTAGGCTTCAATTTAGAATATAAAATAAATATAATGGTTAATACATAATATGATATATATCATTTTTGTTACATATTCATTTAGCAACAATTCCAAAACTTACATGTTCTTATTAAACTGTTAAAACCTAGGCAATTTCAATTCTACAAAGAAAGCATGCTTCAGTATTTCCAATACACTAGGCACAAAATTTGCCATGACCACACGGCATGAATATCTTTTCTCCAATTCTATCTTAACATATAATACACAAATTGGATTCCTCAGAATTCACTGATTATAGATCATTACTCAACATGGGAGGCTGACTTGATTACCTTTATCCCATATTGGTGATAATGGGTTTGTAATAATTAGTTGAAACTCTTTAGAGGATAGTAGGTTATTCATAGGGTTATTGCTTTTCTTCTAAGTCTTTTCCCATTTCTAAATTAAATATGAAATTTGCATAATATTATTCCAAATCTTTCTTCTTCATATATGTGAATGATGTTAAAAAAACGAATAGAATAGGAAGGACAATAATCAAAGCAAAGAGATTGAGATATAAAAATAGATTTGTCAACAATATTGTAGTCTAATACAAAACAAATTACATGTAATACGCATCTTTATATGAATATTATATCTTACTCTTCTATTTTTCACTTTTCTTGATCAAGTCTGGAATTACTTTTATTGCAAAATATAGAACTGAGACAAACGTTATCACTCCATTTAATATTAGTAGAATCAAAAACAACCATAAGACTTGTATCCAATCCCAAGCAACAAAACTATCCAATTTTAGAGTGATCGATAAAGTTTCAACTAATATTACTATCTTCCATAGTACATTAAACTATTATGTCATTCTTTATGCTATACGAACTATTAAAATGCAACAAATGCGAAATATTTTTTTTTATTGCAATAGATAAGCAATCTAAGGATCAACATTAATAATGGAAACAGTATTAACATCAAATAAAACTCAATTTCAAGCACAACAATCAAAATAAAACATAGTTTCATTAAAGCATATATAAATGATTCTAAATAATAATACACCTTTAATTCTTTTTATAAGCAATAACAAGTTTAAGCACATCGGCCTATTATAAAAGTTACAAATATTACATATATCAATAAAAATCAGGCAAATCACAACCTAGATTATTGATAAAATATTTTCTAAATAAAAGGAAATTAAAAAATAAACATATAGATATAAAAAGATTTCTAAGTATTATTCTCGTACAAATTCTAGTGCTAATTATTTTACTTCTGTTTCTAATTAAACTTTGACTCGATCTAGTTATTCTTACATATTCAAAAAATAAACTTATTAAATTTATTAAGCAAAATCTTTATTAATTATTTCTTTAAATATTAGAGATGATTAAAGGCTTTTCTTTTCATAAACAAAAAGCTAACACAAATTTATTTAATCTCAACTAAAATTGGATTTAATAGAATTATCTGTTTAATAATTTCAAATCATCTTCAAGGGGAATAAAATTAAATTTAACCTATGTTATGTAATGTTTAAAATTACTTCATTGCTATTCAGCTAAAATTTGATTTTGCAATGAAATATACTTTATATATATGAATTATATGAGAAAAATAAGCAAATAATAATGCTATACAGGTATAAATGGTATATTAGGTCAATCTAATAGGATTAACTAGGAATCTCATAGGGAAACAAGATTAAAATGCAGAAAATATGAAATAAAGTGTATTCCAATTTAATATTATATAAATGATAATTTTTTATATTAATATTAAAAACGGATTGTATGAGGAAATTAGTTTCTGTACTATTGATTTCTCTCACTTTGGCAAGTCAAATTCAAGGTCCTTTATCAAATCCAATAATGAATGAATTGGAATCAACTCATTTGGGCAAAGCATTCTTGAAATTACTTAGCCTAAAATCAAAGGCATAACAATTTGATTTCTCTAAATTATATGCAGCACTTGATGACTTACAAAATTCAATCAAATAAAGATTGGCTGATGAATAGCAAGCATATTAGTAAGATGAAGTCTAATATTTCACAGACAAGGAATTTTTTTCAGGTCAGATTACTCAATTCCAGAATGAAGTAAACCAATTAGCTTACCTTATTAGATTGCATCATTGGAAATAGATGTTACAGATTTCACTGAAAGCAGAGATTTATTATAAATTGCCTTGAATGGAAAAGTAGATGAATTGAAGGAAGTTTAATCTTTGGCTGATGGATTAGCAGCAAGAATCAAAAAGGAAGAAGAAATCTTCAAGGATCAATAAAATCAATATACAAATGCCGTTTAAGCTCTTGATTAAGCTTTGTAATTGATCGGATAACTCAGAGACGGTTCATTTATTTAGAACAGAGGTGTTTCATTCTTAGAAGAAGGCCTAAAGTAACTCTAACATCAAAGAATCATGTATGGTCCTTTGATTACTGCATTCACTTAAATCATGGCTCCAAGTTTCAATGACTCTGAAGCAAGTGCTAAAGTTTAGAAGTTAATTCAAAATTTGAGAGACACCATTGTGAAAAACAAAACTGACTTAGAAAATGCCTATCAATAGGTTAGATCCATTGATGATCACAATCTCAGCCAGTATAACTAAAGAATAAACAACTTATCAACAATTGTAATTCCAACCATCTAGGCTGAAATCTAAACTAGAGATGGTAATAATTGTTTATTATTGATAAGCTCAAATTTAAACCAAGTAAAATTTACTCAGAGATGCCTAAACCAATTTCAAGACAGCTACAGATAACTTAGATAATACTAATAACAGATGGGTTGAAAGGTATTTTTAGTAAATAACTTTAGAACCAATGAACACAATAAGTTGATGGATTAACTGTTAACTTAATAATCCCTATTTCCCAAGATTGTAAATTAATTGGAAGGAGCAGGAGTTAGAAGAAGATGATTTTCTTAAATTTATCAAAACATAATATTTAATAATATATATTTTAATATGTAAAATTTTAAAAGAGTTGTTATTTTATTATCTAAAACTTCTGGAAGAGACAAAGTAAGTATTGAATAAATTATTATTTGATTAGTCTTGTAGAATTTTACAATATTTTGGTAAATTTTGTGCAGAATAATTGAAGGAATTGAAATAAGATGAATTATCATTAAAGTGCAAAAATTTAAGCTCAAACATGAGTTTAACAAGGAAAGTCTTAAGATTTGGAAGAACAATTGGAATCATTATTTCGATTATGGAATTATCGAAATAAAAAGGAAATAAAGCAATCATTCTCAATAAAATATTGATGAACATCTCTTGCTTCCTTTATTTCCTTGTTGATCATACTCATTGGTTTTGTAAAGTAAATTCATTATTTAACTTAGATTTAAGTGATACAAAACCCATAACTCGAAGCTAAAGCTGATTATTGGAGTGACGCACTTTGGTGCTTTGAGGCGTTCTTTGATTGCGTGGCATTAATTTTAGAAATTAGAGAAGAAGAAAATAAAAGTTAAGATTCAAAGTCACCCCAACGTCTTTTCAATCTCAAATTGGACCTATTAAGAGCCTTTATGGACTTGTTGGTATCTATAATATTTTAACTATGAGAGTGCTTATGGATTTATCAGTAATGGAAGAGTGCCAGGCAAATGGATTGGTTTCTTTGGAACCATTAGCTCAATTATTGGACTTAAATAACAATGGGATGCCGCAAAGTGAATTATAATATTTTCAGAAATGTATTTAATAACAATAAATCATTGGGTTTGTTCAATAATTTAGAGCAACAATGCTTGATTCTTCATAATATTCAATTTTGGTTTTGAAAATATTGCGAACACTGATGTTAGCAAAGTAACATTAGGTACTTCCAACTCCAAAAACCTTTTATATTCATCTTTATGTTTAGCACACAACTTTTCGTAAAACAAGAACATAATTCTTTTCATTCTTTGTTTAGAAATAAGAATTTATGGGGACTGCTATCTGATATTTTAAATCATTTGCTCCATCTAAAGATAGAACTTATTTCTTTGTGCAAAATAAAACTCTTAGATTAGCTTAACCTTAAGGTAAAAATTAATAAAAGATTGCTATAATTATGCTTACGTTTTTATAAAAAATGTATCATTTAAAGTTATCAAGATAAGATCCGATATTTATCGTGAAATTTTTTCAGTTAGTTATTTTGAGAAGATTGATAGAGTTAAATTGGTTTACATTAAAACTCTCAAATTAAGAGAGGTATTTTTTTCATTAACTTATTTCCATCTTTGTGCATAATGTTTCGGAGAATTATTCATGCATCTTAATATTTTGTTAATTTTAAAATGAGCATAGAGGATATCAACATATTTTATAAAATTAAGGGCAATTATCCATTAATTGATGTATTTTTTCATCATTCTTTATTGATGTAATTATTTATAAGATTGTACTAACATTCTTTGGTATCTTGAAATTACATTTTAAGATAATAATTAAAGTTTTTTCTGTTAAACTAATAATATTTTATTTTTTAACGAAACCTATTCGCATCTTTGTTTGACTGAATTGATTCTACGATTATCACTAAATAATTTAATTGGAGGGACACTTTCATGAATTAGAGATTTTCCAATACTTTACATATTTAAAGAAGATATATTATTTTTGCTTGTATTAAAAGATTCATCATCTGTATTATTGTTATTCTAATAACCACTTCGCATTCTGAGTTATTCTTTTCCATCGTAACACAAAAAATAACTCCTGTCATATTGGGATGCTATTATGTTAATTCTTAATTTTTATACTTTGAAACCAAGCCTTAAGTTTTATTGAAGTACTATAATCTGACAAGAGAGAGAAAAATAAATAATTCTTGTGTTCTTCAGGTTTCTTAATTACAATGATTTTTTATTATTTTAGAACAACATGTTTCTGATGATTCCTTTCCGAAGGCTAAGAGGTTAAAAATGAAAAATAAATATTGCATTTAAAAGCTCCTACATTGAAAAATATTTTCAAAGGAAAATAATCTTAAATCCTTATTTTAATATATTATGGAAAGCCTTTCAATATAGATGTGCTTGCCCATTAATCATTTTCCAATTCTAAACAGTCATATTAGTAATCCAGTTGATCCGAAAAAAGTAAGTAATTCCTCTATAATATAATATTATACTATACTGTTTCTCTTCAATTAGTAAGGCTGGTAAAAATTTTAATCCATAAAATTATTTATTTTAAATTTGTATATATATAATAACTTCTTTTTCTTAGAATTATGTATTCTTAAGAATAGTTTACAACCTTGACAATTTATAATCATTAAATCTCGGTATGGGTTCACTAGAACTGTACAATATATCTTTGGTTCAATTCCTTCAACACTAAACTTACTTCATTTTTAATACTCTTTAAACAGTTATCTTCGACTTAAAAATATTGGGATTATTATGATTTTTATATTTATCTTTAAATTCTTTTGTTTTTACCTTTTATCTAATGATATTTTATTTTTTTCTAATTATCTTTCATAAACTTTTTCAATTCTTGTAATCAATCTTTTGCTATTTATCCATCTAAATATTAAAATATTTTAAATTCATCTATTAAATATATATGTCAACTCCATTTAAGAATTATTGAATGTGTTATATTAGAAAATATCATTCAATATAAAGCCTAATTTAATAGAATTTATTAATTATTTAAATATTATAAGGAAGCCCTTTTATTCAAAGTACAATAATATCTTTGAGCTATTAACAACAGTTTGAAGACTATTATAAATTTAAAAATATGCATTATTATGGTATTGATACAAAAATTAAGTAAATAGAAATTTGAATTATTAATTTATTTTAATTTTATGATTTGTAATTATTTAATAATTTACACAAAAACCTAAGAAAAACTTTCATATTTGATAATTTATAAAGTGATTTAACACAATTGTTATTAAGTATAAAATCTAGATAAAGGAATTTATAATGATTCTATTATTTATAAATGTAGATATTGATAAAAATATTGAATAAAATATTAAAAATTAGTTCTAAATAAAAAGCATTTAAGAGTTAGTGTTATTTTGAGTATATTAGCACTTAATCTCTTAAATTTTGACTGAATTTTATAAAATTCTTGGATTATTAAAGAAAATATTAAATTTGATAGTGTTTAATACATTTGTGTATAATTTTAAAATACATATGAACTAGACAAATGTCTTGCTATATTTATCTTCAACTCTAGGTTAGAGATAACATAATTAAATGAATAAAATGTAAATATGAATCAGTTCCAGAGATTCTCTGATAATTAACATAATTATATAAAAGAGGAATCAAAGTAATAGTCTTAATATTTAAGATTAAAAATTTAGATTGATTTTGATATATTAAGTTAATATTTATATGATTCTATATAGAAATATATCACACAGAAGGGGGCTTTTAAAGTAGCATTAGCTACTATTAGATAAAATAATACTACAAGATCTATTCTTACAATTTTTATTATAGTAGGATTGAAAATGAATTGATTGGTGCATATGATTATTATTATAATTATTACTATTATTATTAGAATTATTATTAATATTAAGTTCTATTTTAAATGAGTTCTTCTTCGACCTTGACTAATTTTTAAACTTTATCATAGTGTTCCATTTCTCGAATGTTATTGAGTTTTTCCATTCTCTTTGATTATTCTTATTTTTCTTCCTCGAAGTTTTTAGTTGGTAATTTATCAAGATATTTTGTAAATGCAGATTTTCTTTCTGAATGGGTTAATATTTTAGGTAGTTGTTGTTGAATAGGTTGTTCAGTTTGAATAGATTGTTATTGTTATTATTATTATTATTCTTCTTCTATATTCATATCTTATTATTATTCCTATTATTATTCTTATTCTTATTATTATTTAACAGATTGGTTGAATTAATCTTATGAATATTGATTCATTAATTCTTATAATTAAGGATAGATTGATGAATAATCATCTGATGAAAATTCGAGTTTTTTAAATTAGGTTTCATCAAGATATTTTCTTTCAACAACGGATATCATACTTTGGCCAAAAAGTTGAGTTAAGGATTCCTCAATCTGAAATTAAATAATAAAGATTACCTTCTTTCTAATTCTATTGTTATTTGATTAAAAGACGATGATGTATTGAGATTATTGATATTTTGACATTAATTGTTTTTAAAACTCAATTAGATAATTATCAGTTTCTAAATTATTTTAATAGTAGATATTTAAACATCTGGAGAACTTGAGTGCCATAAATAAGGGATGTTTTATCTAAAATAGATTGGAGTTTATACTTTATTTCTAATATTTGGGGCTGTTAAATAATTGTGTAATCCATTTTCATTATTTTCAATTGGAGCGTCAACTACATCGTTAAAATGTTTTTCTTTTTTACAGAAGTTGCGTTCTAGATAATTAGGTTCGAAAGGTTGGATATATTAGATTTGTCTGTGTTCATCACGAGCACTCTTTCTACTGTCGACAAAAACTGGTGGTGATTATAACCCTAGAATGATGTTCTCTCTCTCCTTCAGTAATATTAATAACTGAAATCTATGTCCTTAGTGATTATAAGTTGTGCTATTAAATTTTACGCCCTACGATTGATAATAATAAATACCGAAAAGAAGGCTTTACCATCTATAATGTCGTATTATGTTGTTCCTTCTAATCCTACTTCTTCAAAGAGATCATTCTATAACAACTTCACTGCCAGTAATTAAACCTAAAATTAGAATTAAATAAGATACCTAGCAATTGATCCATTATGTGCATTCTTCATTCTATAAGGAAATTTTTACAGAAATGTTTGGAATATTCCAACTCTTATGCCAATTCCATCCTAGATCATTTGTATATTTCAATTCTCTCTCGGTATCAATCTTCAATAAAACTGGTCCTTGATTAGGAGTCACCGTTTGTCTTAAATTGATGAAGGTATTTTTTGTTTTCAAAGTACTCTTACATTATGTCCATGTAAAACCTTTATGAAATTAAGCCATTTGATTAAGAAGAATTTAAAATTATTTCAAGATTTTGTTTATTTCGAAATCCACTAATAAATACGCATATATCATCAATAAATTTATACTCTCAATTTGCATGTTTTATAATCAGCTGTTACCCAAAATGTATTGAATTGCATTTTTTCATACAAAAGACCCTGGCAATAAGATATAATCCAAAATATAAACAACACTTATTAAAAGCTTAGAAATAATTATAATTATAATGTAAACGATTAATTAATAGGAATACAAAGCGAGTAAAAAATCCTAAATTGCCTATTGGAGAACACAGAGCAAATAAGGAAATAGTAATTTCTGAATACTTACTTCGTTAAAATAGAAACACTTATTTATTTTAATAAATACTAACTAATTTTGATTTCTACATAAAATTAAATAATTTCTAATTAAAATTGTAAAACTAATTTTAGAATACATTTGAGATTGCTTTGTCAAATTGATTTCTTCATAATAACACCTTGAGAATTTGTTTTAAAAGAATAATGTACAATTTTTAGAGTGAAAATGAATTATTTATATAATAAATATTGGATTTATTGCAAAATATATATCATTTGTTAATTATCATATTAAATACAATAATACGCATCAATAATGAGTGAAAATGTTCTTGAGAAGAATTGGCTGACTAAAGTTGCTGATACTTTGTAACCATTTGCAATTGGTGGCTCATCTGGATGCGTGGCTACGTGTTTTATCTAGCCGGTTGACTTAGTCAAAGTTAGAATCCAGCTCAAATCAGAAAAATTGGGTCCTAATGCAGGTAGCGAAATCAGTCCATTTCGTGTCTTCTCTGAAATCTTAAAAGAAGGAGGTGTGTTGAGTTTTTGGAAAGGAATTGACTCAGCATTAGCTAGATAAGTATTTTACACTACCACTCGTATGGGAATTTATAAGACAATGTATTAAAGTTCAAAGCAAGCAAACAATGGAAAAGAGCCTTCATTTTTAGCTAAATCTTGGTGTTCAATTGTAGCAGGTTTCATTGGCTCATTGGCAGGTAATCCAGCTGATTTAGCTTTGGTCAGAATCTAGGCAGATAGCACGTTGCCTGTTGAAGAGAGAAGAGGATACAAAAATGTTTTTGATGCATTTTATAAAATTGTGAAAGATGAAGGAATAGTAGCATTATGGAGAGGGTCGACTCCAACAGTTATTAGAGCAATTGTAATTAACGTGGCAATGTTGGGACCTTATGATGAGATAAAGGAACGATTAAATCACTATTTTGGAACCAAAGATACTCAATAAACTCGATTATTGTATATTGTTAAAATATATTTCTAATAGAGCATCTGCAGCAGCTGGGTTTTTGAGTTCATTTTGTGCTTTGCCTTTTGACAATGCAAAAACAAAAATGTAGAAAATGAAAAAGGATGCGGCAGGTGTATATCCTTATTCCTCTATTTTTGATGCGATGGGAAAAGTAAGAAACATGACTATTCATAGACAGCTAAAAGAGAAGGAATTGTGGGACTTTGGGTAGGATTTCCAACATTTTATTTCAGAATTGCACCACACACAATGATTACTCTTTTAACTCAAGACTGGTTAACAGACAAGGTCAATTCATGGAGAAAAAAGAAACATTGAATAATTATCATTCAATACAATAATTATAAATTATATTATTATTATTAATATTCATAATAATAATAATTTGCATGAAATGAAAACTTGTTTATATATAAGTTTCATTCATCATTGATAATAATATATTCTCAATAATCTATTCAAAGTTAATAATGTTTTAAGATTAAAAAATTTATTATATTAATATAGAAAAAAAAGAGGAGATTAAAATACAGTAATTAAAATACATTAAAGATAATCTTAATTTTGATTCGAAAATTACACCTTTCAATTTTGGATGTTAGAATAATACTAAAAATAATTACCTATTTCGATATTCAAAGCTTTAATTGTTCTTCGATACTAAAAGAATAAAAATATTAATATTCTTAAAAAGAGTTCATTTAGAATATTTTATCATTTAAATTCATTTGCTTACTTTCTATAACCTTTAAAAAGTATGATATAAACAATAAGGTAATTTGTAAAAAAAATACAAACTAATTTAGAGGTAATACTGACTACATTATTTTCTTTATATTTTATTTCTTGTAAACTACTGAATTTGATTGATATTCCTTGTAGAAGTAATTTAGTTTCTACTAAGGTATATCCTTTCATTACAAAAACACAAATTCATCTTTTTTATTTTATTTCTTATTCCTTCTATGCTTTTGTAAATCGTCATGAATTTCAGACGTAAATTAGAAATTATTGATTATGATATCAGATATTTAATATAAATAATGATCAGAAATTGAAATATTGCTTTTTCATAAAATTTTGTTTTCCATCAAATATTTTTATTATGATATGCTAAGATTAAAAGAAATTAGCTCTTGATTAGCTTCTCGGTTCCATGATTGGAGGAGGTTAATATTTTATTGGACTAAGTAATTGCGATGTCAATTCTTTTGATTTCCAATTACTTAAAGTGAGAGTTTTCAATTTCACAAATTATGAACTCTTTTTTTTAACAGGCATCTATTCTTTAAATAGGAGCTGACACTTTTTTTGAGGTAATCCTTACATTTGAATAATTGTGAATTAAATATTATTAATTATTATTATATTCAAGCAAAATTTATTTAGTTAATTTATCTGAAATTATCCGTTATCTATTTTTATATGCATTTATGCTTATAATTTTTGGAATTCAAGCATTAAGTATGGCTTAGAATTAAAAAATAAGTATAATTGATATGGACTTTTATCAACATTTGTAAAAAGAAAATAATTTAACTAAAATGCTTTTATATTGAATTATATAATCATAATCATTTTTTGTTAAATCATAAATTATAATTACCATTTTGAACTCCTTTTCAATTTTACTATAAGGACTTATCGTAATTTATTGAATAAACAGAGAAGTAGTCTAACAAGTGTGGGCTTGAAATGTTCTCCTTATTATTTGTGAGTTCATAGCAAATTTTTCACTTTTCATGTTTTAATGATAAAAACTATTCAGAATCAATCTAATTATACTATCCATATTATTATTTCTCTGAATTATTTATTTTCAAAGATTGATGCTATAAGAATATATGTATATTGTATGAAAATTCAAAATATACCTTCATACTATATGATCTATTATTGAATTCTGTGTTTGGAAACTTAAATTCTGTAATTTTTTCAAGCTTCTATTGTTAACTTAAAAGAAAAAGGTATCAATAAAAAGAATAGATATGCTACTCAATTGATAAGAAAGTAATTCATATTTATGTTTTAATGTTCTTCTAACAATCTTTTACATTCGCAAAAACATTCATATAATTTTTATAATATTTTTGCGTCATTAGATGTAAAAACAATCTCAAGAAATGTGTTCAGATTGAGAATTTTAGTATTGGCTTAATTAGGCCTAGACTGAGTTTTCATTACAACAATATCATGTTGAATGAATAGGTTACTTAAACTTAATTAACCAATCTGGAGATAGAGAATTTACTTCCTTCCTGATTGAGCCCGACCTTAATAAAAATAATCTTGCATTATTCTTATTTTTTATCTGCCTGATAATTCCAATTACTTTGATTGCACTAGCTACTAGGTTTAATTTGGAAATTCTTTAAAAAATTGGAATTATAACATTACTAATAAAATATTTTCTTTATTTAATTTTACAATATATACAAAGCATCTGATCCTTCTACACATTTATATATATATTCACATCTAAATTCTAAAAACTTTTGCATTGTATCTAGTAATTTTGGTTTATTTGTTAACTAATAATTTTTATAAATACAAATAAAATGGAAATTTTTAATGCAACTTAGCCAACTGTTTAAATTCCAACAGAGATCCTAACTTTTAGTAGGCACATTATACATAATGTATATGAGTAGAATTATATAGTAACATTAATAGATGTTTAGTTTTATATTTTAAACATTAATACATTTAATGACGTCGCGAACTTATTTATTAAAATACAGAGCAAAAATATATCAATAAAATTAGATATTTGATAAATTTATACAAGAATATTNAATTTTTGGAATTCAAGCATTAAGTATGGCTTAGAATTAAAAAATAAGTATAATTGATATGGACTTTTATCAACATTTGTAAAAAGAAAATAATTTAACTAAAATGCTTTTATATTGAATTATATAATCATAATCATTTTTTGTTAAATCATAAATTATAATTACCATTTTGAACTCCTTTTCAATTTTACTATAAGGACTTATCGTAATTTATTGAATAAACAGAGAAGTAGTCTAACAAGTGTGGGCTTGAAATGTTCTCCTTATTATTTGTGAGTTCATAGCAAATTTTTCACTTTTCATGTTTTAATGATAAAAACTATTCAGAATCAATCTAATTATACTATCCATATTATTATTTCTCTGAATTATTTATTTTCAAAGATTGATGCTATAAGAATATATGTATATTGTATGAAAATTCAAAATATACCTTCATACTATATGATCTATTATTGAATTCTGTGTTTGGAAACTTAAATTCTGTAATTTTTTCAAGCTTCTATTGTTAACTTAAAAGAAAAAGGTATCAATAAAAAGAATAGATATGCTACTCAATTGATAAGAAAGTAATTCATATTTATGTTTTAATGTTCTTCTAACAATCTTTTACATTCGCAAAAACATTCATATAATTTTTATAATATTTTTGCGTCATTAGATGTAAAAACAATCTCAAGAAATGTGTTCAGATTGAGAATTTTAGTATTGGCTTAATTAGGCCTAGACTGAGTTTTCATTACAACAATATCATGTTGAATGAATAGGTTACTTAAACTTAATTAACCAATCTGGAGATAGAGAATTTACTTCCTTCCTGATTGAGCCCGACCTTAATAAAAATAATCTTGCATTATTCTTATTTTTTATCTGCCTGATAATTCCAATTACTTTGATTGCACTAGCTACTAGGTTTAATTTGGAAATTCTTTAAAAAATTGGAATTATAACATTACTAATAAAATATTTTCTTTATTTAATTTTACAATATATACAAAGCATCTGATCCTTCTACACATTTATATATATATTCACATCTAAATTCTAAAAACTTTTGCATTGTATCTAGTAATTTTGGTTTATTTGTTAACTAATAATTTTTATAAATACAAATAAAATGGAAATTTTTAATGCAACTTAGCCAACTGTTTAAATTCCAACAGAGATCCTAACTTTTAGTAGGCACATTATACATAATGTATATGAGTAGAATTATATAGTAACATTAATAGATGTTTAGTTTTATATTTTAAACATTAATACATTTAATGACGTCGCGAACTTATTTATTAAAATACAGAGCAAAAATATATCAATAAAATTAGATATTTGATAAATTTATACAAGAATATTTACATCAATAAATTATCAATTATCAGTTTAGGTAATACTAGGCTATCCAAATGCTATCAACCTATTATATTTAGTATTCATTATAATAGTATAGAAAGTGCCTTCATTATGAATGGGATATGTGTCCATTACAGTAAAAACTCCGAATTCATTCCTTAGATTAGTTTGTAATTAGCCTAACAAGTTCTCTGCAATGGTTCTTCTTTAATCGTTTTAAGGGTCAGGTAACCAATGATCATAATTGGTTTACACCAAGTACTAATAATTGGATTAACCGAGAATTGAAGTATTCAAACTTATGGTTGGATTCATATCAAATGGATCTTTGGAGATGATTACTCCCTAATTTCTGCTGGTTCCTCCAATAACATTATAAATAGCACAAGCTACTTGATTTTGTTCTAAGTATAAGACAACTCTATGAAAAGTATTCAAATTATCATTAACTAACACATGCCTATATTCCCAAGCTAAAGAGGGTACTCCTAATTAAATGAAAGTAAGGAGCTGATCTTTACTGATGGGATCACTAAATTTCCAATTTTAATCAAGGGATGCAACATTGTATTTAAGTAAGGTAGAGAACCCTACTTTGAACCATTACCAGTCAACTGACTCACCTAGATATTTATCATCCTTTTTTATGATTAGATGTAAGACCATATTTCTAGCTTATGCAGGGGCTTATTCCATATTTCTTCCATGTATAATTTAATCGCCAACTGAGAGTAGAACACCTGTGCTTTCAATCATTTCACCTGAGATATGACTGATTTCGTGAAAATATGCCCATGCAGATAAATATTCAAATGTTATTTCACTTCTATTGAGCTCTTCCACAATACCATCTAATTCCGATGAATATTCAGGATAATGGGTTCTAATTGCGTTTGCTATTGTTGAATAGTCGTCTGTATTCAAGATATAGAATGTGGTTTTATTGTGAAATTCAAAGACTGGACCAAAAGAATTTTCATATCCATGCAAGTCAAGGATGGTTCTGACTGCTTATTTCCATCTTTATTTTGGGGTAGCACTTAGGTCGATCTCAACTTCAGGCAAATAGCTGAAACTTGTCACTGTTGACAAAAACATAAATAATATTCCGTATTGCATTATAATTAATATTATTTTGTAATAATTCGATAGTTAAATAACATTTCCTGATGACTTCATTTATTTAATTAATTAATTTACTTTTAATAGATTATATCATTTCTAATTTTATATTTGTTATATAATTCTGTTTAAATTTAGTCGATTCTTTAATTAATACTTTTCAACCTTAAAATTTATATATGTTATTTAAACATTAAATTAAAATATTAAAAATGGGTTGCTGCTTCACGAAAAAAAAGAACCAACTCAAACCCACTAAAGCATATGAATACATCAATAAAACTAATCAAAATGAGAGGCAATAAGAACTTGAATAATCATTTATTTAAGATGTGGAAGTTATAATAATTGATAATAAGGAAGAGGAATTGGAGAGACACTCACTCAAATCAACTTCAGAGTATTATTTATTGAATATCACGAATAGTATTCACAATTGGGAATAAGGGGAAGTACTTGGTTAAGGTGCTTTTGGAAAGGTAGTGATGGGACTCTAGAAGAATGGATAAATTATGGCTGTGAAATAAGTATTCATTTAAAATCAAATTGACGATGTATTATATATGAATATTGTAGAAAGTGAGACAATTATAAAAAGAAATTGAAATGCTGAGCAAATTATAGCATCCAAATATTGTACGCTATATTGGTTGCGAATAGAAAAACCAATTCATAAATATATTCCTGGAATATGTCAGTGGAGGCTCAGTCTCAACTTTGCTAGAAAGATTTGGATGTTTTAGGGAGAGACTTATCAAAACATATTTGAAATAAATACTGTTAGGATTAAGTTATTTACATGCAAGAAATGTCATCCATAGAGATATCAAAGGAGGAAACATCCTTATTGATAATTCTGGTCGATGTAAACTAGCAGGTAATTTCAATCTAATTTTAGATTTTGGCAGCAGTAAGTAATTGAACGATATAACACACGATAGTATAGGATCCATCTGTGGAACTCCCAATTTCATGGCTCCTGAAGTAATTAATCAGGAATAGTATGGTAAAAAGGCAGATATCTGGAGTCTTGGTTGTACCATAATCGAAATGGCTACTGGATAACCACCTTACTCTGAGTATAAGGATGCCATTGCAATCATGGTGAAAATAGGCAAATCAACCAAACCACCCCCAATTCCAGACTAATTACAATCTACTGAAGCCAAAGATTTCCTATCTAAATGTTTATAAATAGATCCTAAAAAAAGAGCGACCGCAGATGAACTTTTAAAGCATCCATTTCTAGAAGAGCCTAAATAACATTCAATGTTGAAAAAGACTCCCTCTTACACAATAAATTAGAAATAACCACAATCCCATAAATATCAACCTAAAAATTCATTTTTGTTGGATGCTGAGAGTCAAGATCAACAAATCGAACCCGTCTCACCCTAATTTCAAGGATAGCAAGGCTAATCTTCTACTGAAACTAACTAAATTAAGGTCAAAAAGAAGAAGGAGAAACCTCAATATCAATTAGTAATAGAACCAGAATAGAATGATTGTATTCTAACAGGATAGGAAACTAATATAGTGGATAATCGAGATAAGTTTCAATTCTCAGAGTTTAATGAGCTCAATCCTAAAGAGCCATACATAAAACCATTTAATAAAGAGAACTAAGATAATTTATAAAAAGAGTTGGACCTAATCCTAGGTTAATACATAAGTTGAGATACTCAACAAATTGATTATAATTTCTCTCTTAATTAATATGGTGTTATTTATTATAGAATTATCATAAAATGCTTTTTATATAATATCAGTTACAGCATTCGTCTAATAATTCCAAATTTAAACCTAAAAGTAATAGTTCTCCCTTTTATGACTGCAGAATTAATTAACAACATAATTTTTATGCCTAAGAGATGAGTTTGAGTGTTTACTATTCTTATTTTAATGTAGCCAAATCAACCAAAACAATAATAATATTGTTTTTCTAAATTAAATTTCATCTGTTGCTCAAATTTATTCTCCTATCTCTGATTAAGAACCCTTTTGGGTCTCTATTAGCTTTATTTAGAAAATCAAAATCCCTTGCAATTCTCTTTTTAATAACCTATTTTATGGGAAATTTCAATAATGTTGCTTTTCTCTTTGATATTATTTTCATACTGATCTTAATGCTAGGATCAAATATTATTTGACAATACTTGATAATATTTAAGATGTGATTGTAAATCTTACAAATAAGACTATAGGAAGACATCAGTAATTTAAATGTATTATTACATTTATGCCAGTCTTTTCAATGTATTCTTTTAACTTTTGTTGTAATGCTCAAATAAATAGTTGAAATAACTAATTTTGGCATTTCTATTTATTTGAAAAGAAATTAATAAACTAACATCAAATAGAATGAGTCGAGCATAAATTTAATATTTGGTTAAAAAGCAGCAATATTCAATAGATGATGATATGATTAGAGTAATCTTCAATAGCTTATTTTGGAGTCTTGATAATTAAATTTCAATTGTAATAATTCAAATTATAATAAATGATTAATATGAATTATAGAATTAATGTATAAATATTATCAAGATTGGCATTCAAAGCACTTTCTAATGATCATGCCTACTTGCTATTGAAACTGCTTTATTTAAGAGTCTCTTTATTAAATTTTTTAAAGAAGTTTCATCTAAAAAATAGTTTGATTGGTCAACTAGTTCAATTAATCTAAGATATAAGGATTGCTTTCTGATTTGGTTTCAACATTCTTAAGAAATTATTAGATTTAAGTGTAATTTATTTAAAATGGTACTTCATTTTCAATTTTATTATGATTATTATAATTATTAGTTTAATTACTATTGTTATTGTTGTTATTATTACTATTATTATTATTATTATTGATATTAATATGAATTTGATTGTTTTGCTTAATATTTTCTTTAGTGGTTTTCTTGTTAAATGTAATTTACCCTTCTCTAATTTTGGACGTCACTAAATGCAAGCCCATATTTAATCCTCTTAAGATATTATCAGGGGCACGCTCATCATTTTATGTTTAACTCTATTGGGACTGTAAATGGTAGCAACTGGTTTGGAATTCGCCTAATTGCTGAGTAACTTCTTAAACAACCTTCTTTTAGATGTTGAATTCTTCGTTCACACTTAGTTCTTTGTCCTCTGTATATAACTAATTTAATATATGAAATTTGATGCCATACTTTTGCATATTTGGCATTTTCGTAAGTTTAATGCTTATTTCCAAAAGGGTCCAAAATAACAATTCTAATTTTTGATTCAATTTCAACTCTTTCTCTTCTAGAAGTTTTTTTCTCACTTCTCCCCTCTAATTCATAAGTAAGCAAAATGGCTTTGCATGTGCAAGGTTTCGTTTGGAACTTTTAAGCCACCTAAATCTGATTCAAATTGCTACTTCGGAAAGAGGGATTTTCTCCACAGTTAATGCATGCAAAATTTATGCACGTAATTCGGAAGAAATTTTGTTGTAAGGGCGCTTAGTCCTTGCAGTATCATCAGTAGTCTACAGAGATTATATGACAGCTCCTTTGAGATCCTATTCCATTATGTTTATTTAATAAATGAGAATAGATGGAGAGATTTTGGAATGGACTAATTTCCTCAGAACATCTATGGACCCCCTTCTAAGAATAAAATAAATATTCTTGTGGTATAAATGTTTCAAATTAATAAAATTTAAAGATTTATCATTTTATCAATATTTTATATAATTTGAATATTACACAGTCATATTGACTTCAACTGAGGATCTCCTATATTTATGGAACTGACTTTATTAATTATTCATATCATCTCTTTAAATTATTCAATATTTAAGAGTTCTGGGAGCATATTATAATTAAATATCAATACTTTAACTATTGTTAATTGGAAATATTAACAAAAAGAGTGAAATCCCTTTGATTTTAAAATTTATTAAACAATTAAAAATGAAAACCTAAGAAGACCACTCAGAGTGATTAAATTGATAGAAACTATCTTCAAAATTCAAAATACTCCTTCATAACAAGAATCAACAAATTACAAAAGGCAATAAAAGACTTGAAATCAGTTTACAATAATCAAAAACAATTGATGAATAAAGGGATCAAGCTGAGTTGGTTTAATAAGGAACATTAAATTCTGATGTACTTGCTTTCTGTAAGAAATAAAATCATTCTGAATGAAAATAAGAATACAACACAAAAAAACATAACATAAAATGAATTCTAGAAGAAACCTTAGAAACTTATGTGAAAGCTATCAAATTGAATAATTCAGTGAACGAAAACTCTTAATAGGTATACTTAACTAAACAACATTAAAAATAGAAATCTTATGTATTAAAATAGATTGGAAAATTAAAATTTCGATCCATTTAATGCGTGAATAACTATTTTATTGAAACACTCTATTTCTAGATAAAGTACAATAAATACAAGATCTGACTCCCCATAAATTATATTTGAGGATAAACTAAATAAGGAACAAAAGAATTTTGTATTAAACTAATGATGAATGAAGTTTGAGATTTAAATTTAGCACTAGTAATCAGATTGTGTGAATAGAGTATAAAACAATTCATATTGTTATAAATGATAATCAAATAAATATTATTAGGACATGTCCTATTTGTAGAACTACATAAATAATAAAAGTCAAATAAACTAAGTTAATAAATTTTAATAAAATGCTCTATGGCCATAATTTTGATTATTGAAATATTTCTTGTTAATATCTCATTAATAACTCAAGTTCTATAGATTAAATTAGTAAATATAAAAGGAATGTTTTCAATATTAGTATAAAATTTATATATTTATATTATAAATAATAGTTTTCTAATTAATAATTGATGCTGAATTTACTATTCATTTTAATGATCTCTATTTGTAGTGCAGCTAATAATACGTCTGTTTGTTTAGAAAAACTAAAAGAATTGATTGAATTACCTTTTGATGAATAGCTGGAAACCATCTTACCTTATTATTATTTATCAGGGGATTGGGTAGGCAAGTTTGGATACTACGATAGATGCTAGAGAAAGGACCACTCTTATACTTCTGTCGAAATTGATTAGCAACTCTACAAATAATATTATGGATTTTGTCATTCTAATTAGTGTTAAGCCAAAGACTTCAATTCTAAGGATGGACAAGAAACTATAAAAAAACTATTGAATGACAGTGGAATTGCAAACCTATTCAAAGTAAATTAATACTCTCAATGTAGATTGATCCATATACATTAACATTAAACTTCTACGATCCTTCAACTTATTTTCCACAACTTGGTTGGGAAACATATGTTACGTCAGGAGTATTATTAATCCTATTTATCATGATTATTATGGATCCTATATTGAGATTTGTAACAGCATGTTAAAGCAAGCATACTCCAGATGTTAGAGATCGGAGATCTTCTAGTCTACAGAGTCCGTACGGACTTCGAGAAGGCTTACAGGATAAAAGTCAATACTAACCAACATCTATCATTAAAGATTTCTCAATCATTGTGAATTACAATAAAATAATCAATCTCAAAACAATAGATCCTAATCTAACTATTTTTAATGGAATCAGAGCCATTTCATTTATGATGGTTGCTTATGGACATGTTAATGAAATGACTGCAATTTCTACATATATTAATGAAGTTAATTTGCAATATAAGTCCTGGGTTATTATCATACTCTATGATATGATGTATGCTGTGGATATCTTCTTTTGGGTGGGTGGATTCTTTCTAGGTTATGTCATGTGTGAAGAACGAAAAGCAAAAACTCTACATCAAAAACCATCATCAATATTCTTAAGTATTACTCATCGATTAATGAGAATTTGGCCATGTTATTTATTGTGCATAGCCATAAATTCATACATAATCCCGTATTTAGGAAGTGGTCCTAGATGGTTTTTAGAAGAGAGAGCAACACAATGTCCAGGGGGAGCATGGAAGAATGCCTTATTTATAGATAATTTTTATGAAGATTGGCTCATATGTTTCGGTTGGGGTTGGTATTTAACATGTGATTTTCAATTATTCTTAACATGTCTAATACCAATAATAATATATTGCTTTGATTACAAGGTTTTTTCAAAAATACTCATTATTTTGATGATTATTGGTACTTTAGGATGGGCTTATTATCTTAGTGTTCATTATGATTTTCTTATACCAGGGCGAAATACTTATAATCCAAATTATTATTACAAATTTTATGTTAGTTCTTATGCTAGAGCGCCACCTTACTTTTTAGGTTTACTGATTGGGATACTTTATAGGGAATTCAAGCAATCAAAAAAAAGTGGATAAGCTGCGTATTTGCAGCAATTTAGAGATTATGCTCAAAGAAATGGGTAGAGGTTGATAATGCAATTGTGTTGTTATGGATTGGGATTCGGGATAATGTCATATCTGTTTTTTGGATGGAAGAAAGAGTTCAATCAGATTGAAATGAGTTGGCCTAAATGGTACTAGCATATTTATCATGCATTTTGTAGATTTTTATTTACTTTCGGATTGACATTGATTGTTCTACCCAATTTAGTTGGGGCCTATGATTTGTATATATAATATTCTTATTGTAGATTAAATTCTAAATTTATGAATAACACTTTATTTAAATTTATGGCCAAAATCTCTTTTACTATGTATTTAGTACATCTAATGATAATATTAATATTGACTGAGACATTCTATGAGACTCCTACATTTGCCCAATTAGACTTAATAACTTGCTTTGTATGTGCGGTGGTTCTTTCGATTTTTTTTGGTTTGTTTTTGTCACTTTTGGTGGAGTTGCCATTTGGGAATCTGGACACTAGATTAATAAAAATTATGATGAGACCAAAAAGGAAGGTGGATACTTTATTAGATTGATTTATTTTTGATGAATTAATTTATTAATATTGAAAAATTTATTATTTTTAATTTTTATTATAGAAAATGAGATTGAAAAAAATCAAAAAAATAAGGGTAGGCTTTTTAATTTTGATTTTGATAATGATCATTTTGGAGTCTTTGATGGATACGATGTGCGTAATTAGGAAGGAGGCTCATTTAACATTATATATTTTCGATATTGTTCTATATGCGCTCATTATTTATGTTGAAGCACTGCAAATAGATTACTTGGTTTAGGTAATAAAGAAGTAGAAGCATCCACATATAAGAGGAAACCTAAAATTATATGAAACTTTTGTGTCTTTATCGATGCTATTTCTATTAAATCACATTTGTTTCCAAAGTTATTTTATGTATATTAATCGTGGAACATAAGAATGTTATTATTTATCCTAGGAAGGAGAGAGAAAATGGATTATATTTTTGTTTACTTTATTCATTGAATTATTAGTCTTCATAGATTTGCTAATAGTTTGTATTTAAGTTTGTAGAATAATTAAAAAGGATACAATTAGAAGCTCCAGTTTTTTAGTACTCCATAAGTACTTTGAGGATTATTTGGCATAGGAGCGAGGATCAAAATAACCTGCCAACTCTTCGTTTGAATCCTTGGGAAACTTCTGAATGTTTTTGTTTTTATATATATTTTATACAAACAATCAAATTGTGTATGATCTCTTTCTACAAGAATGATAATTAGAATCAATATTGGAGAGAGACTTCATGGAATTGGTAATGAAATAGAGTCTCCAAAAAAAACGGAACTTGTTTATATTAAATTAGTCTTTATTATTTATTATTATTTATTGATTCAAATGAAGAAGTTATAAGTTTACTTCTTATTGATATTGATGATTGCCATGACATGTAATTGTAGTTTAACCAAATTAGTTTAAGAGCAAATTAAACTTGGAAGCTATGTTCAAATGCATGATCTAGAAAAAGTGGGTTCAATAGAGTTCACCAATCTAAATTGTGACTAAGACTTACTTAAATTGCAGCAATCCTTACAAACTTGGATGGAAATATTAAGAAATAAAGATTATTTAGAGGATGATGTGAATAATCTATCAGCATTAAAACTCGTTATTGCAAATATAAAAAACAATCAGAATCCAGAATTGCCAAGTATATCATATCTAATAATACAGAACTCTTCCAATACAAGTAATCCTATGTTGAACTAGTAAATTCAATCGGTTCAACTGAACAAACAGCATTTGATTAATGGAGACAAGAAGGACCATAAAAGCTAATTCAATCAATCAATCTCATTGAACAAGCTGACTCATCCCAAGATATTCTAGAGTATTGCACTCAACTCGATTCCATGATCAATCTTCTCATTAATGAGAGAGAAGAATTAAAACAACAAATCAATACATCACAAGTAATAATTGTACAATTCACCATAGTTGGTAGTGGACTAACTGGAGCAAAAGTCAAAGGAAGTTTAACAAGCACTTGAACAATGCAAATTACAATCATAATAAAAGACCTAAGCCAAACAAGGAGAAATTTAATAGACAATAACAATTGAGGACAACGGATAAATACATGAGTCATCTGTGGATCAGGAGAAACCAGTATTTGAAAACACTATAGAAAAAGAGTAAGAGTTCATAGAATATGGATATGGATATTGGTTAAGATTTTTGACTCTCTATCCTAAACGATTAGAAAATGGAAAGGATGCCCCTTGGTATTTTTTAAGTAGATTAACTTCGAATAAAAATTATTAAAATATAGCAATGAATGACAGACTATTGGCAATATGGTTAGGTTAGGGATTCTATCATTTCACTACATGTGATGAAATATAAAATCAACCAAATATCGTTTAAAATATCAATCATCATGATGACATTGAAGGGTAATGGACTTATATTTATTATTCATACAATTCTATTTCAAAATAAGCAGTTGCAATTATTCAATACGGATAAGAATAACCATAATAAATTACTCACAATGTTCAACACACAAAGTCTAAATACTTAAGATTCCTAGTTGGTGGTAAAGACAATAATTAATATCCTGGATTCAATGGTCAATTCTCATCAATATTCTTATCAACTAACCCTGGTGTCTTTATTTCTACAATTGCTAAATTTAGTGAATCATTCAAAACAGTGAAATTACCTACTCAAGATTTTGAATCTATATTTAGAGTTTAATTAATAGATTAAGAAGTCACTAGAAATCCTTCCCTTGAAGGTGATTACATGGCAGTTGGAGGAGGAACAAAGAAATTTCCTCTTGAATATTCAATTAGTGGTTGGTTCAAATGGGAAGAGATTGTTTAATAAGTGTGGCATTCAGTCTTTAGAGTCTAAATTAACAAACCATCAACTGATAAGTTTCTTGGAGACAGAACATTGTGTATGTTCATAGGAACAGCATAAGGAGGAATATTCCATTTTCCTACTTATACTTATTAAAACATGAAGGGAGAGGGAACTTCCAATTTAGTCAATAACATTCACCACAATAACAAACATTTGGATTGGTTTTTTGTGTATTTTGGTTATTCTAAGAAACTAAAAAAGGCATTTGTTTAAGTAAGGTTGTCGACTGGAATTGAAACCTTAGAATACAATGATGTTAACCATTACTATACACCTCAATTCCATACTTATGTTGGAAAAGATGAGCATTTTCCAGGCTTCAATGGTAAAATAGCATATGTAAATTTTGTTCTTGGGTCTGGTTCTTATAGAAATAAACCAGATTTCATTATAAAGGATGACTTGTTTGGCTATGAAGTTGGAGACACTAATCTTATTAAAAAGGTTTAGAAGGTGAATGAATAGAAATTACCAGCTGATGTAAAATAAGAGGAACCTATCAAACCTGAAGAAGTGAAGCCAGCATTCTAAGATAATGAAGATAGGGAAGTATCTTTTGAATCCACTGCACCTGTGCTTGAAAAAGAATACGAAGAATGTCCCTAAGTTTATGGATATGGATTTTGGCTTAGATTTATGCATGCTTATCCTAAAAGGCTTCTGTAGGGTAAAAATGCCCCTTGGTATTTCATTTCTCGATTGACATCCAATAGAAAATATGATAATGTGTAAATGGGTGATAGACTACTAGCTATATGGTTGGGACAATCATTTTATCATTTCACCACCTGCGATACACAAAAGAACCAAGCTAATATGATATCAAATATCGATTATCCAGCAGATATTGAGGGAGTTTGGACATACATCCATTATTCATATAGTAAATAAACTCAGACGGCTAATTCATTTATAAGATATTCATAATCTGATATTTAATCCTCAAGTTTCTAAGCTTAACATCCTGATATTGATTATTTGAAGTTCATTTTTGGAGGAAATGATTAAAATAGATATCCAGGATTCAATGGATTCATATCTAAAATTATGATTACAATTTCAAAAGATAACTTTCTTTCAACCAAAGAAGAATTCATAACATTTGTGTCTAAATTAGAATAACCCAAGGTTGGTCTCACTGATTTAATTACTTATTAATTGATTGAAAATGAAACTCAACGATAAGATTCTGATGAATCTCTTGTTAAAACTTTAAATGACAACAATTAGAGATTTCCTCAAGAATATGCCATGAGTGGTTGGTTTAAATGGATTGGTCCTTAGAGAACTCCATGGCACAATATTTTTAGAGTATAAATCCAAACACCTTCAACAGACATTTATTTGGGAGATAGGACTTTATGCATGTGGCTTGGTTCTATTGAAGGAGGAGTATTACACTTCCCAACTTATACATATGATAATACTAATTCTAAGGGCAATCCAAACTATTATAAAAATATCAAACACAATCAAAGACATTTGGAATGGTTTTATGTGTATTTTGGATATTAGAAATCTTCTAAACAAGCATATGTCTAAGTAGCTTGGCCTAAAGACACTCAAGATATATTGTATTAGAACATCAACCATTATTTGACTCCCTCATTTTACATTTTTGTGGGAAAAGATAACTTTTATCCAGGTCTATCAGGCAAATTAGCGTATGTGTATTTCAACCTTGGTAATGGGTCATTTAAAATGAAAAATGAAATTACAGATATCGTTGAGTCCTATTTGAAAGGCAGTGTGGTTATAAAACCTTAGATCTCAAATACTTAAAAAAAAGAATAAGAACAATCTACTTAAGAAATTAAATAGGTTAATTAAGACATTAAAGCAGTTAACCAAGAAACTAAATAAATTAATCAAGAAACTAGATAAACTAATTAAGAAGAGAAATAAACTACTTAAGAAACTAAATAAGTTAATCAAGAAATTAAATAAAATAATTCAGAAACTCAACAAGTTAATTAAGAAACTAAATAAGTTATTTCAGAAACTAAATAAATTAATCAAGAAACTCAATAAATTAATTAAGAAGTGAAATAAACTAATCAAGAAACCAAATAAATTAATCAAGAAACCAAATAAGCTAATTAAGAAATGAAATAAACTACTTAAGAGACCAAACAGGTTAATTAAGATATAAAATAATCTAATTCAGATACTAAAGAAGTTAGTCAAGAAACTAAATAAATTAATCAATAGACAAAATAAACTACTTAAGAAAATAAGCAAGTTAATCAAGAAGTTAAATAAGAAACAAAATCAGTCAATTAAGAAACTAAATAAGTCAATTAAGAAACATAACAAACCAATTAGGAAACTAAATAAACTACTTAGGAAGTTAAATAAACTAACTAAGAATCTAAATAAGTTAATTAAGAAGTAAAATAAACAACCTAGGAAACTAATGAATATAGTAAATAAGTTAATGAATAACTTAAATAATCTAATGAATAAACTAAATAAGTTACTTAAGAGATTAAATAAGAAGATTAGAAACAATAAACAACCATTCCTTTTGATCATGATACTATTAAAGAAGGCTATTCAGATACACCAGGATTAAAACCTGGAAAGATTGATCAATCAGAATAGTAAGAGTGTTCAGAATAAACAAATGACAAAGACACTCCTCTTGATAAACCTATTGAAAAGAAACCTGTAACTCGTACAGTTTAACAGTAAGAATAAACCTCAGAAGAAGCTTAAGCAATCATTATAGATTCCAAAGAAGTCAAAGTAGATTAAAGTCTAAGTAGTTCTCAATAAAACTAAGAATTAACTAAGAAAGTAGATCAATAAATTGAGTCAAGTCAAAAAACTACGCAAGAAACTTAATAAGTTACTTCAAAGACAAATGAAACTACTTCCTAAACTAACTCAATAACATAATAAACAAATGATGCATCCTCTATCACAAATACACAAACCTAATAAACTAATGAGACTATTTAATAAAATAATAAAACAATATAGGAAACAAATGAAACCAATTCTTAAAGCAATAAAACTATATAAGAAACAAGTGAAACTACTTAATAAAACAATAAGACAATTTAAGAAACAAATGAAACAACTTAATCCAATAATAAAACAGTGTAATAAACAAATGAGACTGTATAATAAGTTAATCAAACAGTTTAATAGACAAATGAGACCGTTTAATAAGTTAATAAAACATAATAGGAAACTAGTTAAACTACTTAATAAACTACTTAATAAAATACTTAATAAACAACTCAATAAAATACTTAATAAACAACTTAATAAAATACTTAACAAACAACTTAATAAACAACTCAATAAAATACTTAATCAGTAAATTAATCAACATAATAATCCAATTCATAAACAACTGAATCAAAATCTACTTAAACAACCTAAGAAATCAATAATTCATCTTAATAAATTGATAAAATCACCTAAGAAACAAACGAATAATAATAAGAATAACATGATTTCAAAATTATTGATCATAAAAACGAAGAAACGATTGATTAATAAACTATAGATATGCCAACATAGGAGGATGATTATTGTGTTTAAGATCAAGATGATGAATAAGAGGATGTTAAAGAAATTAAGATTATTCCAGGATAAACCTATGAAAATTAAATATCAAATGACAAAGAAGGAAAGAATCCCATCGTTGACTAAGGAATAACAGTGGCAAATAATTATCAAGAATATGGGTATGGTTTTTGGATGAGATTCTTAACATTGTACCCTAGAGAATTAATTAAAGGAAAGGATGCTCCTTGGTATTTCATAAGTAGATTGACAAGAAATAAAAATTATGAAAATATTAAGTTGGGTGATAGGGTATTAGCAATATGGCAAGGAGCAGGATTTTACCATTTCACAACTTATGATGTTGATGGATTAAAGCCCAATGTGCTATTAAATATTGATTATCCAAATGATATTGAGGGTGTGTGGACATACATTTATTATTCGTACAGTACAGAACTTGATTAAGCTGTTGGACACATAAAATTTGGAAATTAAAAATTCACCACTATAAAGTAAAATGTGAAGCATGCTCCAACTACTTATTTGAGATTCATCTTAGGAGGTAACGACTAGAATAGATTTCCAAGTTTCAATGGAATTTTCACTAAAATAACTTTTGGCATAAAAAAGGGAACTTTTCTTCAGACATCAGAGTAGCTAATAATGAAATTAAACATTAATGAAGTGCCTTAGTAAATTGGGGAAGTGGCATAGAGTGTAAGGATGGTAGAAAACTAGGAAGCAAGAACTTCAGAGAATATGTATGAATACAAGGAAATAAGGAATAAGAAAGTTAAGTTTCCCTCAGAATATGCATTGAGTGGGTGGTTCAAATGGTCCACATTGATGGAAAAGGAATGGCATAACTTATTCAGAATATAGATTAGAAAGGAGTCCACAGACAGTTTCTTGGGAGACAGAACTTTGTCATGTTGGATTGGAAAGACTTAAGGAGGTGTGTATCAATTTCCCACTTATACCTACACGAATATGATTGGTAACGGGAATGCAAACTTATATAAAAACATCAATTTAAAGGATAGACATACAAAATGGCATTTCATTTATTTTGGATATTCAAAGATCAAGAGTTAGGCCAATGCTTATGTAAAATGGTAAGAAGATGAGGATTAACTATTGTATGAGAATGTGAATCATTATTATGTCAAGAGATTATATGCATATGTTGGTAAGGATAGGTTTTACCCAGGGTTGAATGGTAAGATGGCATATGTGGTTGTGAATTTTGGATTTGGTGCTTATAAAAATCAGAGGTAATTTGATGAAGAGATATTCAATTTCAATTTGGGAATGAGGGAATTGATGAGAAGTACTTAGGATGTGGAATTCTAGCCATCAATAAGATAAGAAAAAATGGAGTAGAGTGGTTTTGATTCAGACTAGGCTAGTTTTGAATAGGATGAAAATGGTGAGAGACCATTTACGTAATATGGTTATGGTTATTGGATGAGATTTTTGACACTCTATCCAAAGAAACTATTAAATGGTAAGAGTGCACCTTGGTATTTTGTGTCAAGAATGACATGGAATCAGAATTACAATGATATAAATATGGGGGATAGAGCCTTAGCAGTATTTTTGGGAAGAGGATACTATTAGTTTTCTACTTGTAATTTGATTACTAAGAATACAAATCAAGAATAGAGAATTCCTCATCCAGATGATATCGAAGGAGTCTGGACATTTGTCTATTATTCATACAATAAGGAATTAGGAAAGGCTGTTGGATTCATGAGATTTGGAAGTGACAAATTTTAATAGATTTAGCATACATAGGTTACACATTAGGATACTAAATACTTAAAATTAATTGTAGGTGGAACTGATAAAAGAAGATACCCTGGATTTAATGGTCAATTTGCTAAGATATCATTCTCATCCAAAGAAGGATCTTTTGTAGATCAAGAGAAGGTTTTGAAATCCTATACACTTGAGAGAAGAGTGTAAAAAATTGTAACAATGAATGTGTTGGGAGATTAATAGTAGAGGAAATCAGGTGATGAAGGTGTGTTTGCTTAAAGTGATAAAGTTGATTTACCAACCGAATATGCAATTAGTGGTTGGTTCAAATGGTTACAAGTGGATCAATAGGAACCTTTGCATAGTATGTTCAAAGTAACAATCAGAAATCCTTCAGATGATTAATTAGGAGATAAAACCTTAGTGAGTTACGTAGGATAGAATGAGATATAGTTTTCTACTTATAGTTTCGAGAATATGGATGGAAGTGGTAATAAAGACATTTAAAGAAAGATTGAGCATAAGAATAGGCATTATAGATGGTTCTTTGTTTATTTTGGATATTAACATGAAACATCGACTTGTCATGTCCATATTTAATGGTCGGATGAGATGTCTTAGTAAGGATTCGCACACATTAATCATTACTTGACTAATTAATTTTACATCTATGTTGGTAAAGAACCTCTTATTGCTGGGTTCAACGGATTGATTACTTAAGTTAAATTCAACATGGGTGAAGGAGCATTCAAATAAAGTACTGACTATAAGGATCAGGACAATATATTTGGTTTTGATTTGCAAACAATTAAGAAGGAAGTTAAAACATTTGATATCACTAAATCTAAGGAGAAAATTATGATAGACTCAAATAGTGACGAGGAATCTAATTATCTGAAAGTGTTCAATAAAGAGGAGTTGGATGAGGTGTTTGAATATGGATATGGATTTTGGTTAAGATATCTAAGGAATTATCCAAAAGTGTAAATTGAAGGGTTAAAGTAGGATTGGAGTTTCATCAGTAGATTGACTAAGAACGATGTTTTGTAAGATCTTACACTAGGGGACAGAGCTCTGGCAATTTGGCTGGGCAAAGGATTCTATCATTTTACTACTTACAATTAATAGCTCCCTAATATCTTCACTAATGTGAATCATCCTGCAGATATCGAAGGTTTATGGACATTCATTCATTACTCACATAATCTTAATAAGGAATAGAGTGTATCTTTTATTTAATTTGGTAATGATAAACCAATAAGGTCTGCCTAATAGAGTGTTCAAGCGATACCAACTATTTTGAAGTTCTATTTGGGAGGTAGACACTTGACTTACAAGGGATTTAATGGATAGATAAGTGGGGCTTATGTTAGTGTGAATAAAGGCATTTATGTAGAGAGTGAGGAGAAGTTCCAGGATTTGTTAAAATCTATTCCTTAACCTGCAACATACAGAGTAGAATTGATCTAAAATGTGTTGGTGGAGAAAAGCACAAGATTTGATATGAATTCAGAAGCGAAGCCATTTGAGTTTGAGAATTAGAAATTTAGTGGAGAATACTCTTGGAGTGGTTGGTTCAAATGGTCGAGTGCCATTTAAAATGCATGGCATTTGGCTGTTAGATTGTCGACACTTGAAAATTATGAAAATAAAAATAGTTTGGGAGACAGAACATTATGTTTATGGATAGGATAGTAAGCAGGTGGAATCCTTTATTTCTCTACCTATACTTACACAGACTTATATGGTTCGGGAAATCCAAACAGTGTTTAAAATGTTCAATACAAGGACGATATTGCCAAATGGCATTTTATTTATTTTGGATATTCAAGAGTTTAATAGTTGGCTTATGGTAAAGTTGAGTTTGGTTATAGAAAAGAGTAAGTCAATTTTGAGCATCACCATCATTATTTACCTAACAAATTCTTTTTGTCAATAGGCAAAGACAAATGGCATGATCCTTATTTAGGCAGCATAGCGTATTTGAGATTCCAATCAGGAGAAGGAGCATTTTATTAAGGAGAATTTAACGAGGTCAAAGATGACTTATTTGGGAATAAATTAGGATCAATGGAATTGTTGAAATCTAAGATAAAATTTGATATTGATAAGGATGCTATCACTAAAATGTTTGCATCTCCATAAGTAGATTAAAAAGAACCTATATTCTCTAAGATATTTAATGAGGAAGAATTGGACAATGTTTCTGAATATGGATATGGATTTTGGTGTAGATTTTTAACAAGGTATCCAACCTAACTTATTGAGGGATTAAAAGCAGATTGGTCATTCATATCAAGATTGACTAAAAATTAAAATAAAGGAGACATGAATTATGGTGATAGAACTTTGGCTATTTGGTTGGGAAAGGGATTCTATCATTTCACTACTTATTCCCACAAATATGCTAATGTGGTTCATAATATTGATCATCCAGCAGATATTGAAGGTTTATGGACATTTATTTATTTTTCACACAATCTATACAAAAAGGAAAGTGTAGCCATGATTAAATTTGGAGAAGGTAAAGTAATCAAAGGAGTGATTCCAGCCATTCATTAAGCTCCAACCTTCTTGCAATTATATGTAGGTGGTAATAATATGAAATATCCTGCCTATAATGGTTAGTTTGCAGGTATATTGTTTTCCATTGGAGAAGGAATCTTCTTGTCTGATGAGAGTGATTTAATAAAATTGTTAGATAAATTGAAAAAACCAAATGATTATAGTTTGAAGTTGTCGACTAAAGATATGATTGCAAAACCCAAGTAATCTTTTGTTGCTTAGGAAACAGTATTTGATGATGTCCCATTGGTTGGACAATATTCTTGGAGTGGTTGGTTTAAATGGAAATAGATGGGATAACAATTCCCTTGGTACCTGATGGTTAGATTAGCAATAATTAAGAATACTAGTGATATAAAATTATTGGGAGATAGAACCTTAATGGCATTTATGGGTCAAGGATACATTCACTTTACAACTTATACTTATAAGAATATTTACGGAGAAGGAACACCTAATATTTGGTAGAACATTAATCATGATGGAGAACACATTTAGTGGCATTTTGTATATTTTGGCTATTCAAGAGCTTAAAAATTGGCTTATGGAAAAATCTATTTTGATGATAGGGTTGAGTCTGTTTCATTCAAAGATACTAATCATTTCGTTCCAAATTTATTTGCCTTAACAATAGGAAAGGATAAATGGTTTAATTAATACAATGGAGATATCGGATACTTTAGATTTAATGCAGGAGAAGGTGCTTTTTAAATGGAGAATCATGACAAGGCTGAGAATGATGCATTTGCATTCAAAATTGGAAGACTTTCAACTATCAATCCAAATAAACCTCCCCCTGAAGAAGTCCGAAAGCAAGAGTACTTTGACAATTCTTTGGATAGCGAAACAGTCTATACATTTGAGATTTCTAAAGATATTTACGAATAAAGTTCATTTTCACATGTTCCTGAAATAATAGGAGGAAGGGGAGAGATTACTAAAAATGACGAGTAAATTGAAGAGGAGAAAAAAGCAATTGAGAGATAAGAGTAGTAGCTGAAGAAAGAGGCCGAGAAGTTTTAGAATGAAAAATCAGTTGGAATCATTGAAAATCATTACTAGTTCCCTGATTAGGATAAACAAAGAGTGGTATCAGATGAAGCAGTTGATATTATTAAACCTCATTCAGAATAAACAAAGAAAGATGGAGATCCATCAAAATAAACATAATAGTAGTAGTAGTAGGAATATAAATCAGATTGGGATGGATTAAGGTTCTATGGATATGGATTCTATTTGAGATATCTTACTATGTATCCACAATAATTGAGAGATGGTAAAAATGCCCCTTATTATTTCGTATCACGATTAACTTGGAATCCTTAGCCTCAAGATATCGGTATGGGAGATAGAGTGCTGAGCATATTCTAAGGATAAGGATCATACAGTTTCCATACTCTAGATAAGCCATCCAATAATCCTAATTTAAGAACAATTATTCCATATGGTGATATCGAAGGAGTGTGGACATTTGTCTATTTCAGTTACTCTCAAGTCGATAAGAAGGCTGTGGCATTTATAAAGTATGATGACAGTGCTGAAATATACAGAAGGGACATTATTTGTAATCACGGGGATGTTGAATATTTAAAGCTGATGATTGGAGGAAAATAAGGTATTTATTAGGGATTCAATGGTTAAATTGCCAATTATGCATTTAAGTATGGCAAGGGAGCTTATATAAATGAGTTTGAATTGTACAAGAGGATTCTATCGAGTCGAATTCCTCATCCTGTGGCTGATGATTATCAATTCAATCAAATTAAAATTATTGAGACTTAAGTTGGTTTCAAAGGAGATGAATAAACTGATAGTATTAAAGAAATAGAGGGTCACTTCTAGAATGAATATGCAATTAGTGGATGGCTGAGATGGGATTAACCGATTGGAGTTCCGTACTTTGCTCTTTTTAGATTGAGTGGATTTAAAGTGGAAGATAACAATGATTCTAAATTAGGAGATAGAGACATGATGCTATTCAAACATACCTAATATTACCTATTCTAGTCGTATAATTATCATAATTTGAATGGAGCAGGAGACTTTGCTATTAGTTGGCAAGTGAATCATCAGGAATGGGAGTAATTCTGGCACTTCTTCTATATTGGCTATAAACGAGAGAGCAAGCAACTCTATTATTATGTCTCATTCATTGATGATGAATTCGACCAAGTGCATAATAACATCCATCATTTCATAGTTCACAAGCACTATCTCCAATTCGGTAGAGACTACAGTAAATTCTACAGCAAACACAGAGGATTCACAGGATAAGCTACTCAGGTCCTCTTAAGTTATGGTAAGGGATCTTTCCAAACCAAGCCCTTTAATAATGATATCTTCATGTATCTCAAAGGAGTCAAAGAATTGTTCTCATCTCTGGAATTAATTACTAGAGAAAGCGATCGAAACAAATTGTTGATTGGGGATGCCAACAAACAAGGCACACTAATGGATCTTGAAATTAATGACGGAACTGATTATAACATTAGAGGATTGAATGAGTATGGATGGGCCTTATGGTGCAGATGGTCTAGAACATTAACTCGACCCATTCAATATAAGGATGCTTGGTACTCACTTGCTAGAATTGCCAACAGGAAAGGACATCAAGATCTATAAGTCCCAGGAGATAGAACCCTAGCAACATGGATAGGCATGGGATTCTATCTTTTCAGTACCTACACTAGAGGAGTCTTACAATTGACTGAATCAATCCCTTATGGAAAATTTGAAGGATAATGGAATTTTATTGTGTTTGCCTATCGTAAAAACGTGGCTAAGGCCAGTGTCTTGTTTGGACAAGATTCCACAATTGTAGAGAAAGAGTTTAAGGTCAAGCACAACATGATTAAGGATTATTTAAGGTTCGTTGTGGGCTCTGAATTCGGTTATAAATTCTTTAATGGCCATGTAGTAAATATCTAACTTAGAATGGGGAGTGGAGCGTATCTAAGCAAGGAAGAAATAGTGATCATTGCTAATGGAGAGTTAGGATTACCTGCAGAATCCAAATATGATTAGACTAGAAAATCTATAGAAATTGTGAAGGATCGAATTCCTAATTCTGGGCAAGGCAGAGAATTTGATATTAAAGAAGATGTTGCTTAAGGAAAATTGGAATATTCAATATCTGGATGGGCCAAATGGGTGGATATCCCAGCCATCTAACCTTGGTATATGTTGTATCGTGTGGCCTATTATGATTACAATGAGTTGTTGAATATGTAAATCCCAGGATCTAGAGTCTTTTAGTGTCATAAAGCCTATGGATTCTATCATTTTAATACATATACAGTCGACTAGGAGAATGGAGGAGCATGGTAAATTGTGAAGAATATTGATTACGATATAACCCAACATAAAAATTGGGTATTTTTCTACCAAGGGTATTCTCATTAAAAGCAGTAGGTTCATCTTTATGTTAAATTCCCAGGATTTGAAGAACATTATACATTTATCAACATTAATCACTTTATTGCTTAGAGATTCAAGGTCCATTTCCTATTGGATAGATGGAGTCCAGGATTTAATGGATTCCTTGAGAGTTGGTACTTTAATGTGGGTACTGGATCTTATAAGGAAAGTGAATATGGTATAGGGGAAAATACAGAAATTACATTTGGATTTGGATTGCATAAACCAGCTCAACCCAAGAATTGGCAATTTAATGATAATTATGCTTGTGGATTTACATAGTAAAATGTAGGTTAAGAGGTGGAATATAAAGATGATCTTCTAATAGATGGATTAGTTGAATATGGATATGGTATGTGGACTAGGTTTGCTTGGAACACTCCAATTAAAATGGTCAATAAACCAACATGGATGGCATTATCAAGATTGACAGTTAATCCAAACTATTAAGGAGATGCTGCATAATTGGGAGACAGGGCTTTGGCTATATGGGTTGGACCTGGATACTATCATTTTACAACTTCAACTAGAGGAAATTACAATGTAGTACATAACATAGAATATGATCAAATGTTGGATGGGTAATGGAACTATATTTGGTTTGGGTATAAACGTGTAAATGATAAGTTGGGAACTGCTGTTGGATATGTAGCTTTTGATGGTCATATAATTAGAAAGACTAATTTTGGTAATATTCTTCAACAACCATTGAATGACTATTTATATTTAGCAGTAGGAAGCTCAGGAAGATACTTTTTAGATAGGTATCATCAATTTAATGGTCACATTTAAAAAGTCTCTTTGATTTTGGGATCTGGTGGTTTCATCGAAAATGTAGATTTGTTGAGAAAGTAAATTCCATCTAAACCTGAATTTTTGAGAAATCAAAAGCAATTTACCAAAATAGTTATAGATGAAATGAAAAATATGAAAAGAGAAGAGTGGGTACCCGCACCTGTTGAATTCGCTGAAGAGTTCGATGGGGCTTATGAATATTCAGTGTCACTGTGGTTCAAATGGACTAAAACATATAGAGTGGCATGGGAAAATATATTCTCTGTCTCTTATAATGAATAAAATATTAGAGCTAATCACGCTAAACCTGGAGATAGAGTCTTATCTATGTTTTAATATGCAGATCACAGAATATTCTTTAGTACATATACAACTCCTGGTAATCATGATTAATTTGCTCAAATATACACTGAATGCCCAGTAGATATCCCATCATAATCTGAATGGGTTTATGGCTATTATGGTTATAGCAGAGATCAAAATAAAGTGATATCTTATCTATAAACTAAAACATAAAAATGCTTTAAGGCCTTATCTTGTATGCATAGAGTGCCTAAATATATGGGATTATACGTAGGCAAAGACGGTATTCACACTCCCTACAATGGTAAATTCAGCAAATTATATTTTATGGGACATGCAGGATCCTACATTGAAGGAAATTTCTAATCTTTTGGACCTTTTGCTGCTGGTGGAATATCAATAACAAAACCAGCCTATTTCTGGACTGATTGGAAGGAAAGATTTGAGATTGCTTATGATTAAAATAAAGTAATTGAATTAAAAGCAGAGGAAGTTGATGAATAGACTTCATATAGCATAGGCATGTGGACAAAATATTTTACTGCAATTCCAAAAAGACTGCTTCAAAAACCAGATTGGCTCCACCTTGCTCGATTGACTATAAATCCTAATCATAAAAATTATGAAAATCTTGGAGATAGAACTTTGGCGCTTTTTATTGGAAGGTAATACTATGGGTTCTTTACTTATAATTCTGCTAATAACAATCCGAATATTGTGTAAAATATTAGATATGATGATAATTTTGAGGGTGAATGGAACTTCATCTATTTCTCTTATAATTCTGAATTACAGTTGGCAACTGGTTTTGTAAAATTCAGTAAACTCGATAAAATTTAGAGAATTCAATTCAGAGACATATAACATAAACCTATTGATAACTATGCAAAATTGGTGATTGGAAATGAGTTCTAATATCAAGGATTTAATGGATAAATAGCCAGTCTATAGCTAGGATTTGGCAAGAAATTCTATGTTCATGACTCAGATGCTCTAAATAAAATAATCCTGGAATTCTTCAAGCCTCCAGGAGAAGATGAGGATGATAACAGAAAAGTCAATATTGTAGAGGAAGTGAAAGATAGAGCATTCAATAATGGACCTGAATATAGAGAAATCTTAGATTAGAAAGGTGCTGAAGAGTATGCCATGTATGGATGGTTTAGATATACAAGTACAACATTGAAGACACCCAATAACTGTATAATGAGATTAACCAATAATGAATAAGGTTATAGAGGTGAAATAAGCAGAGTTGGAGATAGAACACTATTAGTGATGTTGTAGCCAGGTGAGTATGTATTTGCTACTTATTCACTTGGTAATATTGATAGCGGATAAATTGTGAATATTCGAAAGCCCACTCCATATAAAACTAATCTTGGCCTTTGGACTTACATTTACTTTGGTTATCACTTTTAAAAAAGAAAGGCTTCAGGAATCATCAAATATCCAAGTGGTTATGCATTAGTTCCATACGATAATGTATTACATATGGTTCCAAATTATTTGTTATTCTTTTTCGGTGGAGATGGAATGCTTGGAGGATGGCACGGTTAGATGCAGAAGGTGAATTTGTTATTTGGCAGAGGATCTTTCGTAGATTCTACTAAAGGAAACTTTGCAGAAAAATTGCCAAATCTCTAGGGAGTGGAATCTAAGCCTTTGATTTGGGATGGAATAGACAATAAAATTATAGAAGTGCCATAACCTGACAGACCAGCATTGGATATTGTATTTAATAAAGATGTAAATGGATTCGTCGAATATGGATATGGATTGTGGACTAGATGGTTGACTACTATTCCAAAGAGAATTATAGAAAAAGCACCATTTCACTAATTGATTAGATTATGCAGTACGGAATAATACGAGGATGCTACATAATTTGGTAATAGAGTTTTGGCGATTTGGGTGGGTAAAGGTTATTATCACTTTACAACTTACAATAAGATTGGAAATAAAATCTCCACTTCTTAAAATATCAATTATGATGACAATTTAGAAGGAGAATGGAACTACATCTACTATTCATTCACTAATAAATAATAAGCAAGGGCTGTTGGATTTGTATATTTCAGTGAGTAATAAGGTACAGCCATCTCTCGAGTTGAGTTTTTAAATTTAGAACATGTGGCTCTTAATGGATATGCGAGGGTTGTGGCCGCAAATAAGGAGTTTGGTTATTAGCCATTTAATGGTATGATTGCAGATTTGCAAATTCATTTAGGAAACGGATTTATTGGTTCTAGAGAGTAATTGATCAAAGAAATCATTCAACTTAATCCAAAACCATCAATGAGTATTTAATCTAAAATGGATGTTAATTTGATTAATACTGAAGTCATCATAAAGCCAGAAGAAAAGAAAGAGATGAAATACAAATATGAATAATACAAAGGAGTAAATGAATATGCAGTATCTGGTTGGTTGTAATCTAAAGTAATGGGTTTGACAGATGCTTATAGAAATGTATTTAGATTGACTATCAATCCCCCAGAATTCTAAAAAGATAAATAAAGTGCAGGAGATCGAACTCTATCCTTGTTCTAAAGTAAGACTAAGTTAGCATTTTCAACTTACACTTATGGTATATTTGATACACAAGGAGATGATAACAACGAGTTTAATCGAATTATTAATTCTGGAAATAGCAATGGTGAATGGGTATTTGTTTACTTTGGATACTAATTCAAATCCAAATAGGCCTTTGCATATACCCTCTTCTTAAATCGATAAGATAGTGCTCAATTTAATAACATAAAACACTTTGTTCCTAATTAATTCTTCTTCTATTTGAGTAATGATGGATATTATCCAATTTTTGATGGTAGCTTATTTGATTGGAATCTTTACTTCGGAGAAGGGGCATTCACTACCAAACCAAAACAGATCATTAATCAATGGCCTATTGAACCAATTGGCGAATTTGAAGGTGTTATCTCAGCACTCTTATCAAATTAAGGTTTGAATTCTATGAAAATAATAAGACCTGAAAAAAAGGAAGATGAAGAAGTTGTTTTTAAAAATAATTTCCCTAAATCCGGAACAATTTCTGGAAATCCAGCTCCTCGTTCTGGTTAAACATAAGTTGAGAATAAAGAGTCAAAGCCAATATCTTAAACTATTGTTAAATAGCCTTAATCAGGATAGATTGATAGTGAAAAATAATAATAACAATAACAATAACAACAATAAAAATAACCTAGAAAACCATTATCTGGAATAGCAGATCAAAAATGAAAAAATTGTATTATAGAGCTATTCATATTTTAAAATATTATTATAACTAATATTAATAATTATTCACATTTTCTGATTTTCATCAATCTAAAGAAGCAGATTGAAATTAAATTAGATTCAATTGTTAATATAAGTTAGACAATTGAATTTAATGATCCACACCTTTCCAAATTAATTTAAATCTATATATAGAATAATAGATAATTTTAATATTATCAAAATTTAATTATATTGTTTATAAATACTTCCATATATTTATAATTTAGAGAAATTATATGATTGACCTATTTCTTAAAAGATGGATAATGCGTTCTACAATATAATTGTAAAATCACATATACTAACTGAATGTAGCTACAAATTGAAAATTTTTATGTATAAATAAATGATATATCTTTTTGAATAGATTCTAATCTCTCTCAATTGAAGGCATCCAGAAATGAGGACTCAATTTATGATTTGCTGCAAAAATTAAATATTATTATTTATGTGGATATTAATAATAATTTTATCAATATATATAATTATATAAATTGATTAAGAACGACAGAATTCCCTAAATAAATTAAAATAAATTAATATGTAAAACAATTACGACCAACTATTAGAAGAAACCAAAACAAAAATCCTTGCCATGGTTGATCTTAAACCAGAAAATCAATGGACTTTAGAGGCTAACAAAGATGGCTATGTAATTTAGACCAAAAACAATCCTGAAAATGGTCTAAAAATTAGCAGAACTGAAACCAATGCCGATGTAAATCCAGAGGAGTTTGTTAATTTTGTGATTGATATGACCAGAAAACATGAGTACGATTCACATTTACAAGAGGTATTATGTTAACTTATTGTTTAATAGGGAAAATTAATAGAAAAAGTGGATCAAAACACTTTCATATTTTATGCAAAGGGAAAGCCTCCTACATTCTTCGTAGATCCTAGAGACTTTTGTATGGTGAGTCGAGTCTATAAATTAGGTGAAAATCATTTTATGACGATATGTAAATATATAATAGACTTTATTAGCTAAATCAATTGAGCATCCTAAAGCACCAGTAGTCAATGGAATTCAAAGAGGAGAGGTTGTATTCTAGGCTTGGATTGTAAAGAAATTACCTAATGGACAAACAAATCTTATTAGTATAGCTAACATGAATCCAAAGGGTGACATTCCTAAGGCTCTGATTAATCAAGGTGCTTAACACTAAGCAGAAGGAGTCAAGAAATCAATTGAACATTGGATAAAGAATAAAAAAAAATGATTTATATAAAATTAGTATTCAAAAAATAATCATTAAAATAATATCGGGGGTAAAATTGACTAAATATCCATAAGTTTAATATTTTTAAATAATTTTGATAAATTGATTATTTATGGTATTTCTTCTAACATTCTATTAATTAAGATTTAAATGACAATTCAAATTTTTATTTGGAGGTTAAACATTTTTTAGTCTGAAAATTTACAAAGAAATTCATTTATTTTCAAAAATTTCAATTTTTCTGGCATCACACTATTCATAGCATTTCAAATGATACTCAGACTATAATCAACATATTAACCATAATTTTGTATAACTAATATTTGCTTCGATAAAATACTTGAAATTACTATCATATTATATTATTTATATTTGTAAATTTATATTAATATATTTTAATATATTAGAAAACTCCAATTTTTTCTGATATGTTGTATTAGGAGATTGAAAAATAAAATTACTTTTTGTAAGAGTATTAATAAGAAAAGAAAGTGACATTTATTTAACAAAATTAAACTACACATCCAATTATGTTTAGAGTTATTTTTTTAAAGACATCTTATTATGAATAGAATGATATCATGCGGTCTTTTAATTTTTATAATAGCAACTATCTGTCATTAGAAAATTTATGTTTTTTAATTGCGAATATTTCTTAATTCCCAAATTCAAAGATTTTGAAATCACATGGAAAATTAAATCTCTGTAATGTATTATCATCAATAATTAAGAGATGGTTTTAGTATTCCAAAATTATTAAAATAAAAAAATATAAATGTATTATTGGAAATTTTTTAATAGTTGATGGTAATATTTAAGTTTATTTAATTTCAAGTGATGTAATTTAGATAAATATAATGATTAATAAAATATTTGTTAATGAATAGTATTTGATTTAAAATGACACTTATTAATAATAATAATATAATAATTCATGTTCATATAATTTTTTACACGACTTATCTAAACACAAGGCCAGCGAATAAATTCTTTTTATTTAATATTTTATCCATAATTCTCCGTAATAGTTATTATTTGTTTACTATCTTACTAATTTTTGTAATATTGTTATGCGGGTAATAGAATTCATATTCTTAGACTTTGTCAATGTGAAAGTCATTATATTTATCATCTTGAGGAAGACTCTAATGAGAAAGTGAAGGTAAATGTTCATTATATTATGAAAAACTCTGTCTTCTTGCTTGTGGAGATTAAAATTTATCATCTTCTGCATCACTCTCTTGTTGTTGCTCATAACCTGGATATCCAATTTTATTTAAGAATGCTTAGTCAACTTGCACTCCTAATTGTGTTCTCATCTTAATTATATGATCGTAAGCTCCATTGAGAATACCAGCTCTTTACTGTTTGTATTTAGTTTTTTTCCGAGCAAATGTTTGTCTATTCTGCTAGTCATTAGTATGATAAGCAGCCAACACTTTGCCATTATTTTTTTTAAAGAAAACAAGAGGGCAATTTTTGAATTAATGATGAGATTGGCAAGCCTCACAAATGATTAAGTTTGTATTTTGACCAAAAATAGTATTGTCTATGGCATACCGATATTGTTCAAAACTGGATCGATGATTTTTAATGATAGATTAGAATTCAGAAAGATTCAAGTAAGCTACTTAAACAAAGGAAGATGCAACAATATTATATTGCATGACATCTTAATAAAAGAATTCTCTTTCGCAGAGTAGATTTCCTTATTAATATCTTTTGATAGACTTTTCCAAAATAAGAGATTTAACTTATCCTGCCAACACAATATATAATTAATTTGGCAATTCGTCCTTTCTAAATGAATAAAAATAATTTGATTACTTAACAATGACTTCTTCAGGAGCAAATGTTTTCTCATGAATGCAGGAACATAGTTTTTTGATTATATTGTCTGCAAAGTTGGTTCCAACTAATTTTGAATGTTTTAGATAACGATAATACATTGCAATTTACACTTCTTATTTGAGTTTTGGATTGAGTTGTCCCATAAGTTCATCCAAATCTAATTCCTCGTCCTGTTTAAATTATAAATAATATTCTATATATTTCCGAACTCTAAATTACAATTGAGTATTCAATCCTCTCTACTTAATATGATTACTCACTAATCTCAATCTGGAATTGTTTAAATTTGTTTACTCTGCCATTTTATAAAAAATACTTTATATCATTCCTAGTGCGTAACCAAAGACACCTGTAACCAAGAAAGTAATGACAGTGACTAATATTTTTTCAGGAGTTGTAACTGGAACAATATCACCATATCCAACAGTCATTGATGTGATAGTAATCCAATAGAGTGAATTGAAATATTTAGTGTACAAATCTTCATCAAAGATATTCTATTGATGCAGCCAAGTATGAGTGTAACCTTGGTCTACTTCATAAAGGGCAAAGTAATGGAATAGACAAGCACAGAAATGAGAAATCAATAGTAGTGAATAGATTAGACAAAATAATTAATAAATAATTGCACTCTTCTCCTTGAAGTTGGAGATCTCTTCAATTACTATCATTGTTCTCCTGACTCTTGTCATTCGAATCAACATCAGATAGTTTGCAGCTGAATATCCCATCCATGATAAAATGAAAGGTAAAACTATAGCTAAATCTAAAGCAAAGTCTCCTTTGATGTAATGCCAAAATATTTTTGCTTTATTCCTTTATAGTATTCCTCTATCATAATATCCTTTAAAAAACGTAAGGATAAGATCAACCAAAAAAATACAGCTTGGTAATGTACTAAAAAGAGTAAAGACACTACCCATATTGTCTTCATTGAGATTAAATGACAGCTGCAAAGGAACATAGAAGATATTCGCAATAGTTACTAACATCATTAATAGATCCCACACAAAAAGGAATTTATCTGCAGGTAATAGAACTGTTTCATCACTTTTTATGAAACACCAAAAACGCCACCATAATGGATTGTTAGCGTGTGCTTCGTATTTTATTTGTATCCACTAAGTTATTAGAATTTATTACTCTTGAAGGTTTCTGAAATAGCATAAAATTATATAGATAAAATTGGAATGAAGAAGCCTTATCTCTGATTAGTAGAAAGATGTTTTTCTTTAATAATTTAAATCTGTAAGTAGTTGAATTATGTTTAAGTCGAGTGATGAAAATTGTTATTTTTTATATGATCCTTAAAGGTTTGGATTTCCAAGCTCTTGAAATATTATTAATTTATATTTACGAGTTATTTTCTAGCATTTCCAATTGCTTATCAACTTTATTGAGAGCTTCCAATTCGATCTCTTAATCTTCCATCTTCTCCTGTTCTTCTTTCCTAAATCTGATCCTTTAGATATTGGGTATCATTAAAAATAAAAATAATGCTTTTATTTTATGAACTTATTAATCATGCATAAATAAAAAATTACATTAATCATTCTACTCATAACTATTCCACAACATATCATTTGAGCGTATCCTAGAAGAAATGTCAACTCTCTTACTCAATCTTTTCCCCTTCAATCAAAATAGCAGTATCCAACTATAATGAGATAACGCTCTTTTCTTCCAAATTTAGTTTAGATATAATCTCCATCCATTCATCCATAACTGCTTTTCTTATTGAACAAAAGTATTAATAAATATTTAAATAGTGATTAAAACAGAAGAATATGTGGGGATTAAATAAAAAATTGTCAAATTTAACATGCTAACATAAAACCCACAAATACAATAATATTTAAATATTAAACAAAAGTAAATTAAATTAAATTAAAAAGTTTAACCTCATTTTTCTAATGATTAAATTCTAACCTTTTTTTTAGGCTGAATCAGTATACTAAGTTGAGTGCTATAACAATATAAGAATATGCTTTATTAAAAAATCAAATTTTTATTGAGAAAAGGAATTGAATTTTAATAAAATCACTGAATAAAGTTAGAGTAACTGAAAAAATATTTAAAATATGAAATCATTCATATCACTTATGTTTGTAGTATATAAATTTCGATTTTCTGCAGTCCAAACAATACCATTTACTACTAGGAACATTAAATTCTAATTGGGCTGGATCACAAAAAGTGTGGCAAAATGCATCATTACATCTATCACATATCAACATTAAATAAGGAGTGTGTGAACATTAACAAACTTAACATCTCTCTTCATCATCATAATCACTTTGATCTTCGTAAAATTGATCTTCTTCTTAATTCCATTTTGGTAAATTTAAATTTAATTATATTGGGATGTTTTCTCTTTTTCCTTCCTTTATTGGATAGATGTAATTGAATTTTGCTCGACAACAAGGACATTGTGTTTTATATTTTTCTGCCCATTCTTTAATACAAGTTGAACATATCTAATGTTTGCAAACATCAATCTCACAAACATTTTATACATCATCTAAATTCTACATACAAATAGGACATTCCTCCTGTGTCTACTACTTTAATCTTGCCTTCTTCTTTGGTCCTGAAATAAAGTGCTTAGGCAATTTACTTGAGCTAGGTATTTTTTATTACTTAATTAAGAACAATATCTTACTTGTTTCGGTATGATAGTAACAGTCTCTTTCGTATCCGGACTGTCCAGAATTAGCTTCTTTTTTCTTTATTTTTCATTAGACCATGCGATCTACTTATTTTGCATTTGATTAGACTGTTTGGACATTTTTTACTTTATATATTATTTAACCAATGTTTAATTAAAGTACTATAAACTCCATCATAAACAATAAGATCAGGATTTCTTTATTATATAATCAGAATCTCATCAGATAATTCATTATATTCTAGAAAACGATAAATGTTCACTTGTAGAAATTAAAGACCAATTTCATGCTTTATTAGAATAATTAATATAATAGCAACAATCAATTATCAATTACACAATCCTTTTCAATCATCTATTTCCTATTCTCTCAAATCTAAGTAATTAATATCTTATTATTCTCATTCTTCTATAATCAATATATTTATAGCTTTTAAGTTCTTTTCTTTTTCTTCTGTCTTTTAGCAATAAATTTATTATCTTTTATTACATCTTTATGTTATTCATCAAAGAACAATTTAAAAACCTGTATTAAATGATAATTTATTGTACTATTTGAGGTTAAAAATTTAGAACTCTTTAATAAACAGTTGTTTAAGAAATAAACTTATATTAACCTCTATTATACAAATGTTATGATTTAAGTATGTGCATTCGAATGTAAAATTATTACTATTTAGAGAGATTAGGTAATTAGACTCCTTGGTTCAAAAAGATCAAATCATTAAAATTTCTAGATCTACTACTCATTTTGCTTTGATTTAGAGGTGCTTGTATGTGTCTTCAAAGTTAAATATAAAATAAATTCTCCCTCCTTAATATTTTGAAAGTGCTAATCAATTTTAATATTCTTTCTCGTATAAAATTTAATAATGGTTCTTGTATTTTTGTTCATTAATTTTATTTAAAAATATATATATTTATATTCACTTTCCATTGAACAGATGGACTTGCCCTATAGCCTATGCTTCAAACATTTCCCTCCCACTTATTGAATTTGGTTTCTTTAATAAAGGATCGTCAGCTTAATTAGCCACAAAAACGATTGTTTTTTCATCAAACCATTCCTCGCATAATGGCAACTCGGCGCCTGGAGGTACAGTTGAAATGATCAAATCAAATTTGTGAGTCTTCTCTGCCTGTCTCATAAATTCAACCTTTTGTTATTTGGCTAAGGCTTCCACTTTTTAAGGATTTCTCCCATATAGATAAACTTATAATAAAAATAATTTTGCTGCAACAAAAATAGCAGTCTTTGCAGTACCACCATTTCCCAAAATTAAACATTTTTGCATATTCTTTGGAAATCTTTTAAATATTGGCCAAAACATTCCCCACCAATCAGTATTAAATCCAATCAATTAATTTTCATATTTTACAATACAATTCACAGCTCCAATAATCTGAGCCTCTATTGTTTATTCTGTCAAATATTATTGAATCTAAGAATAAAATTTAGTGTTACTTCTTCTTTGAAGGGCATTGTAATTGATGCTCCTTAGAAATTGATATCATAAATATATGGTTTTGCCTATTCAATTTTCTTTATTGAGACTTTAGTGTAGAATTTGTTGTGTTATTGATTTAGTTGGTCAAAGTTTCGTTAATGAAGCAAATCACTTCTCGATAAGGATAAATCATCACCAAAGATATGATAATTTTATGTTATCACAAAATTGGCTAAGCTTCTGATGGATCTTAATTACTGTATAGTGCATTGACCAACTGCAGTAGGGGTCAAACAAGACAAAGGAACCATGAATTTATTTAGAGTTCTATACAACTATGAATTTGGCCCCATGGATACAACTAAGTAGGGAATTACAAATTTCATTCCCGTGAATAGCTTAGATATTTCTTAATAGGTAAGTTCTGATGGATAAGCATCCTAATGAATTGCCAACTTCAACAAGCAAATTGTATTAGGGTTGTGCTCTGAGATGTATTTCATTCTCTCTATAAATTCAATGATCTAAAGTTTTTCTGTTTTCTCAAATAAATGTTACGATAAAATAATAGAATTATAATAATTTTATGTAATCCCTACATTATTATATTAATCCATTTCTATATCAAAATAATCTCCAATAAAGCTATTTTACCATTATTCTATTAACTTAACATATTAAGTTCCAGTATAGAATCCACCTTGTGCTTTTGTTCTCAAAGTAAATATTATTGGAATTTCAAGGTAGAATTTGATGTTATAAATTTATTGTCTTATATTATCAAATTACTCTTAAATTTTATCGATCTTATCCATCCTTACTTCCAATAAATTGTGATTTCTGTTAATGAAATGAATCTTCTGATGATCTACAATTGTTAATTCCTCGTAAAAAATGCAAGCAAAATTAGTATCTTGAACATATATTTTATTTCTTGGAAAATCTAAATGTTATATGCGTTTGATAAAATTCAAATATAACTCATTTATTCTTTGATAATACCTATTAATATCATAATTGGATGTTATCTATTATATATATTTCCTACTAGGTAATGTAAAAATATATTTACTGACTCTCTAATAGATTGGTTTTCTTCTATTATAAATCTCCATGATATTTCCAATTTATGGTCTATTTTAAGATTATAAATCTTCAATCAATTCATTGATATCCTTTTCAATCCATATGACATTTTTGCCAATCAATAATTACTATATTTGTTCATCCTCAATGATTCCTCCTCCACAATCAACCACTACATTCTTCTGATATTTCAATAATATCTGTATAAATTATTCCTTTTCAGATTTTCTAAATTGTTCCCATCCAAACTCAGTGATGAATTCATTGATATTCTTAGATATCATATTATCAATGCTAATATAATCAAAACCTAATTATTAGCATATGTATTAAGAGAGAGTGCTTTTCCCTGCTCCTCTCATGCCAATAATGTACAATGGTTCCTTATAATATTGGTAATTGTATAGGAATTCTTATTCTTAGTTATACGTTTATGCTTGTTAATACAAACCTAAACTTTGAATATGATTATAGAAATCAGGGAATGTCTTCCTTACACAATCCTTATTATCTATTATGATTCTATATTAATATTGCACTTTTTCAAAATGTCCACCCAAAATGCTAAATGCCATTGCAATTCTATGATCATTGTATGTATTGATTGTAACGTCCTTTCTATAGCCATTGTATTTTTGATATCTTTTGCCTCTGATTAAAATTTGATTATTTTGTTATAAACAAACCACACCAACCTTGACTAGATTTTCAGTCACAGCCTTAATTCTATCACATTCTTTCACTCTTTAATTTTCAATTCCTTTGATAATACATTATCCTTCAATAGAGGACATTAATAAGGCTAAAGAAATAAAAGTGTCGCTAAAATTAATGCAATCGACATCTTGAGGTTTTAGGTCTTAATTCTTAATTATTTTGTAAAATCCTTATTCTCTCACTACTTGCATGCCCATCTACTCTATGACATCTAAGAATTGTGCATCTCCCTATAATTTGGATATCTTTTTGGTTTCAATTGATCCACCATTTAAGCCGATATGCAATAAATCATAGCTCAATGCTGTGGCATCTGGTTCAATATCGTAAGTTTAGGCCTTATAAATTGCCTTCTTCACTAGAAACTTGGTTTTTGAGATTCTCTCTACCTTTACTCCATAAATATTCATAAGTTGAATAGTCATTTCAATATAGGATTCACTGACGATGGTTTCATTCTCTTTGCAATCAATAATTTCAATGAGGGTTTCGTCATTTGGGAAATAAGGAGCAGACATTAAGATTCCAGAAACGAATTGACTACTTAGTTAAGATTTGATTTTGATGTGTTTACCAAATTTGCCATCGATAACTTTAAAAGGTAATTGACCTTCCTTTTCTAAATATAGCACATTTAAATTAAGTGCTTCCACCATCTCTTAAATGGGCCTTTCATAAATTCTTTGAGCTCCTATGATAGTGACATTCCCGATTAAGGCTGCAATAGGAAGTAGAAATCTGGCACAAGTACCACTTTCCTTGACATTTATGGTGTATTCCTTTTGATAAAATTAGCCTTAACATCCTTCTAGAATGAGATTATGCTTAGAATGAGTTTAAATTTCACACAATCTTAATTCTTACAAGGAATTCAACATTGCTTTTGTATCATCAGAATCATAGAAATTATTCAATGAGCTTATTCCTTCTGACAGAGAACTCAACAAGAGCACTCTATTGGTGATACTTTTAGATCCATGTATGGGTTTGCTAGGTCTAATATCTGAACATGCTATAACACAGGATTTAACAAGTATTTTTTTAATAATATCCATTTTGATAGGTGTAGTATTAAATTTATGTTTGCCAATTTCTTATATAAATACAAAGTTGATTTCCTGCTTGACTACTTTCTTATCAAATTATAAATATTTCAGCACATCTTATATATTCACATACTCTGGGATTTCAATAGGTAATTCATACTTCAAAAGAACATTCCTGATTCTATTCTCATAGGATGAAGTGTCAATTCCATGTTCTTTAGCCAAAATATTTGCCAAAACCATGCCAATAGAGACACATTCACCATGCAATAATTTGCCTTGACTTGCAAATTCAACTGCATGACCAATGGTGTGACCATAATTTAAAATTTTGCGAATGTTTTGTTCATATTTATCTTCTGTTACAATACTTAACTTTAGATTGATTCCATATTTAATAATATCCAATAGACTGGATTAGTTATTTGGGTCCATCAAATAATCATAATCATAACACTCCAATCTCTCAAATAATTTTCGATCAAAACAAGCTGCTATTTTGATGATCTCTGCCAAACCATTCAGAAAATTTCTTTTATCTAATGATTGCAAAAATTAGCTACACACTTTGATTCTATAAGGATCATTTATCACTCCTAGTTGATTCTTACCGTAGATGTTGTTGATACCTGTCTTTCCTCCAACACTAGCATCTGCCATTCCCAACAACGATGTGGGAATCAAAATGAATTTTATTCTGTTGAATAGTTAAATATACCAAACCCTCTCATATATATGCTAGACACGAATCCAACCAAGTCAGTCACCACTCCTCCTCCGACTGCGATCACTAAATCTTATCTACAAAATCTTTTGCTAAACAAGTATTCCGCCACTTCATTCGCAAAATGTAGATTTTTAGCTCCTTCTCCTCCTGGTAATGTAAATGTTATGGCTTATGGAAATTTTTAGCATATCTACTACAAGTAGAGTTGTGCAATATTAGTGTCTGAAACCTAATGTAGAAAATGTAGTTACAAAACAGATTTACGGGTTTCGAAGATCTTGAATAGTATTCGCTAAGGAATCAAGGGTTTCGTTGATTGTGTTATGGTAGTCGATTAGTGAGTTTTCTTGATCAAGTTATTCTAAGTTAATGAAACTCATAAATTAAAAACGTATTATATATATATTACTATCAAAAACGGGTACTAAGTGTAAATCACATGAGCATGGTTGGATGCATAATAAATAATTAAAAAAATGGCTAGATCACTAACAATATTGGCTATTGTTATTGCAGTTGCTACAGCACGATTGACTAAGACAGAAAGTCCCAAAGAAATTTTGGCCCAAGTCAACAAGGATTCATTTGGTAATTCCATCCTTTCAGTTCTCCAACTCTAATTGGCCACTGGAGGACCCGTTGGAGAGATCTAAATCCTCTTAAATAACATTGCTTCTTAATTGAATGGAGATTAAAAGAAAGCTGACAAAGTTCACGAAAGTGACACTGTTGCATTTGAGAAGATCATTGCCGACTTAGAATAAGAAATTGCTTATCATTAAACCTAAATTGTTGCCCTCTCTAACTTGAGAGATTCAACAACTGAGGCCTTAGGTGAAGCTGAAGCTGAAGTCAGAGTTGTCACATCCGATATTGCCAATAACGAAAAAAGCTTTGCTGACGAATCAGCCACCAGATAATCATAACACGATACATGGGTTAGAAAAGATGCAGAACATGTTGATTAAATTGATGCCATCGATGAAGCCTCAAAGATTGTCCAACATTTATAAGCTGGTGTTGCCTTTGCTTAACTCAAGAGCAGATTCGAAAAAGTCTAAGCTAAATTGATGGAAAGCAAGCATGCTCTCTTCAAAGTATATTTCATTTGCTATTATTTAACAGCCACTCATCAATGCCTTGACCTAATTAGCCTCAAAGGTTGATAACAAGAGCATCATCAAAATCTTAGAACTCTTGGCCTAAATCAGATAATAATTGGTTGCCAGCAGAGCCTCCCTCCTTGCCACCGAAGAAAGATAAGCCGCCAACTGGGAAGTCTAAAGTGGTCACTTGTAAGAGGAACACAAGAGATTAGTTGAAAGAAAGGCCTTCTTAGAAAACTCAATTGTCTAATTCAAGGTCACCATCTAAGAAGCTGTTGAAGACTTAGAAGATTAAACTGTAAGATAGTCCCACTATATTCTAGTTATTCCTTGAAGATGCTGAAGATTCATTAGCTATCCAAGAAAGATGGGCTGCTGAATAAGAATCCCAATATGAAGCCTAAACCTTCGAAAGAGAATAATAATTGGAAGTTGTCGAAAGATTATAAGAAGTCTTAACCTAAAAATTAAGTGCAGCTTCAGAATTCCTCCAAATTAGAGAAGAAGTATTTTGATTTATCATAATAATCAAGATTAAAAATATTATTTCCCTAAATTTAATTTATCCTTTTCATTATTTATATAAAATAACAATCTCAAATAATATGATGTATATATAGTTCATTATTGTTTGATGAATAAATAACATCTGGATTATTTGCGAAACTTATAGCTTCTATGAAATTATCTTACACTGCTTCATCAACAAATATCCATTAATCATCTTGATTCTTCTACCATATTTAAAGTGCATTAGTTTCTCCTCCAATTGCCAATACTGACGAATCATTATTAAATTCAATTGCTCTAATTTTACCTTTGATATTGAAGATCTTTTGATATTCTTTATATTCTCTCTATTTTTATTTGTTAAAACAATGAACTAAACCATCTTTTGTGCAAATCAACAAATCTTAATCATTTTAACTAAACAATATTCTTTTTGGATTATTTTGCAATCTCAATTATTAAATTAATATTAACTTAGCATCCTCAATTTTCCATAAACTGATTTTCTAATCAAAAGCTCCTACAGCTATTATTCTCCCATCATTTGAAATCTATAAATTTGTAATTATTTCACTTGACTTTTGTTCTTAATACTTAAATACATACTTCTCACCTTATAATTCTAATAAAACTAATCGGTTTCCTTCTGCATAATAAATACACTTCTCAGATTTACTAAACAGAACTTAAGTAATTCTTGAAAATCCATGTCCACTTTGAACTACCGGTTTATATATTTGCTTCTCTATCCAAGTATACCCCTCTTGCTTCCAAATCTTAATTGAACTATTATTCTAACTAGGTTTATAAGGGGCATAAATTTATTTAGAATCTTCTCCACATGTTACAAAGGCATTTTCTAATTTGCTCAGTTTAAAATCTATCAAACTGTGAATATAACATTAAAGTTAAGTCGAAAAATTCCATTTTTTTTTTTCAGGGTCGTACTTCCAAATACTAAGATAGTTATTTGGCTCAGTAAACCTAATACAAAGCAAGGATTAATCATAATTTAATTGGATATCAGCTATTGATTAATTTTCTTTCAAAAGCATGTTTTAACTTTTCTGAATTTCAAATATTCTCTATGTGTTAGTGTATTTCTACTGCTATTGCACTATTTAACCATTCAGTTAGTTAACTTATTATATTTATATATTTTCAACGTTTTTAATATCATTCTCCTATTTAAAGTTTAGAATTTATTATTTTAAATTTTGTGTGAATTCGAAATATTGATTTGATTCAGCTAATTATTGATCATCAATATCTTTAAATTTTAGAGTATAGTTATGGTTTTATTAATTGAGAATAGTATTCTTTGACAATACTTCTGCTAACTCTTACAATTCTTTAATTCCAAATTTTATTAGGATTTGATCTTGTTATTTTTAAATTGAGAAGTCTAATTTTTCATTACTTTATTTCTTTTTACAATTCACAAAACTGCTTAATAATTCCAAACAATTATTAGTAGGTTTCTGAGTACTTGAAATCTTTATTAATTTATTGTTTAATTATTGAAGTAAACCTTAGATTTCTTCTATTTCTTTTTAAAATTTCAATAAAACAGTTCGCGCTACTTAAAAATTATTTTAATCAATGTTTTAATAGATGTTTTCACATAAATTACCAAATACATCTATAGGAATACAATTTTGATCTAATTAACAATTAGGACACTTCATTCTATATTCCCTTTCACACATCAATGATAGATCTATATAAGTATAGGGTTGCTTGTGTTAATTGCAAGAAAATTGGTTGAATTCAAAATTGTTATTTTGTTGGATGTAGAACTATTGTGGATTAAACATTTATATATAATATTTAAAGATTTAAATTGCATAAGCTACTTAAATTCTAAAAATTGTCTCAGTATTAAACAGAATAGATACATTAATAACATTAATTTGATACATATATTCTTATCCTTCTTTTAATTTCAATATGCCATTACTATATTATAGAATATTGAAATTCCATATAAATCAATTACATTAATCCAAGAAAAGAAAAATTATTGAATTTAGGATTTGGAAAGAAATAAACCACTAGTAGTACGATTTTAAGCTGAATCGAATATTAAACAAGTTCTCTATGAATCTTCTCATTTTATTGTAATTTTACTCATCTTTGGGATAATTATTATAATAAATAAATAAATATATTACCAGAATTAATTACATAATATAAGCTTATGTATTAAATTTTCAGAACAATGAAAATGATGAAATAGATTATAAGGCCAATTAGAATGTGCACTCCAATAATAGCAACAAATAATTATTTGAACATTTACAATTTGAATTAATTCTTTTTAAGGATATCATTGGAAAATAATGATGACGATCTGGAACCCCTTAAAGTAAAAGAAGAACACAATATTCGTAGGTTAATTAAGAATCGGATATGAGGTGCCCTCAGATGATTGTTTGATTTATTCATAAAATCACAGAATTTAATACACATCTTATCACACTTTGAATTTTAACTTAGTTGATGACATGCTAATCTAATATGAAGAAGTATTGATAAATAATCTCGCTGTTAGTTTCTTCTATTTGATATTAAAATAGCTCTAATCTAAATTATATATTATTAGATAATATATGTTTTCCAGAAACTTGTGTAAGATATAATCAATTAGAGTATATAATATTACCTTTAGATCTCATTCAATATAGTTTAATATTTATCATTCATTAAATTAAATATATAATTTAACATAAAATTATGACTTTCTTTTTGTGATACAATTTTTATAAATAGATTCTCTATCTTAACTTGATATAATTGTCAAAGATTTTGCTATTTATTATCAAGATTTATGTTATTTTCTCGAAGTGATTACAACTTATAAAAGAATAGTTTATTAGAGAGATGGTAAATTGATTTATTAAAAAAGAGGAGTAAATTAATATATTATTAAGAAAAGATAGGCTAAATTTCTAGAGTGCTCAACAAGTAGAATATATTGTATTTTATATCAGCATACTCAAGATGGATTAATGAAAAATGCTAAATGGAGTATTTTTTATTGAATTAATAATAAAACTAGAATAACTGTTTCTTTTGTTTCAAATAATAAATGAAATCCATATTTATGAAGCAATTTGATTCTATAAGGCTTTGTTTACGTTTTCATATAAGCCATTGAACACTATAATTACATTACAATTAAAATGATCTTGATGCCTCTAGCCACACTTAGATATTTGGGTGATCTATAAATGAAAACAATAATTTATCAAATCATAAGAGTAATGGTGATCTTTTGTTGTACAATCTCTTAATATACCAAATCTGCCATATTGTAACTAAAACTATAAATATAGTTTCAATAACTGTAAAAACATAGATTTTCTTATTGGCTTCTTTAACTTATTGAGTAGATGATTCATATCTGATTTGTTAAAATTTATGATCATAATATAATTCTTAAAGTCCATTCTGAATATAATCGATGTCTAATTCTAATGGGTCAATATCTGTTGATTTGATTTTATCATCCTTATCTTTAACCACATCCACTGCATAGGTAAGTAATTAATTAGCCTTTTTTTTATTGTTGAATATTATTGAATATAACCCAATTTCAGTTGCTTAAACGGTGAAATTTCCTTTGTTTGTTGATAACTTTGAATATATTGTTCTTCCAGCAGGTGTTTTTACTGAAAAATCAATAACATCTTTGTGATGATTGACTTAATATGCTCCTTTTATTAAGGTTGGTTCTGTTATATTCTCGAATAAAATATCCTCTTAGTTTGCTTGCAAAGTGAAGGTGATAATGTCATCAGGAATGAAATCATAAAAACATTAAACACTTACCAAAAACGTGGCATAAATAAATAAGTATTTCATTATAAAAATAATTAATTAATTATCCCATATATATTCATTCAATTTGTTCAACATCTTAGGCATTGTCTTATATTCTAAATCCAATCTATTTCTTTTGATTTTATTTCATCGAATGTCTCCTAATCAGAAAACCTACTAATATGATCAACAAAATAATAGCAAATATTCCTAAGTAAATATAATACCTGTTATCTTGAGTAACAACAGCTGTTTTGGTTTCTTCATCATTTAAATAATCTTGTTGTCTTTTATTTCTTAATATTTCTTTTTGAATTATCAATTTTATTAAATTTCTTTCTTCATCACTCAAATCATTAACACCATTCTTACTCAAATAATCATCAACTTCTTTTTAAATTTCCTCTTCTGTTTTACCCTATTTTAATAGTTCTCGAATTAATTCTCTAACTTTTTATCTGTATTATTTCATTTATTAAGTTGGCGAGCTTTGCTCTTCCTATTGCTTCACATCATTGATCATTTCATCTAGATTATTGCCATTTGAATCTATTAATGTAGAATTAGAAAAGAAATAATCTATAAATTCTGTAATCTTTTCTCGAATTTTCTCCATTGACAAACCCTAATCTAAAAATTCCTATATCTAATATTCTATTTCCTCTAATTCCTATTCATTCTTCTCTTGAATCTATTTATATTCCTATATATCCCATGTTGCTTTGGTACTACGATCAGGTTTACTTTAGAAATTTTCAATTTCTTTATTGATGATCTATAAAACTATTTTACTATTGAATTCCTTCGAGGAATCTATTAGAGTTTAATCTAGATTTTTGGAAATCTTTGTCAATACAATATTCTTATCTGTTATATTTAGCTGGCTAAAATATTCTACATCCTTTTCAAGTCTTAGGTGTTCTTATTCACTCTCCTTTTCAAGTTCATCAACCATTCCAATTAGGGCAAGGAAAATCTTTTATTTTTCTTCTTAAGTAGCATTAGTATAATATTGGAACCCTTCATTGAATATATAGCCTTCAATTAATTCTAATTCATCCTCTTGTTATTAAGTAAGATTAGTTGATATATGTTCGAAAATTTAATCTAGTGCTTAATTAGATTGATTCCATTTCTCGCCTTTTTATAAGGGACTTCCTCCTTATTACAAATTTCTTCCGTAAGTTTAAATAGCAAGAATCAAAAAAATTATCATATTTATAATTAATGTTTTCTTATATTAAGTAATTATTCTATAGAACATACAATACAGCTGCTAGGTTTAGGTTATTTCTGTGTGGAATAATGTTCCATTCTATAATTTTGAGGTCTTTTGATTATAATTATATTAGTTATATTGTTATAATGTAATGATGATTATTATGAGAAATTAATTATATATTTAATTTTAATCGTTAAACTGCTTTTACTATGACAAGTGAACTTAGTGAGGATAGTAGTTTTTATGATCTCAAGTTTCCAAGATCTCTAACTACAAGTGTTAGAAAACAAGGTTAAGAGGACTATTTTTTTGAGTTGAAGGAGAAACAAAAGCAAATTGAGGATTTGACTTATTAGGTTAAATTGATGGCTGCCAATAATTAAACTTTAAATCTCTAGAACTAGATGCAATAAAGCGAAATTGAAAGGTTACTTAGATTTATAAATGAGTAATAAAATGAAATGAAAAAAATGGCTTAAAGAGATAATAAAAAATAAATAAATACTAGATCAATTAAAATGCAATTAATCAATAAAATGTGTCAATGGGCAAAATAATTTCCATTAGATTAATAAATTTAATTTGAATAAATAGTTTAAATGATTATATGAAAATGTTTCTAATTTCAAAATTTTGTCACTAAAAATTATTTTATTAGAAATTGGATTTCTACCATCATTTCAGTAAATGGTTTCTCTTATTTTACTGAATTTGCTATTTATTTCTCTAAATTATCGAACCCCTGAAACTAAAGCTATTGAAAGTTCAAAAATTATCTATTATTGGAATCCTCATCTTCAGATAACATATCGATTAATTCGAACATAGATTCCTTGATCTATACGATAAAATGTATAAATTACTGGTTTTTTGTATCTATTTTTAATTCTATCCTTAATCCAAGCCTAATTTGAAATGGATCTATCCTCATTCAACGTGTATTTCATATTTGGATGACAAAATATCTATTATATATTAAGCAATTTACTTGGTTCTTAATATCGAAATACCTTTACACAAATATCATCTCTATATTGCAAAGTGTTTAGGTGCCAATTATTATTCGATTACTTTTATTGTCATTTTATAGACTTGATTTTTGTTGTTCATTAAAAACAGATGCTAATGCATTGGCCATAGAAGGTACTAATGGAGGTTTCTATTCATTCAAATAAAATTGATTAGAATTGTTGAATTAAAAGCTTGGTACAGAGAGACCTTAAAAGAATCCTGGAATTTGCATATTCTCTTTAAAAAGCGAATCATCTTTATAGAAAAATCACATAATACTTGAATTTTTTATTTGTAATTACGGAATTTGAGAGTTATTATACTCCATCAATGAAGTAGATGGGAAATTATACACTAAGTAAGGATATTAGGAAGGTATGTTTTGTTGGTCTTTTGGTTGCGTCTAAATATCAATTGAATCATTAAACATAATTAATATATAAATTATATGATAAGAAAGTGTACAATGCAGAAAATTGAATAGATGTAAACTAAATCTATATTCATTACACCTTCAGACACGCCTCTCCCTAGACAACTCCTTATAATAATCATCTACCATGTTATCTAATTAAAATTTTAATCTGCAATCTGATTGAATTATTTGTGAAATTGAAATTAAACAATGGATTACGAGTAATGAGTAATACAAAATTTGTTGACTCTCGCATAAGGTAAAAGTGCCTTCAAATTTCAGTCAATTTTTTGGAGAATATCCATGCAATCATGATTTATTAATCAATCATGGCGGATTTGTTTTTCATATATAATATTTTGACATACAATTATATTGATTCAATCAGCTTTCTGATTCGAAATTATACCCTATCCTAGATACTCACATATAATATCAAATTTATCTGCTGATGCATATAGTTTTTCTTTGAATGGTTTTGTTTCCTTCGATGCTTCAATAAATTCTTATTTTCGTTTGAAAAACATCTAGGTGTCTTATGGACAAAGGAGACAGGCTCTTTCACTAAGGAGATAATATTTTATCTTACGTATGAATGCAATGTTCATGATAGGAATGGCCACAAAGAAAATGATAAGAAGGTAAACTCAAAATGGCATCACAACAATTACATTTAGTGGATTGGAATACCTTAGCTTAAGTCTTTAATTTCTTGTATTCTGCTCTCAAATCTGCTGCTTTCTTCATTTTCTCTTTAACAACCTTTTAACAGTCATCAATTTGTTTTTTATCCTTTGATATTTTATTAGTGAAATAATTCTTGACTAATTTAAAATTAACATTTTTATTTTTAGACAAGATGTTTAAAATAAGCAAAGGCGAAAGATTTTCTAAACTACTCACTAAAACGAGAACCTTTTCTATGTAATTCTCAGCACCGTTCTCTGGCTTTGCAAAATACTTTAATGCTTATATCCAAAGATTTGTTTCTTCTCTACCATACTCACTGCATAAAGTAATTATTTAATCGTTCTCCTTCAAACTAATATAGAAATTTAATAGCTCCTCTCTCATTTGTAACTTCTTCAATAGGAAAATAATGCCTGGAACAAAATTGTACATTTTAAACAATACTAATAAGTGATTCTTATCATATTTCTTTTCATTTTCCTGATTCTCCAACAATTTCATAATGCCTTATTCTTTGCTCTACAATTATGTATCTCTAATTCCAATCCTACTCTCATCTTTATAAAATAATTAATATTTCTCTAAATGATATTCAAAGTATCTATGGAATATGGCTTTTTCATTTGGCAATGTTTTGCAATTTTCTATTAAGAATTTCAAATAGCTTTCTAAATATTCATCGTTAACCACAAATAAGTGTAAAAATTCATCTGGTTTACCAAATGTTATAGAGAATACCTTCTTGATCTCTTCATCTGATAAATTGAAATATCTCCATACTTTCAATTCCTCAGGAGTCAAAATACTAATTGATTCAATTCCTTTTTGAGAATCTACCCTTTTTTTCAAATTTTACACCATACTAATGAGTAAAACTAAATTTTGGATAATTTCAAGACATAATTCTGGTTCAGCCTTCATTAATTATTGTCCAAATTCTTTCAAATATTAAGCCTAATCTAGTTGTAATTATTATTACTTTTTCATCCAATTAGATTTCTTCTCTTATATACATCAAAGCACTCTTGCAATCTTACCTATTCTATTCCTTATTATTCTAATCTTTATTTGTCTCAATGAGGATACTCAGATATGCTTCATTTTTTTATCTAGACTTAGCTAATCTGAGAGCCAAATCTATGTGTCCTAGTTATCTGCATTCTTTGATAGCAGTATCAATATCAAATAGATCTGAATCGAAACTAGATTCCTTAAGAAATTCTTCAAGTTTAGTGATCTATTTCTGTTTGACATAGCAATTCAACAACAAGGCAGTATGGTTTTTGTCTGCTTACTTTTCGTGATGCAATGCTGCTAAATACTAAATCAAGAAGTCAACATGTGAAACATCTAAGAACTTCCCAATTACATACGAGGGTTCTAGAATGCCTGCAGTATTGATATATTATTTGATTGCACCTTGAAAATCGTGTTAATCATATAAATGATCGCCATGCAGTCTACTGATTTCAGCTAATAGAGTCTTATCTGATGATTAGTTGCTAGCGAATCTATACATAACATCGAAATAGTTATTTTTAAAGAAGATCTCAATTTTATGAGTATTTTCTTTTTCTGTTAATCTTATCAAGTTTTTCTCACCTCTATTGTTTTGTGTAATAACATAGAGATAATCGCCAATTGGGATAAATCTTTAAATCTTATCAAATTTCTTATAATAAGCAATATAATTGTTTAGAAGGTCAAAGATAGTCAATTACACAGATTAATCAACCTATTCTTTGTCTTATCTTGGTGAGATCAACATAATTAAGTAATTTTATTTGAAAAATCTAATTTCGATTTTATCTCCGTCTACATTCCAGGTAGCTTCCTTTTTAGTGTCACTATATTCAACTATGGTAGATGTGTCATCCTTTGGACATCCGATCAGAGTCCCTTTGGCTGTCAAATCAAATAGAGCTCCAGCTGGAATGGAGAACTTCTTTCTATTTTGCATATTCTGAAAACAAATGATGTTTGAGTCAGTAGTGCAAAACAAATTGAGATTTTGTTCATGCCTGCTGAGATGGACAGATTTGATTGGTTCTTAGTCAGTTTAAATGATTTAATCTTTGAATTCCATGGTCATTAGATTCTATGATTTGGCCTTGAAGATCAAGATTTAGCCATCTTGCAAACCAAAGGCCATAGCACTTAAGTCCTTAGCAATACAAAAGCAATTGAAATTCTGCAATGGTTAACCAACCTTATTAACTAAGATAACTTTAATAGGTTCTAGGAATTTATTATAATAAATTTACTCATATTTTGATAGTCGGTTGTGTTTGGATCCCAAAATTTGACATAGCTGCTTTTTTAGTTGTTTTCACTATCTATACCAAAGGTGACTAGCTTTCCCTATTAAAATACATGAATTATTAATTATTACTTCTCTAGTTTCTTTAGTGCATTTCATAACTCTGAAGGATTCATTGTGAGGTTGGAAGTATCCTTGAATGGAATTGGCTTCATACACATAGATAAGATTTTTGGATTGAGATGAGAGGAATAGTTTGGTGCCAATTCCGCATCCATCAGATATTCCAATGTCATTTAAGGTTGGGGCTGTAGGGTCACCACTAATATAATTAGATAAATGATTGGGTACTTAGCTCTCTGATCTTGAATGTTTTCTTAATTAAAAAATTAAAATTTCTTGACCTATTCAACTTCTGCCTATCTCATACTAATTAATTTAATATTTATTATTTAGTATTATTTTGCAAGAGAAAATGTATTCTATAAATAAGAATGAGTATTAAAAAAATCAAGATTTCTGCAATAAAAAATAAATTATTAATAAAATATGTTTGAATCATTACTTGAAAAAGTATTGAATTCCGTATTAGGATAATTCATAGAAGGATTTGATGCCTAAAATCTCCACATTGGTATATGGAGTGGAGAGGTGATCATATCCAATGTTTCATTAAAAGCAGACATCATCAAAATGCTGGAATTGCCAATCAGACTTTGTTTTAGTCACATCGGAAAATTGAAACTAAATGTAATTCTAATAACAAAAACTATATATAGGTGCCATGGAAGTCGTTAACCAGTTCACCTGTTGAAGTGATGTTAACAGATTTGTACCTAATCTTATCAGCAGATCATCCTGATTTATGGTAATATATGAATTATGCTGGTTTTAAAAAGAAGATGGAGATTCTAGATAAACTCAAGGATTCCATCATTCAAAATATTAACGATAAATCTAAATAAAAAGATGATAAAGAGGATGGATATGTGAAAAAACTTGTCTTGAAGATTATCGATAACTTATAATTGAGCATATCCAATATCCATATTAGATTTGAGGATACAATCAAAAATGAATTTGCATGGGGATTTTCAATCAAAGCTATTGAAACCTTTACTTGCAATTCTGAATGGAAAAAATAGTATTTCGATCGAACCAAAGAAGAAAACGTATACTAAATTATTATTTATTTCTTAGAAAAAAGTTCCTCTGCAAAAACTATTAACGCTTGTCAATATTGGAGCCTATTGGAATTAACATGAGAAAAGGTTTTTGAATTCATAGGATAAAGAAGTAATTCTAAGAGAAATGGATGAGATGATAATCTCTACCCCAGATCCCAAGTCTCATCCAAAATATGGTTAATTTGTCTTATTGTTGAATGCCCAAGGGAGATTATTCTAGAATACTTCTGGAAAGTTTGATTCTCCAGAGTTTTCCTTATCGATTGAATTGAGTGGCATTGATGTTGCCTTAGAAAACTTACAACTCCAATAAATAATAAAGATGGCTGAACTCTTTTCCTTGTATCAAAATAGATTAAACAAATAAAAAAAGCAGAGATTATAACTATCAAGCCAATAAATTGAAGATTAAAAATTATTATTTATTGGTTTATATGAAAAAATACTCAGATCTCCTGATTAGAGTATTAAAGCCTTGACTAAAGACGAAAACGAATTGTTTGAATAATCAGTAAGTAATTTAAGCATAGAAATATTATGTGAGACAGCCAAGGAAATAATTAAGGTCGTTCAGAAAGAATTAGCAATAAAAGAGGCTGAGGAAAAGAAAAAGAAATCAGGAGGATGGTTTAGTTGGGGCAAGAAAAAGGAATCGGATTTGTTGGATCAAAAGGAGAAGGATGAATTAACTTCCTTTATAGATCAATTGGCGGATTTTCAAGACATTAAAGATATTAGAAGACCGCCAGATTATGTTTGGTTGTCTGTCATATTCTCTCTGAAAACAGGGTCTGTCCACATTCTAAAACAGTTTGATACGAAGAGGGAAGGAATTTAATTGACATATTCTGGATTTGATGGAAGTTTTGAAATGAAGGATAGTGGAATGCTTATGAAAATGGGGTTATAATTTATTGGAATTGATATAGTGACAGAACCCATTTAGCAAGGAATTGTGATGTACAGTGAATAAAAGAGAATAGCATTTTTAGAATAAATCAACAACTAGAAGTTTATAGATTTCACATTTGAGACAAATCCATCTCATCATAAAGGAGTTGATAAATACATCAAATTAGAAACAGGAGCATTGAAATTGATATTCAATCCAATAGTGATGGTCAGAATACAGTAATTTACAGATTTCTAGGTGAGTGATGAAACTCTGAAAAATGCTGCTTGGGATCAAATGGAAATAGCCTAAGATTTGGCTGCCTAATAGATGGCATAATCATAATTGTCCCCGTCTATTTTATTTATTGATTTAAAAATTAAATCCACAATAGTTTTGGTGCCACTTCCAAACTCTAAGGAAAATTGGCTACTCAATATTGGTGATGTTTCGATTATTACACCAAGAATAGATGAATTACATTATGATAATTTCGAGATTTCATTGCAAGATTTCACATTCAAACATTATAATTAGATTGATTAATGTCATCGATCCATATAATAAGGGATTTATCTAGAGAATGTGGATGGATCATACAGCATTATTTAGAACATTAGAGTAGTAATAAGAGCGTAGATTTTGAGAGGTAGTTCTAAGCCTCCAAAAGAATTACCTTCAATTATTATTGATGGCGAATTACCTTAATTAGATGTTTTTATAAATCCAAGTATTTATACTAGAATCTTAAAAATTGGAGAATGCTTTGTTGAACCAATAAGGGAAACTGAAGAAATAATAAGAAAATAGACTAAATTGTCGATAGAAAATGTTTAGACAGAAAGAACTGCATTGATGGAATCGGCAACTAAAGTAGGGAAGATATGGAAAAGAGGGTAATTATTAACTTGGAGTTAATATACAGGAGTATTGAGTGGTGGATACATTTATTTATTCGCAAAGCCTAAGGATCAATAGCCTGAATTTCATTTCTGGATTAGAAACAGTGATTTCATTGATGTTAGTGAATAGGAGGCAGGAATGAACAATGCTTTCTACATTAAGAATAAGTATGGGGATACACTTGTTGCATTTGATAAACCAAAGATGGCCAACGATTGGAAGGAGGCAATTGAACTCTTAAGAACTATGCCTAGAGTGGAAAAAGAGAAGTAGAATGATGAAGTAACAAAAGTTTAAAGTGAGAAAACCTAAGAGAGTAGACCAATGAATTTTAAATTTGTATTAAAGGGTTTTGGGGCACATTTGCAGGATGAAAAATAATAAGATTGGTTTAATGTTGTGATCAGTGGATTGAATGCTGGTGCCAATTTATTTGATGGATCCATAAATCTGGATTTGAAACTAAGAGATCTGTATGTTACTGATAGTGTGTAGAAGTACATGAACCCATTACTTAAGTACATAGTGAAATCTGATCCAGATCCAGAATCAAACGAATTAATTAATATTAATGTGTAATAGATCAGTAATAAGGACAAAAGATATAATAAGAAGAACCTCATTATAGGTGTGACATTTGGATCATTGTCAGTTATTGCCAAACCTCTAGTTGTAGCTAGGTTGTTAGTCTTTATAACACCTACTGATAATTAGGCAGAGGATATGCAGACTTATTAAGGAAAAGACGTTGAGAAATAGTAATAGGACTAAGCTAAAAAGGATTTGGAAAATAATTCGCAACATTAGAATGTAAATTTCGATAACATGCAAGACATTATCCTAATGGATGTCAATGTAAAAATCAGGAGTATTAATGCCATCCTGGTTCATAGATTCACTACTCTACCATTGGCAGAGGCTAAAATTGAAAACACTGAAATTGGATTAATCAAATATGTAGATGAAATGTAATTGAATGGATCTCTTGGTAATCTACAACTGTTTGATCTTACAAACTATCCAAATACTTTGAGTAAAGAGTCTGAATACACTCTCATTAATCCGAAATAAATGATTGGAGTTAAGCATCAACAACAATCCTTATTGAAGGTTAAGTTAAACTTATTTAGTGAAGGATCCAAGAAGATTATCAACAATGTTAATATAATAATCAATGTAGATATGAGCTAATTAATCATTCACGTAATGATGTAACCTGTATTGAGATTGCTTGATTACACTTTATAACAATTATTGTTTGCCTTATCTAATCCAAAATAAACCATTAATCCAATTGTAAAACAGAAGGAAGTGGAACTCGATCAGGAGATTGATTAATATCATTAGACTAGAGCTTAAACAAAAAAAGCATAGACAATTTTATTGTCAGAAGATGAATCTGCGTATTTGAATAAGCAATTGTAAAATCCACCTGCTATGCAACTAAATGTAGTCATCAATAACCCTTAAGTTATCTTAAAACCAAATCAGGAAAGTAGTGCTGCTATGGTAATTGATCTTGGCACAATACTTGTATCAAATTAAAGAAGGAAGGTCACAAACAGAATTGTAACAAAAGATTAACAATTTCCTGTATGGGTTGATGTGTTTATATTGAATATGAAAGATATCTAATTATATCAATAGAATGGATAAAATAAAAGGGAATTTAGTTTGCCTTTCGATTTCAATATTAGTGTTGAGATCTTTGGAATGTTGTAACAATATTAGTTATTCTATCCAAAGATAAAGTTTGATGAGAAATTAATAATCAATTGCTTCATTGCCCCAATGATTCTGTAAATGACTCATTCAGATTATATGTTTCTGATGAAATGTTTATTTCACAACATCGCTTATGACGATGGATTTGATAATATGATCAGAAACAATCACCCCCAATATTTCCAAACATTCTTTGAACAACAGAAGCAGTAAGAGATTAAACTCAAGGAGATGCTTCTAACTAAGAATAGTGATGCATAACTATCATTCTAATTGGATTTAGAGAATTTTAGCATATTTCTATTAAAGGACATCCAACCTAAACCTACTCCCTTTCTGAGAATGATGCTCATAATGATGAGGGTTTCATTTTAGAAGTGTAATAATGGATCTGCCATAGTGGACCTTAAGATAAGAGATTTGGAGGGTTCTAATTTTGTTGTGGAGAAAACAGGATTATTTAATGAGTTGCCTTTTATTGGAAGTATGAATATTCAATAGACATATTCTTATGAACAAGTTACTAATTTAAATGGATTGGTAAGAGGGAGATAAGGAACTTTGAGTAATGCAAATTAGATTTTGAATATGGCATCACGAGGATTGCTAAGTTAAGGACAACAAAGATAATTGATATTCAAGTTTGAAGATGCCTATCAATAGATTGAAGACAAGCCACAATATAAATTAGAATTTAACCTTTAAATGAAAATAACAGGTGATAAAGAGATCATTATTGAATTATCAGATTTTAAGTTATAATTACATGCTGGTCCTCTTTTCGAAGTGTTGGCACTAATAGCTATGGATGATCCTGAATTAACTCCAAAGCCTGGAAAATATGTGATTGCATAACAATAAATACAATAAAGCATTTAACAATAACAGGATTAAATATAACCACCTTAAGAGCCATAATAAGGTAGTTTGGAAATTACTGTCAACTTAAAAAATGTAATAACTTGTATACCCACTTAAATAGAATAGAATGTGTTGACAATAAGAGGAATTTTTGAAATAAAAATGAAGATGGCTCCTCAAAAATCCCTTAAAGATGTAGAGAAGGAAATCAAATAAAATAATATTCCTGAATCTGATTGGCCTAAGTTAAATGAAACTATGTATATTAAGGCTACCTTAGAAAGATTGGAGATTTTCCTGTGTAAGAGCTATGATTTAAGTAAGAAGGATGACTTTAAGTAAGTTAAGAAGAGAGAAATCTTAAATCCAATTACCTTAGAAGTTACGTTGAAAAAATAATCGGTGATATTATAAAACTTTTAAGGGTTTGCTGAATTGACTGATTTGAGTGGAAGTATAACTCCAATAAATTTAAAGGTATCCTTCTAAGATCTTTATACTATCAAAGAAGGATTAAATTATTAATTGAGTTAAATGCCAAAATAACCTGAATAATAATAATTATAACAATAAGGTATAAATCAAGAAAAGAAAAACGAGGAAATTTCTTAATTGGATGCTTCTAATCTAAATAAAATGTAATTGAGTGCAGTCAAAATTGACTTGGATATAGAAAAAACAAAAATCATAGTCTTGAATGATATGGGTAATTGCTATTCACCATTATTTGATTATGAAATGGATACAATCAAAGTGACACTAGACAAAAATAATCTATTTCTCAAAATTTCAATTACATTACCATTTAAATTGAGTAATTTCAATCCTTTGTGTTCAAAGTGGGAGCCTATCATTGAAAACACTGGATTTTAAATAGAGATCTTTTAAAGTTATATCTAAGGTTTGGGAGGAGATATAAGCAACTTGATCACCATTGAGCAAATGAAAGATTTTGATAAATTTAATTTGACTCTATCTACAGTTTGCATCTAAACAGTATTGAGAGCTTTGAAAATCATGGAAAAGATATTTAATAAACAATAACAACAGGATGTACATTAGAGTGTTTTAAAATCATTTGGAGGAGGTACAGATGATGACTCATCTCATTCAGAAGACAATATAATTTAAGTATCACCCTATTCCATAAAAAATCTAACAGGTTATCCTATAGTAGTTGAGTTTATTGACAATTTGAGATTACCCTCTCTCAATATACACATCAATCAACAATAGAATCTGATTTTTGACGATGAAATAGAGAGGGCTAGCTCTGGACAAAGAAGAGTAAATGTAACTATAAAAGCAGATAAAGTGCCTTTTCCAATTAAACTAATTGATTTGGATAAAATATCAGCCAAATTATTTGAATAAGACAATCTTCAAGCCTTTGCCAGTGTAAAATTGGATTAGTTGACAAACTAAAAAATTTTGAGTTTGCATGCTCCAGTTGTATTAGTGAATAAAACCAGCAAATCTATCATTATATCAATTAGTGATGACAAACACTAACAAACTATGAAACTGAGTCAATAAAAATTAGATCAAGATTTGAGTCACATGGCTCCTATTCCTTTGGGATTTATGAATCCTAAAATTGCAATAAGATTTAGTGAATGTTAAGATTATACAGAGGATATTCTTGTGGAATCTTTGATAAAATAACAGGACAAGAATATTGAAATAGAGACAAGAGATGGATAATATATATTGGTTAAGGTGAATAAAGACAATGACAATTAAGGAAAGTTTGAATTAGAACTACAAACTCCATTCAGAATCACTAACTCATTGCCTCTAGATATTTTTATCCAAATGATGAACCACAATAAAGAAACAACATTTACAAAAAAGATTTGTCAATAGTAAACAATAGAGGACTATTAACATGGTCATTATAAATGCAGTTATCTTAGAGTATATATAGAAGGATATTATTGGTCTGACGAGTTTAAGTTGTAAGCTGCAGAAGAATTACAGTAAAAAAACGATGATTGTGTTTCCAAATTAACATTGAATGATTCAAATAATAATCCAACTACATTATTAATATTTGAATCTTAAAAATAATAGGATTATGCTAAATTGACAAGAGAATATGTAATTCATTGTTCTGGTTACATTATCAATAAATCTGGAATCCCATTGAAATATTTTACTAGTAATAATAAAAATGATTTGACTCCATTAGGAGGCATGGAATCTATAAATACTGGAGATCCATTGAATAGATAAATAGTACTTTTGGGCACAGAATCTGGTAACATCTTATCATTGAGTCATACCTCAACCAACTAAAAAATATCTTAATTCCCTATATAGATTTCAACATTAGGTGAACCCGAAATAGATGTAATCATCAGTAATGAGGAAGATACAAATTAATTACTATAAACCTTTTTGGGTGCTAAATTGGAATTAGGAAGATGCAACAAAAAATACACATTATTCAACAAAATTATTACACTCGAACCCAGATTCATCATTATTAATAATTGTAATTAGGATATAGTAATTGCGTCAGACGAGGATCTCTTTTCTTAATGTGTACCTTCCAATCAAAGAATAATATTCTAATCTCATTATAATTCGAAAACTAAAGTTAGGAATCCCTGTTAGTTCATCAATATGAATTTAAGCAACAATGATTATCAAAGCAGTAGTAGATTGAATATCAGTGCTATTGGGATTCTTTATTATTAACTGAGAAGGAAAGATAAACCTAAAGAGAGATTATACTTTAGCTGTGATATCCGCTAAGAAGGATGCAGTCTTTATATTATATTCAATTAATTGCCTTAAGATCAAGCACCATATAAAATTGAATTGCCAGTTGAAAATCTAGAGTTGGAAATCCCAGAATTAGATGTGATACTGAACTAAAACAATTAAGTTACTTATTTTGCCTGGGATGATCCATAGAGATTATAAAAAGCATTGGGTGTTGAGTTGAGAATCAGGGATGATCCTAATGGAGATTACAAACCTCTCAAATATACCTTATATCCAGATCATATTGGACTATTTCAAGTTTATACCTTTAGACCTCCAAAAGGATCGAAAGCAGCTTTAATCTCAGTTGCATTATCAATTCTCCCTAAAGGTTGTTAGAAGCAGATTCAAATTACCACAGCCACTCAGGAACAAGTCAAGATGGCTAAACTTAAGCCAAAACAAGATTTCTTAAGACAAATAAAATAACAGAATAGTTTAGACAATGAAGATGAGGATGAATCAAGAGCTCAATCAGTCTCTTTACAATCAAGATAGTCCATCTCTGAGAATAGTGACAAGATTGAAAATAGAATCAATCTAAAACTCAATTCTTTTTCTTTATCCATAGTTCATAATTCAGACGTTAAAAGAAGACCTGCTGAATTCTTTCATTTCACTTGTACTAATATAGAGTTTGTAACTATTTCTACAGTCTTAAACACTGTAGTGTAATTAAGAGTGTAATATATTAATTTTGATCACAATGCTGAATTCTTTGTGCAATATCCAGTAGTAATTACACCCTAAAAGTATGCCTTGTATCATGTTGCACCCAAATAATAATAATAATAACAATAACAACAATAATAATAATAATAGTAATAGTAATAATAGAGTGATAAGTATTTCTTTAATGTCATGATTATAAAGGATAATAGAGTGTCTGACATTAATTTGTTCTAAAACATCACCTTCGAAGTAGATCCTTTTGAAATTAGAGTTGAATAGTTGTTTATAAGCAACCTCCTAGAATTCATCTGGGCCATCACTTCTTTCTAAGGTTAAATCTATGAATTAGATAAGAATTAATCTGGAAGCTTTCTCATGGAGAAATAATATCAAGTATTGAAATAGGAAGAAGAAAAGGAAATTGAATACAACAACCAAAAAAATATGCAGTCTTTCGTTTAATTTGATGAAGAATGGAGAACAAAGAAATTACCTGATCCACAATTGCCGACTTACATTAGTGAAATTATCATATCCCCTATTAAATTGAACTTAACAGTTTAGATGTCTGGCAAAGGTGACTTAAATATGGGTAAACTTGCTATCTTTGCTTCAGTCGCTCAAGCTGTTGGAGTCGTACTATCGGATATCAGTGAAGCCCCAATCTTCTTTTAAGGATGGAAAATAGAGAACTGTTTTGATACTGGCTCAGGTATAACGAATAAAATGATTCAATTTTATAAATAGGAAGGAATCAAATAAATTGGATCTGTTATTGGAAGTTTGTCAATCATAGGTAATCCTATTGGCTTATTGAATAATATCTCCACTGGATTCAAGGACTTAGTTGATAAGCCAGCAGCAGGTTTTACTCAAGGACCCTTGGAGGCTGGATTAGGATTAGCCTAGGGAGCTACTTCATTAGTATCACATACAATTGCAGGAGCATTTAGTTCAGTCAATAAGATTACAGGTAGTGTTGGAAGTGGTCTCGCTAACTTGACAATGGATGAAGATTATTTAAGAAAGAGAGAGAAGTAAAAAATGCACAAACCAAAACATATTGGCGATGGACTTGGATAAGGAGCTAAATCAATCATGACTGGAATTACTGATGGAATTACAGGAGTATTCTTAAAGCCAATCAAAGGAGCAAAGGAATAAGGAATTAAAGGAGTATTCACAGGAACAGCTTAAGGACTTGCTGGTTTAATCATAAAACCAATAACAGGAGTACTAGATGGTATGTCTCAAGCAGCTGCAGGAATATAAAATACTGTCTCATATTTCGATGACAAACCTAATAACAACAGATCAAGAAATATTAGACCTGTCTATGGATTAGAAGGATATATAACTGATTTTAATTCAATTGATGCAGAAGGATTTACAATGATCCACTTTTTGAAGGGTGGAATTTTGCAAAATGACCGATTTGTCGCTGCCTATCTAATTGTTCCTGATGCCAAAGAGCCAGAAAATAAATTCATGTTGGTTATTACATTTGAACATTTTATTTATATGTCATTCAAGACCAAGAAAAAAGTAAAATATTTATTAGATATTCTTATAGGTTTGGATTCTAGAGACCAATGAAGTGACTCATTTAGAAATAGTTCCATCTGGAATAAAGATTTAGGTCAACAAGCCTCAAAAATAATTAAAGGTATTATTATGTAATAGTTTATAGAATAAATATGTGACTTAAATTCAATTACTAAAGGAGGAACAATTAGAAGTCTTCAAAACTATGTAAGGGGTTAAGGAAGCTTATGGAGCAATTTAAAAATGAGTTAAATCTTTATGAATGCTATTTATTTTTTAATAAGATTAATAAAGCCAAAACATATTATATTGTTAGACTTTGTTTTAAATGTTCATTTTTGTGGTTGAAATACTTGGATTATAATTATTAATCTAATAATTTATCTAATGATGAGTTAGTACTTATCTTTCAATTCTTATTATTAATTGTTGGGTAATGGAATAATCTTAGAAAAAAAAGATTAACTAAAATCAAATTATAATTAATTAATTAGAATAAAATTATTGTTGATGTCAATTTTCATCCAGTTTTATTAACACTCTTCTGCCATATCTCTAAATTTGTTAATCATTTGTAGAAGCCTTAAATATTTATTACAATTTATACTAATGATTGCTCGATAATTTATCTAATTTCTAATTCTTCAAATTTTCTCTTGCACTCGGGATATTAACATAGATTTCCTATCGAAAATAAGGAGATTCTAGTTGTCTGATCGGATTTCACTAATTCTAATAACTAATTTAATGCTCCATGTTTGATAAAGTCTTTTATTAGCAAATTTGAATTCCTGACTAAATTTCCGAGAGCCCCTGCTGCATTAGATCTTGTTTTTTCCTAATTGTAATATTTATATCATTTAATACTTCTTAATCTTTGAGAAGATCCACTAATTAGGGTATTACAGGTCTTAAGTTATCATATAACCTATCACTATGGAATCCTGCATTTCCAACTGCAAAACAAGCAAATTTTCTTGTGTTCTTATCAGGATCAGAACAACATTTGATACATAGATTGATTAAATCATATTTCAGAAGTTGTTCATAAAAATAAGAGGAATGTCTACAGAGATTTCCAATTAAATTGCATACTTTAGATCTCAAGTTACAATCTGGGGATTAAATCTATTATTTCAATTCAATGTATAAATTCATCTGATGTATATTAGGGTAATAATCAGCACTAATTCTGGCTAGCTAAGATAAAATGTTAATTGAATCAACACTCAAAACTGAATACTTTTACAAAATTGCAAGTCCATTATTTTGAATAAAACTCTATGCAAAATACTTATCCTCTTCATTATTCCATACCAATTTGGATATAAAGGTAATAATTAAAGTAATTTGTTCCTTCTGTGAATTTTTGACAAGATTTAAAACGAGAGCTACGACATCCTAACTGTTTAGTTCTTTATAGATATGAGAATTATTTTGCTCTTATAATGCAAGAATAAATAGTTTAATAATCTATTCTCCTATTTTATTGACACAGCCTATGCCACCACCAAGAGAGGATGGCCATTCTTAAATATTTTATAGTTGGACATCTTTCAAAAATTAACACAAAGTTCTAATTGAATTGTCTTAAAACATTAATTAACCTAGTGCTTTGAAGTTCGAATATATGGAATCATGAATCAATATCAACAAGAAAACAAATCCTTTTGGAGATACATCATTCCTACTTGTTATGTTTTTGAAGATCGAATATATGAGTTGATGAATTTCATATCTTTCTAATAATACAAATAAATCTGTTAATTTCTTTTGTTCTTTATTATATCGAAACAATAATTTAGATATTAATGTTATTACTCCATCAACAAATCCATAACTAGGGATTCCAAAACAACTACCTTCTAATTTTCGAATTTCTTCTAATCTATTGCTCTTTTTAATCGGATTTACCAATTCAATAAGTAGTTTATATGGATGTTATTAAGTGAAGTAATTGAGTAATTAATTTATAAAACTTGTCTCTGATTGTAATAATTCTGCTATTAATTAGACTGCTGCTAAAGACACGATTGGATTATTTAAAATATTGTTCTCAAAAGTGCTTATCACTTGTTAGAAAGTAATTTAATATTCATAGTTTTTATTTCTATATTGTTAAACAAGAATTAACAAGGCAGTTCCTTAAAGTAAAGGTTCTTGTGAATTGAGTGATTAATTTATGATTTCTTTTGAGATTTGAATATCCTTCTTTATTCTTATCATTTAGAGTAGAATTCTCAAAACAGATATTCGTATCAAATTTTATTATTCATCCTAATAATTACAAATCTTTAAGTGATCTATATCTGCATACGATGTTAAAATCTGGTTTCTTAAGGATTCAAATAGAGGCAAAGATTCATTGAAATTTTGCACTTACGTTGAATAGCCCTTCTTCCATGGAAAATGGATTATTTCACCATTTATTGGATGAATCAATACACTAATTACTTAAGTAGCTAATTTATGGATGATTAAATTATTTTTTGTAAGTTTAGCAATTTCATTAACTAAATTATGATCAACTAATTCCTTATAGAATAAAACCGATCTAAGAGGATTCAAACTTGCTTAATTGGCAAAAAGTCCTATGGTCTTAATAGTGTTTATTAATTCATTACTCTAGCCTGCCCTGAGTATTTAGGCAGTCATACCAGCAAACTTAATAAAAATATTGTCGATTCCTACATTCTTATCAAAAGTAGCCTAAGCCAATAATCCAATAGTTTTAATCAATTCTGATAATAGCTCTAAATTTCCTTACCTTAAAAAGTTCCTAATATGAGTAATCAGCTGTATAGGAATTTGTTAATTTTTGACAACATCCAACCCTTCCTATTGATTACCTTTGGTAATGACCAATCCAAACACTTTTAAAGCACTGTATAATGCTGGCTTTTTAGGTGGAGTCAAAACCTATAGCAATTTATCTAAGAATCCAGGATCACACCTCAGTTAGGTTGCACCTTGAACATCATTTGCAATTTGTTCACATCTCACCCAAAATTCATCATTGCAAGGCATTCTTTTTGGAGATACATCTCGGTTATCTTTTATTTAATCGTAAATAATGATCTCACGAGTTGGTGTCAAAGATCTTTTTCTTTTATCTACAACCTCATCCTCAACTCCCGCCCACTAGTTATATTACTATAATCTCCTCTTTCTATCGCATTTTTCTTAATCTGTTTCAGCAATAAAGGGATGATTTAACAGTTCTGGCCAACCCAACCTTTATGAAGGTGTTTTGTTAAGTAATCCTTTTAAAAAACTCATAAATTAAGAACTCATGTTATCCGGGTATTTTACTGGATCCTTAATGATAAGCTGTATTAGAGAGTAGATTTAATTGGTATAAAAGGGAGGCTGTCCAACAAATAGTTCGTATAATATGACTCCTAAAGACCACAAGTCAACAGTGTGATCATACGGCTATTCTTAGACTAGTTCCGGGGCCATATAAAGAGGAGTTCCCTTGATTGAATGCAGAACTTAAGTGTTTGTTGACATAGCTCTAGCAAATCCAAAATCAATTAATTTGACTACTCCATCTGCAGAAATTAAAATGTTCTATGGTTTCATGTCTCTATGAATTATTCTATTCGAATGTAAGTAATGCAATGCTCTAACTAATTATTATGCTATGATTCTAACTTCACTCTCTGATATTTTTCGATCATCCTCCAAAATTTCAAATAATACACCTTGTCCAAACTAAACAATATTCTATCAAAAAGATTACTTCTGTTACTAAACAAAATTCACCTGCTGTTTCAAAGGCATCTAATAATAATATGATATTTTCATGCTTCAATCTCCTTAATATTTCAATTTCCTATCTCAAATTTGCCAAATCTTTTTCTGACTTCCCTCTCTTGCTAATGAATTTCAGAGCAGCTATCTGATTACTTTTTTTGAGTCTTCCCTTATAAACCTTCCCGAAAGACCCTTCTCCTATTAAATGTAATATGTGATAATTTTCCATTTGATTTTAACTTTATAATTAGAATAAAATTAGAATAGAGTTATCATTATTAATAATTCTAAAATTAACAAATATATACATGGTTTAAATTGCAAAGCTACTTATAATGGAACAGGGTGAAGTAATTGAGTTAATTGAGGGATAATTGCGTAAGTCTAGGTAGTTATCGTTTGATACAAGTTATGTTGAGTGATAGGTGAGTAATTTTGGATTCAAATATAAAATTGATATAAAAATTAGTCTATTCAATTTTAGAGATTGGGAAATAAATAAATATAAATATATTAAATTCACAAATTTGATAAAATTTATTAACTGGCAAATCCTATCATGAATTGCAAATTTAATTGATAGAAGTGATTGTCTTTTTTAATATTTTAATTTGAGTTAAAGTTTCTTTGGCTTAATTACGTATAACAATGAGTTGTACTTTATTGTGATGAAGGTCTGTCGGTTTATATTAATAATTAAAATGAGAACTCGTTTCATAAAAAACGGATAATAATCCCTATTCTTATATTTAGTGTTCACTTTTAGAATTCATTTATTATTTTACATTATTATGAAGAAATCTTCATTAATATTGCTTTTGTTTTTGATATGTTCGCTACAAGGTAAAAGTGGTTAAAATATATTTTTAGCGTAACAGTTTGTTGAACTTTAAAGCGGAATTAAATTGCAATCGCTTGAAGAATTGAATAATTTGGATACAGGTAGTCTAGATTGTTCTCCAGGCCTGGAATAGGTGAGCAAGTCTATGGAAGCTTGGCAGGAGATTCTGGCTAACCCTGATCAGATAGATAATGATATTGATAATTTGCAGAAACTTAAAGTTGCTGTGTCTGATTATAGGTAATCAGAAGGATAGAAAACAAGTATCTAAAAATATAACACTTAGCATTGTTGCAATATCACAGCACAAAGGGTTCTTTTGCTTTTGTTCAATTAAGATAGGAGGATAGAGATACCTTATTACAATAATGGAGACAATATGGTCAAGATATATTAGATGGTTAATTAAATTTATTGGACGAGGCAGCATCAAAAGAGGATGCCGATTAATGTTGTGATAAAATTGAGGATTTAATCAATAAGCTCATAAATGAAAGAGAATAAATAAGAGAACAATGCAAAAAACCATCAGTAATTTATTTAAATGATTATTCTAGATTACAATTAATATCATTAATTCTAAATCTGAAGATGTACAAAGAAGAGTTGAATCATGTTCTAAAGATGGAATTATAGTGAACACAGACGATAACAAGAAAGTTGTGATCAGACCTGGACAAGGAAGTGCCCCTGA